CATTCGATGTCATAAGTTAAATGTAATAAATTGAAAGAAACGAATTTAGATTTTTTTTTCGCAGTTTTGGTGGTCATAGGCAACATTTTTATTAACATTTTTCGAAACATATACGTTTTACTGACTTAAAATTTAATCCTGTAGTGTGTATGGATTACTGCACAAATTTGATTTTAGTTTTAATATATATATATATATATATATATATATATATATATAAATAACTGTTTTTAGAAAAACACCCTAAGAATGATAAATAAATAAAAATGCCTTTATTTAATGCCTTTATGATGTAAAAATTCAGCGAAACGGTTCTTGGTATTTAGACGTAAAACGTACAAATTATGGAGCCTGTACACCTGAATATAACATTCGAAGACTTAGTTTAATAGTTTAGCTAATACTTAAAAGACAATGTAGGAAAAATATAAATTGGGAAATTATACATACTGGTTTTGGCACTTTTGCTTGGACATAAGTGATATTATTTTTTTTTTACTCTAAAATTCAAGAATTGAAATGTTTACACATTTTAATTTAAAAACACCTTTATGTCCAATTAAACTGATCTGAAAGTTAAAACAATGAATTGAATGGAAATTTGGAATATGCTTAAATTATGGTTGACTTTTTCCACAGACATGTACAAAATCTGTATACGAATATAGAACTATTTACTTACTCCTGTGGCCATGTAAACCCAAGATGATTTTTAGCCTCACCAACAATCCGCCTCTATTCTTCTCCATCTTCTGTCATTTTATCTCTTGCTCCCAATCATCTTACATCCTTCAGCACTTGGTCTTCCTAAAGGTCTTCTACCATTGGGTCTACCATTATAATTCTGTTTATCAAGCTGGAGTTATCCCTTCTTAATACATGACCCACCTCAGATGTTAACTTTTTATTATTGTAATTATGTCTGGCTCATGATACATCTCTCAGTTCTCTGTTCTTTCTTATCTTTCGCTATACAACTACCAAAGTACCGAAGAATACAAGTACTTGTATTTAAAACTTTATTGTTTAGCTAATAATGCAATTGGATGTTTGATTAATTGTGTTTTTTACACAGAGAACACTGTGATCATCATGTAGTAAAGTTTGGTCAAAGAATCATAAAAATTTCAAATTACATGTCTAAATAAAACGTTTGAATACTTATAGTTTAATTATGAGTATTGTACGCTACCTAAAAAGAAAAAAATTTATTATTGTACTTATTTCTTAGACATTGGCAAGATATATTTTATAATTTTCAATGTATCTTAGTTTTCTTCTGACATATGTGGTAACCTTTGACGTTGTTCGGATACCAACTGAATGTTTATGTAGTTTACTGAACGAACGTTTTCTTTATTTATGCAAATAATATTATATCAACATTTTCTTTAGCTACCTTGTATATAAAGTATTACAGGATCTTTCTCGTCGTGCCCTGCGGGACTCGTTAGGATCTCTAGAAATAATCCCGTAGGAATATTCCACTTCTAGATTCTGCTTGTAAAAGAACATTTTACGTGAGCGTTTTAAATTTAATTTTATAACATAAACAGTTAACTTTGAATAACCTTTTATTTGGAGTCAAATGTTATAATATTATTGTTCGATCATTGATTTTTTCGTCAAACAAATGTTCATAATGGTTTGTTGCTAAAATGTCAATCTATCTGTAGTATATTATTTTATTGATTAGTTTAATATTCTTTTTCAATACTTTTACATACAGGGTGGCTGAAAAGTAACTTGCACCCCCCCCCCCTAACTTTTCAACTTTTCCATTTTCTTTATGTTATTTGTTATGTTTCGTCAATCCTTGTAAAATGATACCAAACTCGACTATACTTGTCTTTTGAAAATTTTGAGCTACCTCCTACCCCCGCTACCCCTAAGGGCAAAATTTTTAAAATTGACCATAATTATTGTTCCCCTCATATCTAAGAAGGTTGCCGCAAACCAATTTAAAATATCTCAAATAGTTAAAAAGTTAAAGAGGGTGTAAGTTAATTTTGTGCCACCCTCATGGTTATTTGGATTTGAAACGTTTTAGGGTGCCATTTTGTTATTAGTGAGCCGATTTTGGTTTTCTTTATTTCAATGTTTTTGTTTCGTCAAGACCTGTAAAATAATACCAAATTTTACTATACTTGTCTTTAAAAATTTTGAGATACCCCCTACCCCCACTACCCCTAAGGGCAAAATTTTAAAAATTTACCATAATTATTGTAGCCTATCATAACTAAGAAGGTTGCCACAAACCGATTTCAAATACCTCAAATGGTTGAAAAGTTAAGGGGGGGGGGTGCAAGTTACTTTTCAGCCACCCTGTATATCTATACTATTCAAATGTTCAATTGTTTTCGAAGCACTATTACGTGTAAGATAAAATAGTTTTTGTGGTGATGATGGTTGATTTTAACTTTTTTTTAATACAAAATTAATATACATTAATATTAATGTAAAAGGACATTAACAAAAATCAACTCCAACATTCATTAACTGCATTTTAGTTCATTGATCGCAGTTATACATGAGTGAAAACATGTAAGTAATATTAAATATCTAGCATGACATGAGTTTATAAACAGTGTGTCTTTTACACGTGTTCTTAAATTATATTTCACTGATTAGTTATTTTATACGTTTACTTGTTGCTACAAGAACAACCAAATCTTGACTTTTCACCACGAAACATGCTACGTTTTGAGTAGTTTCTCACCTGATGATGGTATTAGATATCAGGTCCCAAAACGTAAAAAAACTTGGGTTTTACCACGAATACTAGAAAAATACCGGTATGGATCATAAACATAAACAAATGACGTTTTTGGCCCAAAGGTAAACCAAACCCCTATACTAATAGTAGAATAACAGCATTGTACGTGTTATTAAATTTACGGAAAGTAAATAAGAGAAACGTCTTATAACACTTAAAACATATATTTACGCTTATACTGTTACTCACAAGACGGTAAATATACCATCTTTTTTGTATATTTACATTTTGTGAATAACAGTATAAGCGTAAATATATGTTTTAAGTGTTATAAAACGTTTCTTTTATTTACTTTCCGTAAAGCTATATAAACATCATAACATCTTATACATTTACAATTATAGTTGAAATTATTGATAGAATACTACATACAACGAAGTTCCATGGATTGCGATTTGAAAGATGGAAGAATAGGGGAGCTCAAAATTAAAACACTGTTCGATATTATAACGTGTATTAACAAACTATTTCAATTACAATAATAGGTATGTAATTGTTTTTATCTACCAATTTCAATAATTTGGTCCTTAAGATGTAAGAGTTTTGAATGAACTATATATTTAATGGATTTTGTACATAAAAACATTCAGAACCATTTACACAATTTTACAAGTGAAAAATTATTGTTAAATCTTTACAATTTATCTAATTACATTTTTACAGTATGTATATATTTTACATCTTGGGTTTCTTTACTAATTACAACATTTTTGTTGGAGTTTTATACAAAATAATGTATTTACAATTTAATTGATTCAACTATTCATTAAACTTGAAAACCCGTTTTTTACATAAATAAATTTAGTTTCAATCCAAAAGTGTTTACAGTATCTAAATTATTGTCAAATCTATTGTTTGTACATAAAAACCAAAGGTAATTATACAAAATGTAGTATTTGGTATTTTAATACATAAAATACATCCGAAATGACTGTTATAACTAAAAATAGTTAAAATCTGCGTTGTGTGTTAGACTACTACACATAGATACAATTCACATTATACATAATATACATTTATAATCAATTCAGATAGTAAACAATGGGTTTTTAAAATGGATTCTGCTTCAAGCAACAATACAAATCGTTAAATATCCCTCCGCTAGTCAGTGTTAGCGTTCAGAGGAACTACTTTATCGACCGTTTAGTTTATCAACAAAAATATTTGAATTGATGAAAGCCGTTAAAAAAGTTCTATTTAAATTTGTCTACTAAAATATGTTTAAATTAATAAGATTCATATTTTTTTATATAAAAATTAATTTTCTTACCACGTTGATATATAAATTATTACATAGTTATGAACCACACATTAATATATCACCGAATTTATCGTTATAATATCATTTTCATAAAATTGCAGTGCCGTATACTAATCTAAGTGCAGCTACACATTTACTAAAAGTACAGAGTGGTTATAAATTATTGGACTCAAACGGATAGATATTGCGTAAAAATTAAGAGACTATTGTTAGAAAAGTCTATTTTTATACATCAGTTCACTTTAATCGGATACTAAAAAAGGACAAAATGTAGATTTAAAAGAATGCATGGTAATCTTTCCATTTTGGATTTACATGGGAGGAATTTAAATTATTTTTAAAAATTTCCCCAGACTCATTAATTTGAGTATTTAATTTGTTGGAAGTTTTAGTTTTGGTATCTTACCGGATCAATAAACTATTTTATAAGCTTCCTAGATTGGTGATTAGGTATTTGTAGGTTAAGTTTCTCAGTTTCTCTTTAAATAATTGTATTCTCTTGCACCAATTGACCTACAGAAAATGTATTTATTAACTTCTTTGGTGTTATTTTGGAGGCCTTACAACGGACATTAGTGAGTGATCTAGACGATTGTGAGTTTTTTACTAGAGCTGTACATCGTTATATTCCTATAGATTTTACAAAAAGAGAATACAATAATTTGCAGCATACTTTCTTTATGTCAATAACGTTCAGAAACATATAATACACGATTAAGTACGCAATTGGAAGTTTAATTTTACACCATTGCAAGGAAACAACGAGGATAAGATTCTACGGAGAGATTACTCTATGCATCGAAATTAATCCTTTCGCCTTAAATTTAATTCTTGGATAACAATCCCGTTGGAATATGTTTTTTGTAATTTTTCAAATGTGTCCAATAATTTATAACCAGTGTAGTTTAGACTACCCCATGACTACATTGATGATTAAGAATACATATTCATCACCAAAACCAGCTAGCCTCCACTCTTCAACGATCTTTACCACAAGCTGGAACGAGTGTGACGATCAACTGAAAAGTAGATGATGGCTACGATGACGTAGACGACCAATATAACAGCAGTGACTTCGGCAAAGTAGCACATACATTTTGTAACGGTATCTGTAAGATAAAGAAAGTGTTATTTTTCCATATTTTGGGATTTCCACGAGTTGGTCAGCTCCTCAGGCGATCATAGATTGTCCGTGTGGTGGAACCTGTCTCATGACCCGAGGTCTACCTGGTGGATTGTGCAATGGTATAATACTCGCGAGGTAGACCAAGGTTCAGGAGACAGGTTCCATCATACAGACTATAGCATAGCCTCCATCAACAATCAACCTCATACATTACATTCATTTTCTATTGTGATAATATTTTGACATCACAATATCCTGATGCTGCTTCGCTTACCAATTTTGACTATTGGAACTACACATTCCATTCCCATGTTGAGGTTGAAGTTTTATAGTAAAAATGGACTTAGTTGATTGGAGCCACTAACAGAATTCGCATGTGTAAATTACTGATTTGTGTAGAACACAAGAATTTTTAAACCAAATCAAACTGATAGGAATTTGTGTGTGTGCGTATGGAATTTCTATCACATGAACTTAGCTACAAAAACTAAGGAGAATATTGAGTCTGAGAGAGGTTCATGAAAGTACGTTCTTTTACGCAAATCTCTCCTATAAAGAAGAAGATACCACCGAAAGTGCCACAATAAGACAAAGACCCAGAACCAATTTATTTCTTCAATTTTATATACCTAGAGGCCAAAAACACTACTCGTTCAAACCTTAGTTGGCGTCCGTGAACATGGTACCTAGAATAATATTGGTCCAATTTTTATGAAACTTGGCATCAATGTGGCTGGATAAAATACTTTTTATCGATGGTAGATCGGAATTGATTACAAGATTTTAGACCTTGGACCTAAATTGTCAGATGATTAAGCATCAACATATTTGTTAACAAAACAACCAGCAAAGCGAAGCAGGCGTCTGGACAAAGCTCGTTATCAGTGCTTGCTAAGCGGAGTGGCCTCGTAGCTATTTGTGACGTAAAAATGTTATCGCCAAGTATGTGAGACATGATGTGTCATGTACATTTGGGAAATTATGTTTCAATTTCATTTAAAATATTAGGATGTCATAATAGCCTATTGCGCAGAACAAATTTCCTTTTTACAGTAATAACAACTATTACAAAATCAGTATAAATGTTAGGTGGTGAAATGTAAAGATCCATCTTTACTATATTTCACCACCTATTTAATAGATTAAAAGTATATTAAAATAATGTACCAACATTATAGCCTTGTTTAAATTCTCTCAAAATACACCATATATAATTATAATGTAACTTTATCTTTGGCTGGCCCACAACCGATAAAACAACTACAAGTTGATGATAAAACATTATAGATAACTAACTTTTCAAAATGTATTATTAATTAAGGACGTCCTTTAACGATTAAATACACAACATTATTATCAACGTTTAATTGTTTCATACACATTTAATTAAGTAATACGCATGTGTTGTTTTTTTTTTTTTTAGTGCAGCCATGTTTAGTGAGCAAAGCGCAGGATCTTTGTCCGGGAGTCACAGGTTCGATTCCAGCCAATGGCCAATTACTTTTAGCTAAGTTATGATTCCATGGGTCAGTGGTTTGGCCAGCTTTGAAACTTGCATTTCTTGTTTTTTGTTTATGTTAATTGATTGTTTATTTATTGATTTGTTGTTTTTCAATTTATATGTAATATGCATTGTACCGGATTATGTAGTAAACTAATTCTTTTAATCAATTTAGTTAAGCCCTTGTTCACTTATTGTTATTGTTAAATTGTATTTATTCCTTATTGCATACCATCTCAAAAAATAATTTATATTACTAAATAAGTTAGGATACTTCATATTTGTATATTTATTGTAAACTGGCTCCACCCATTGCTAAGGGTGGAACTGGCTCATAATGCTTCCCATTAGATCGTTAACAGCCCTTATATTGGGTAAGCAAAGGTAGGAACTAAGATGTTTTATAAAAACATCACAATAATTGAAATAACTATGGAACTTTAGCTTTTGAGGCTGTACCATTTTGTTTACAGTGTAAAAAAATCATAACATACTAATTTTCAATCAAAAGCTTCAAGCCGTTATGAAAATCTAATCTTCTGTTATTTTAGGAGTTTGTATGGGGATATCAAAATTAAAATACAAATTTCAATTACAATTAAAATATGCCTGCACATATCATGGATTACAACTTCATAAAAAACGGACCATAGGTGTAGTCTGTAGGCCTCTGTACACGCCCCCCCCCCCAACACACACAAGAGCGCGGGCGCACACTCACACACACATCTTTTGAAAACCACTTTTTGGGTTCATGGGGTTCAAAACGTAAAACGTTTATTTGCACACGATATTCTAAGTCGAGTATTTTAACAAAGGGGGATAGAGTAAAAATTAAAGGACAAATCTCTCAGAAGAGAACAAACTTTTCACCAATGAAAACTCCCTACATTTAAATCTACAATTATTGCTCCGCGATTGAAAAGGTAGACATGAGAAATGAGCTGATTCGATGGCGTAAACAAGACGACATTCAAACTTTAACGAAGAAAAACCAAATAAAATAGGTTCACCCTGTTATTGAATGGAATTATTATACAGGGTTAAAAAAGTCTGGAGACCCCCTATCAATATTTTACTGCCCATTCTAGAAAAAACTAACCTCTTTGCACTCCTTTATGGTATGTTAAAGTACTTATTGGGTATTACCACCACTTGATGTACATCCCCAAAATGGGAGATTTCTGGGGAAACTCAAAAATTGCAAATAGTAAGACCCATCGAGTGACCCCTAATTTTGAAGGTCATGATAAAAGAAAACCAAATGTGGAGAACCCCTGTAAATTTTGTAACGGCTCGCACTAGAAAAACTAAACTCTGCACACCTTTGTGTAATGTTATGAAGTACTTTTTGAGCCTGATTGCTACTTGGTTCGCAAACCCAAAATCGGGATTTTAAGGAAACTCAAAAATTTTAAATGTCAAGCCCCATCAACTGACCTCTCATTTTGAAGGTTGTGATAAAATAAAACAAACAACGCAAACTAGAGGTCTCTATTTTCTCTCTATTTCAAAATGAGGGGTCTCTTGATGGGGCTTAATATTTCAAATATTTTTGTTTCCCCCAAAATTCCCCATTTTGGGTTTGCGAACCAATTTGCAATTAAGCTCAAATAGTACTTCATAACATGCCATAAAGGTGTACAGAGTTTAGTTTTTGTAGTGTGAGCCCTTAAAAAATTACAAGGGGTCTCCAGACTTGGAAAGCTGTAAGTTAAATTTCACTTCTGAGAAATTCAATTGACTGCCATTTTTTACTGGGCTGAGATAGAGACCCCTAGTTTGCGTTATTGGTTTTCTTTTATTAAGACCTTCAAAATGAGGGGTCACTCGATGGGTCTTACTATTTGCAATTTTTGAGTTTCCCCTGAAATTCCCCATTTTGGGGATGTACATGAAGTGGTGGTAATACCCAAAATGTACTTTAAAGGAGTGCAGAGGTTAGTTTTTCTAGTATGAGCCGTTGAAAAATTGACAGGGTGTCTCCAGACTTTTTATTAACCCTGTATTTATGCGATTAGTTTGTTACGTCCGAACAGAACTTTCCCAGTAACTATCTTACCCATGATCGTGTACTGCAAAATGTGTGTAGCCTATCAAGTTTGAAATAAACCTCTCAGTTGTTGCATCTTTAAGCCATTTTGGAAACTGATTTTCTGTTGTATTTTTTGTGCCAGTAAATAGTATTATTCCACCTCATTTGTTTAGGTAGAAAGGTCAGGCTTGAGATAGCGTCCAAATTGTGAATAAAGAACATAAACAAAACAAATGTGAATAATAACACTTCTTCCGTAATCTTGAGCCCATTGCAGTTGTAACCATGCTAAGTTTAACCATGAACGTATGGAAAGATGTTCAACCAAATACACAAAGATTCTCATTTTTTTTTTTTATCATATCAGTATAATCGTAACACCAACCCATTATATGGTGGTGGGTGAGAGGTGGTGAGGGGAGGAGAGCGAGAGACATATGAATATTAACTATAACCTAACCTATTGGGGATATTCGCTCAAAGCTTCTGGTAATTCTTCGGCTGCATATTCTTCTTGACTACCTTTCGAAAACATTGTTAAGGGGCCCTGTGATTCATATACATGCAAAAATACATAGAATTTTTAAATCTCTAGGTAAAAGAAGCGCATTACCACCCCTGTCCAAATCTACAGCCCGAACACCAGAGGGAACTTGGTATAGCCATTAGGCCTACTGAAGAATTCATTCTGACATCTTATCGCACCACTCAATATCAATTTACGAACCCTCACTCCGTTTCCCCAGACCTAAAGGACCACCTGCGTTTGATAGATGTAATTATGTCTATCACACGATAGAACTTATTCGATATCCATTTTAAATTACACATATAAAACAAAAACTGAAATGCCATCCTGAAAGTAGAAATAAAACCATTGCTACTTTAAGGTCGTAAAACTAAGAATGGACCTACCTTCTTCTTCCTCCTCCTGGTCACTGTCTGATTCGTCTTTCTCGACATCCCGCTGATTCGCCCGGGTGTTGGATCTGCAAGCAGGATTTCTTGGGGTCGGTGCGTTTCTTCTGGCACCCTGCTGATTCCCCTGGGCGGCGGATCTCCAAGCAGGGTTCCTTGGGACCGGTGCGTCTCTTCTGACCTCCCATGGGGTGAATTTGGCGGAGTACAAGGGAATATCCGGTGTCGTAGCCCGTGCATTTCTCCTGGCTTCCCACGGATTCCCTTGGGGGGTGGGTCCCATGGTGGGATTCCTTGGAGGAAGGGCCGGTGCGCCTCTTCTGGCATCCGATGGGTTGACGGGGCCAGATCTCATGGAAGGTCCCGTAGGGGCGATCCGCGCGACTTTTCTGCCATCAGGTGGGGTTGCGGGGGTGGTTTGATGGGTAGGATTGCGATGGGTCACGGTGCTGCATACCAAGGCAGGACTCCACGGGGTCATGTTGGCGGATAGCAAGATAGGATTTTGCTCGGTGACGGTGGCGGATACCAGGACAGGGTCCTCCGGGTCTAGCAAGGACTCAGGGTTCTTCTTTCCCTCGGACACGGAATAGGAATCAGAAGCTTTGAAGGGGTTCATAGTTGGAGATGCGTTCACTGCGACCGATCAACTAAGACTGTTGAACGCCGTCGCTCTGACGCTGTCCGGCAAAGTCAGCAGTCTGTTGATGACGCATTCACTCAGGTAAGGCGGGACTCTCTAAAGGCTGTTCGCTATAGGAGAATCTATAGTTTTATATACTTTGTTTAAAGAAATAATTTTCAAACAGTATTAGGAACTTGACTCTCTTTTCAGTGTATAATAAATTGAAGCAAATTTATTAAGTACAGGTTTTTGTATAAAGGGATTTTATTGCTTTTGATTCTGAAGACTAAACTTATTAAAACTTTTGTTGCCCTAGAGATGATATTTTTAAAAAAGATTAACCTCTAAAAAATAGACAAAGTTTGCCAATAAATTTCTAAATATGTCTACATTTGTTAATAATAATTTAAGTTTAAATTAACAATCATTCTTCGACCATGAAATCTTTAGCCAAACTTGTAAAATATTTGTATCAGTCCACGACCCAGTCCGATCAACGACTGACTCAAAGGGGGTTTCCGTTAAGGGGATGGATTTTGGAGGGATATTGGACGCCAATTTCTGTTTTAGGGTCTACAACCCTATACTTTTAAGCGTTAATAAGAAATAATTTTTCTCCATTCGTTTTACTAGTTCAATACCAGGATTCACACCCTTGTGTATCCAGTGCGCCTCTGCGAAAATCACTGATTCGAAAGGCATTGCTCAGGCACTGCTCCACGCATGTAGGGTATAACTAAGTTCTGCTTCAAAATATGTCCTAGGCCAGGCCTATGGCTACCAAATTTTGTTCGCTATGATTTTAATTTATATTTACAATTCTTACTGCTGAAGGGCACAGCTCTGAAAGAAAGTAGATGGTCAGGCAGGGGATGCGGAATACTACCCTCGGAAAACCACCCCCAGGTGAAACGTGACGTCACGAAATCTGCTAACTAACTAATATGGGAGTCATGTCCACGACTGGAATACCACCCCTCCCCCTTAGCAAAATGTGATGCTATGTAATTGTAATTTTAATTCGAGTAATTCCATTTGATAACAGGAAAGGCATGTGGGGAATATCATACAGATTTTTTCGATGTTACAAGCAAGATTGGTTGGTTAGGTTAGGTTAGTTTAGAACAGTATGTCAAGAAAATGTTAGTGTCCGTGACTGGAAAACTGCACCCCCCCCCCCCCCCCCGCTCTCAGACGTGAACATGACGTAGGAACCTGCTTGGTTGGGGTAGTCGTTCGGGGGGAATATTCCGGCGACCCGCCAGGCACTGCTCCGAAAATGTGTTTGGGTTCAGTTACTTTCGGATCTTTGTTTTTCTGAGTAATTGCCTGTATTTCAGTGTATCTATCAAACATGGGCCTATAAACGGTCGTGAGTGTTTCCAAAAAGACGAATATGATTCACTATATTTCGTTATACCTTTAAATTCCCATTACGTTGAAATTACTAAACGCATTACATTGTCTTCTAAGTTATTTTGAAGGAGAATGTATCGATTACTGCGGATTAATTGAATAAGTACTAACCTTTTACCTCGCCTGGGACTCCAGGACCCCTGATTTTGGGAGGGTCAGTTGGAAATAAGTCTCTGGGAAATTTTGTTTTCGGGGACCTTTTTAAAGCCAGGACTGGATCAATTAAAATTATATTCATGTAAAGTTTTTGAAAGTAGGTTGTTTGGGTCAAGCTATCCCAAAACAAAACGTCGAGACTAGTTTTTGGCCGTTATTAGATTTGTGATTAAGTATTCCTTGACAACTTGATATTAATGTGGCAACAATAGAGGTAAGGGGAAAGAAACTAAATAACTTACCATTCTTTACCTCTTTGGAGGTTAAGGTTGAACAAACACAAAAAGGTTAAGTAGCCTGGAAATGTTCAATGGGGATATATGTGTTTATTTTTAGGATAATAATATTATTAAACTTTTGAGCTTTAAATGTGTTCAAAATACGATTTATATACTTCACAAATATACTCATACTGGGTCCTCGAAATATTCTGGGAACGACATTTTATTTTTTAAAACCAATACAGATAAGCTAGTGTGAAGAAAATCTTTGCACATAAGTATTATACCTAAAAATCTACTTTTTGTTGCAAATATTAATGTTTCCATCATTATTAGAACGGTTCTCAAGGAGTCAGAAAGAAATCTCAAAAAGTATAGATCGAGTAGTTCATAAAATAAAGCCTCATAAAGGAAACAAATAGCCTTGGATTGTACCAACTAGTACAATTCAAAATCTAGTATTTTAACCGTTGAAAGGCGAAACATGTTAAGACACGCCTAACATTTTGTAGACGAATTTGATCTAAGTGATAATGCCGCTAAACCATCCCACACTTGGCCCACTTGATGGGGGTTTCATGCCTAGTATGAAATAAAGCGACAAACAGTCCCAGGCTAGAACATAGTAAAATATAATTATACAAAGGGTCTGGAATTAACCAAGCATATGATGCTGTCATTCAAATTAAATTGTCCTTCTACATTCACTACTCTAGTTTACCGAACGCATATTTATACCAACATAACAAATACGTAATGTTTGATATTTATACCTCTAGTCTAAACAAAAGATAAGATCAAGTTTGAGTTATGGTGTGGAGATAACCTAGCAATATTTTCGATTTAGTAGACAACACTTTTGTTTGGATTAACAGTGATGGTGAAAACATTGAAGATGTGCCGATGTATTACGACAAATAAAATGGAGGATTCGTCAAAGACAAAATAGTAGATCAGGTAGAGTGTGAAATTTTTCTGTGATTACGGTACTTAATTCTTATTATAATTGCCTACTTAGCCCTTGTTTTAAGTGCCGTACGATTGAGCTCACAACTCTCATAGCACTACAAGCATTACAAACCTTACTGTAATACTAAATAAGTAATTCGATCACCTATGCAGGGTTTGGTGTTATATTTATAAAGCAAATCGAACTAAAGTTTTACGTGGAACCAATAAGTTCCCAATATTCGTTTTATTTTTAAAAGTCATTTTATAAATGAAATTTTTTTTAAGTTTATAAATAGATTTTAGAGGCTACAAGACACCTCTTTTGAACCCTTATCATAAAAGAACTAATTGTTGTTAGATTGGCAGGGGAATGATTTTTTGCTATACTTCTTTCACTTATTGTTTGAGAGGGGCCCCCACTACCAGCATTAGAATATACGTTCCTAAAGAAAAAATCATTTTTAGGCCGAGATATTTTTGCTTTAACAAATATTGGTAAATCGGAAAACATCAAAACTATTTGCCTTTTTAAGTTTTACGATTTGGACAAACATAATTAAATGTGGTACAAATGGGCGTCTTTGGGCCTCTTAAATTCTTTTGAAACGCCATCATCAGTTCTTTGAAGCATATAACTTGAGAAACTTTAAAAATACGTATTATTAACAGTGTAGTACACGTCACATATACATATTAAACTACAACAGCTAGATCTATTGAATAATTAGCTTAAGTCAAATAAATAAGTCGATGGAGTTTTCAAAAAAATTGACGATTAAGGATTGAATATGAAAACATGTTTGAAATTATTTGTATGAAATCGTTTATATCATCGTAGTATGTACACTATTTACTTTTATCTATTACTAGATAAGTAATACCGTGATAGCCAAAGTGATACTGCTGTTATAGTAGCAGCATAACGTTTTTAATTGTGAGATATTTAAAATTAAATAAAACTTGTATATTAAACCATGATTTGGGCGTTATTAGAATACTTATTGTATGTCATTAGTATTTAAAAGTGTTTTAAGCTTATGGGTTGGACTATTAAAATGAGCAATCTTGAAATTTAATTTTTGATCTGATTATCATTCAGTGCACTTATAATATAACGAAGAACCCCCCGTGGGGTTTCCTGGCCTAGAATAAGACCGAATCCTTCCCCGGCTTGTCATAAGAGGTGACTAACAGGGGTTGGAAGATCTTTCTCGTACAAATTTCTCCGAGGCCAAGTTTACTTGTTATCCCTGGCTTGGTTAAAAAAATTGCTTTATATCTAACATGTTTCGTCAACCCCGTATCGGGGTTTTCCTTAATCTTTTTTTGAACGGTGCGCGGTAGGGAGCCCTGTGCAGAGGGGCAGAGGGACTACCGGACCAGGCCCTTTGGGTTCTAGTCAGGTACTGCGTCGTTGGTGCAGAAGTCGGGCTTTATACCATCAAGGGCCACTTCTGCTACATCAGGGTACCCGGTAATAGGTACAAGGCCTGTTCCCGGTGAGCTAGGGTAGGGGCTTTGTCCCCGAGGATATGCATGTTTCCGGTTATTCCGGGCCACCCCTTGTCGCATGATGTGCTGGCTCAACTTCCATAAACTCCTTATTCCAAGACGCAAGGAGGACTTGCTTGTCAAGCTGTTATAGGTGATGGTGTTTCAGTGGGGAGGGCATGTATCTAGGTGCCCGCAACTCCCGTTATGCGAAATTCCCGTAAGAGGTCAGTTGAGAAAATTCCATCGGGAAAAGCACCTTTCCCAGGCTGTCGAGTTAAAAAGCATTTCACCAATTCCCAAGGGAAGAACATCCTGGGTTTTTCTACCATGCCTGACCTTTAATCAATGAGAACACCACACTAACCTTCTAGCACCCCTGAATGGGGGAACGGCCCCAAACATACCCTTCTATCTGAGTCTCTTTTGCCGAAGATCAGTACCTGGAGAGTCTTGGAGGACTAGAAGACCAGCGAACCCCAGTTCATCATTTGCGATATCCTTGATAGTCATTAGAGGCAATTCGCAATTCGCATGTTACATATTTAACTTCTAGCTAACAAGCAACTACAACAGCAACATCAACGTGCAACTATGCTACATATTTAAATTCGTGCTTTTTCCCTCCAAAAAGTTAACACACTTGCAGATTTTCAAAACTACTTTAGGTTTTGATATAGATTATGCGTGTTTTATTTAGCTAAACAAATCTCACAGCTACAAAACTTTCTTATTAGATTCGTATAATTATTTAATAACAACTTTTTCACCTTGCAACTATCACATTGATTCCACAGGAGGTAATGGCCCAAAGGCACAGAGGCCGATTTGAAGAACGGTTTGAGATCATCTCCCGGGCAACCTGGAGCCGCAACTGTGACCTTATCGAGGATTCCCGTCCTACCCTGAAACCCCCACTGGGCAACTTGGTGATCGGGTGGGCGGGAACCCCATCCTGCACTTCCAGGAAGGATTGTTACCATGCTCTTTGGGACATGTTGAGGCAGGACAGATTGAAGCATCGTCCAGAGATAGAACACAAGTAAAGGATTTTAGTTGGTTCCAAAAGGTGCTAACTGGTCTTTGTTAAATTAAATTTTACTGCATCGTACTTTAACAGACAGATTATTTAATTAGAAATTGGTTTGTTTAGTATCATTGTGATTGGAATTTGTGGGTTTTTATTTGTATTGTTTGGTGCGAGTGTCTGTTTTACATTACAAGTCTATGGCATCTTTGGGATTACAGTGCATGAATTAGCCAATTTCCTAGGGTTTTCCTACTCTCTCTAAAAAAGAGGTCTATTGGATAGGTAAACATATTTTGAGAGCAAACAGACCTGCAGTAAATACTCTGTGTATCAAAATCTCGATACATACTATTTTAGCTTTTACTCACCTTACGTTGGAGGTGAGCTTTTAAAAAAATCACTCCCAAAAAACTTAAGTAAAGAGTTTTGTGACGATTTTAATATGAGCCTATTTAATCCTACTCAGAGATTAAATTTCGTAAAGAGATTAAATTACAGGTCAATAAAATATTTGGTTTTACAATACCTTTATCAGTTCCAAAAGTTATCAGTTCTTTTGGTACTGATAAAGGTATTGTAAAACCAAATATTTTATATATTACAGTTCCGGGGCTACAACAATGAATTTTTACAGGTCAATGCTAAAAGACTTTTTCCACTCCTTGCTAACTTTGTAAACGTGGGTAGAAAGTGCTTCGTTTTACATAGTTGAAACTGTTAAACTTGTTCCAAAACCTGTTCCTTTAGCCAGTAAATATTCTTTTTTTATGACGTCTCATGATAAATTGTAACAAAGACCGTGTGCACGCGTTTTTGTAAGAAATCTCCCTTAGACTAGACAAATCAACGAAGGTTCTTACTTGAATGAGTTGAATAGTTGATTCATGGTTTAACCAAGTTTTATTCATACTAAAAGATTATTAAGGTTTGCACCAAGGTTCTAAAGTGGGGTTTTGAAGGCCCTAAATCGTGAAATAGGTTTGAGACGATTATATTAAAAGCTAAAAACACGCTTTCTGTTGAGGTTTGTAAACTGTTTTCACCTCACTATAAAAAATAACAACTATATGTTTTCTGATTAAAGATTATAAATCAAATTGTCCAAAATTATAAACAACTTTGTCCGCAAAACTCAGTAGGTAATTAATAAACAAACAGTTATTTTGATATTTGCATATTGATCACCAATCATTATATTATACATGCATTCATATATCCATTGTAAAAAGGGTTTTCCATCAAATAAACAAACAAAAATTTGTACATTAAGTTTTGTTACTTTGAGGTTATGTTTGCAAAGCAACGAAAACGACTGTTGTAAGATAATAACCAAATAAATTAACACATCCAAGAACAAAAAATAGTGTTCAATTTCGTTTATTAAATTATGTTACGAAACAGCTGATGTCTTTTAAGTGAAGAAGAAATATTTTGTCAGTGAAAACGACAGGCTTAATTCACGAGGTTTCAGACTTAACTCCTTGTTTCTCTAGGGTAAATAATAATCAGCTGTAATATAATATTTACTAGATGGACATTTTTCTCACATTTAAATCGAGTTTCATAATTCGGTAACGTGCTAGGAGGATTAATAATAATAAAACTTTTTGTAAATCGTTTTCGGAGTCTACTTATAAAAGTTAACAGTCATAAATGTGCGTTAAGGTACGAAGAAAAATATAGTTCACTACAGTCAAAATTTCTTTTCAGCCCTCGTCCAAGTTAAGTGCAGGCCTGTGTAATGAAATACAGGGTCCCCAAAAAGTCAGGAAACGGTATTTTATTTTTCGACCAGATGATTAAACTAATCATTGCGCACAAGTACATAAATCTACTTTTGAAGAAAATATAATTTTTCCTCATAGGACGGTCCACAAGGAGTCGAAAGCATATCTTAAGTAAGAGTATGAATCGAGCAGTACATGAAATTAAAGGTATATGTTAGGAGAAAACAGCTAGTGCTACAAACAAAATCTTAGGCCGTAATTTAATATTCCCTCCCTACTTATTACCGTTCATGATGGAAATCCCCGCATTAGTTTCAAAAAGTAAATTTTCATGTAGGCCTACCAATTAGTTTAGCTTTGTATCATTATTTGCAATGGTTCGAAACCTTTATGATGTTGAAGAATTTTTCAGGTCACAGTGTATTACACAAAAAATATACAGATCAGTTGTATAAAATGGTGGTCCATATTGGCTGTTGAGAACTGCGCTAACCTCGACAGGTCAAAATATCCTCTCGGTCATGTTCCATGTAGCCTACGTTGCGAGTGACTCATCCGATAAGGATTTGCTCATTTTGCGTCTCTCGTCCGTATCAGAAACATTCCATGTAGCCACAACATGTCTTTGATAAGGTTGTTTTGTGTTGAATGTCCTAAATTTATATTTATATTTGCCATTTAGTGACTAATAAATATTATCAATTTTGGATTTTGATTGTTCGTTAACATTTTAGGCCTGTATTCAAATGTTGATTTTGATGCATGGTATATAAAGGTATATATATTATTTAATTTTGGACGTACTGTAATTTGATAGCGAGATCGTTTGAATAGAAAATATCACTTGACCAAAATCATTATCGAATTTTGTCATCACCTAAACAAAAATATCTGACGGTAAAAATCATTGGAGTATATTTCTGACATTCATTAATCAACATGTAACTTATAGGAAAACTATTATCAAGGATTTGTAAAGGACATGACTCTTAAGAGCTAGCTGTAGATTCAACCCAAAAAATAAAATTTTATAATGTAACAATCAATTCTTGAATATGGAAAAATGTTTATCGCTAATTAGGTATACTGTGCTTGAGTTCATTTAATGGTTTATAGTTTTTATCAACAGTAAATAATTGGGATATAGATAAACAATTGGGGGAAATTTATTGTTTTAAATAATAATTTAACCTTAAACATTTGTATTTGTTGTAAAATCCTCTTCATATAATTAACATACTTTTAAATATTGATAGTTAGTGCTGTAACTTTAACCTATTACTAAAGGGTAGGTAGTTATTTTTCGGAGGGGGGGAGGGGTCGATTTCGTAAGAGCAATATAAATAAATGCAAAACTTCGATGCATTCTAGCAATGAGTTGTGAACTTTTTATTGATTTATAGCGAAGTATAATAACTGTGTATGTAGAACACAAATTGAGATTCTGTCCACTAATTCTGCCATTTAGTTATCTGCATATATATATTTAATACTAAAATCAATGTAACTCGTTTTATTCACTATATTTTCACTTTTTTTCCTTCAAATAATTTAATTTTTTTGTGTTAGCTCATTTCAAGAATTTCTAAATGTGGTTTAAATAGAATGTAAGAATGCAGGCAACAAAAAGGTAATTAATTACAATATTCTAGCATCTATTTCTACATACATTTTAATCATAATTCAATCAGGAATATGTAGATTTGCTAGGTGTACAGGTTTGCTGTGACAGGGGTATTTCCTAATAAGCTTTTCTAGTTTTTATATAGGAGGTGATGGAAACGTATACGAGGGGCAGGGTTGGTGGAGAAAAGGACCTGACCTTCGAGCGTATGCCACTGAACAATTTGTGACAGTCGCTAACACGGCTACTGTTGCTATTATCGGCCCAGAAAGTGAGTTAGAGTATGAGTAAACGTACAAGTAAGAGTAAGTAACCGTGACTATTTAAGTAGATACAACCTTTTTCTAGGGAGAGATGGGAAAATGTGTTTAGGCACACAGCCTGTAGTGTAGGAGTTTTATGGGATTAGGACCCACAGACTACTTTCTATAAACCTCCAATATTCTTTGGAAACTAGTTTGGAAACACTTGATACACTTGATCAGAAGTCAGCCGCATTTGCATTCTCCATGTCTAGCCGTTCAATCCTTGAACCTAAACTACAATTAAATCTAAGTTGTTCTTTTTGGCTTGGAGGATGTTCTGAACATATTGTGACCAGGTGGCGTAGGGGTTGGCGATCCCATCGCCCAGTGGCTAGCCATTGCAATCAGCCTCCCTGACTCCCTACTCTTCAACTGAGCAGGGTCTGTCCTTTCACTCCATGTTTTTCTTCTTCTTCCCAATCATGGGCCAACTTACCTCACCTTTCTGTCTCTGCTCTCTTCTTCTTCCAACTTCCAACCCCTCCTTTTTCTTCTTCTGTTACAGGCCAACCCAAGGTGTTAGGTGGACCGTGCTGAGGGGTGAATGGCACCAGGCCTCTTTTATATGGTGTCTGAACGGTACCTGCAGGATACCAGGCGCCCTCCTGTAGTAAGCAGCCTTCCCTGGGCATGTGGGATTCTGTCCAGGTCGACTTCAGATCCCTAGCTTTTCGTGGGCTAGTACCGCAAGTCATGGAAGGGGAGGTAAATTGCCCCGACCTTTGAAGAACTACCCAAAAAGGCGATCCTCATAGAGTGGGGAAGGAACCCGCTGGTACCTACCCTTCTTAGAACAGGGTATGGAACCTGATGAAACCAGGAAGAAAATGGATGAAAGGAAGGCTTCAGCAGCGCAGGACAAACCGGCCCAGTGCCTAGAAATTGAAAAAGGGGGACACAAGTGATTATCCCCCCCCCCTGAATAAGAACTGTTTGAGAATGTTAACAGGTTTCCTAACTGGACATTGTAGGCTCAGAGCTCATCTGAGAAAAAAATTAAAATCGTTTAGGAAAGGGACCGCCAATTCTGCCAATCAGGGGAAGAAACACCCAGACATTTTTTTGGTTGAATGTGATGCAGTTGGGCGAAAGAGAGCCAAGAGCTTGGGGATGCACCAAGTAGCAGTTGGAGATTTTCCACAGTTAGAACCCTACCTTACGCTGAGCTTCATTAAGGAGTTAGGATTGGAGGGGGTTCTCTAGGAAAAGACTGGAGACTAGTTGGGGGACAAAATAGATGTTACAGTTTAAATCTAGTACTGTTCTTTACTGAATTCAGCACTAATCTAGCCAGTGTCCACCCCTGTCTTGTCATCATAATCTAAAGTAATATTTGACAGAAAATCAACGCTCCTACCAATTAACGCTCACATTTTGTAATTAAATGTCTCCAGAGGAAGAGGGCCAACCCCTGTATTAATCTGTCACTAGTTGACAGTTGTGTATGCAGAAAAGTGTTGAGAGGCTTTGAGTCCCATGCCTCTTTTGAAATAAAGTTTTGCTTGGCGGTACTTGAGAGGTGAAAGGGGAAAGATACAAAAAAACTGTTAATGCTACTAAACGTAACGTGAAATATGTGTAAAAAGACAAATATTAAAGAAAAGATAAATTTTTTGACAAAAGAGTTACATCACTAAACAATGCAACAGTAACTTTGGAGGAACAAAAAGTGATGTTGATATTTAAAAAGTACGTTAATGATGAGATGAGTATAAGATTGAGTAAAATGAACAAAGTATATTTATCTTGATTTTATTAGTTTTACATTTTAATGAATTTTTGATTTTTTTTATAGAGCAAGGGTCTTTTTAAGCACCCACCCACACTTACAGGCTTGAAGTCTTGTCACTACTCTTCTTCATAATCCCTTCTCATTGACTGACAACAGATAGGGTAGCTGGGAAAAGAGTTTTGAAGTTGATGATCATGCTACTTCTCAAAATCTGTTCCCACCAACTGGTCAAGTAAGTGTAATGTGAAGAGGGTGTCGGCGTAGCTGAGCACTGTGGGTTCAGGGTTAATCCCTTTGTCACGTCAATAAATAAAATGTGCATATTATGTGGGGTAGAGAGTTTGTAGAATGCTATACTCGTTTACTCAACGAGGCCGGCAGCAATTGTTCATCAAATTCCATCAACGAGTAGATGGTTATTACAGTTAAAGAAACTTTGCATGCTGATTGGCTTGTTTAAGGCTACTATGGGTTCAGCACCCAGGGGATTTTCAAGGCCCAATCAGTTTGTTATCCATCAGTCTCAGTCAGTCATGAGTCGATCACACCACAAAATTCAATGAACTATGGCCATCAAACGAGGCTGGCGAATGAATGACCACAGCCAGCATACACCATACAACACATCGTGCAAACGTTAACGACAGCTCCAAAATACCTCCACCCCGCGGCCATTACGCAAACTTTCAATGTTCTAACACTTTACTTCATCACACATCCGTCAATTGGCAATGAATTTCAATTGCAATTGACGCCTTAGACCGCAAAACTCCAATCACAGAACATGGTTCATACTTGGTAGAAGTGTCGGTTCTCCTTCACACAGTTTTTGGATACTGACAAGATTAATTGTCGCATATAGGGGTGGGAACTGGCTAGTATAGTAGTGGATGAAGTAAAGAAAACACAGTGCTTGTCTCAGGGACCAGTTCGCCACGATGGGAGCTAGTTGGATTTCTTTTAGAGACAACCCTAGTATTATACTAATTTCAGTAATTGTTATACTATTTTTCCATATTTATTAATTTTTTTACTGTTCAAAGGTCCCGGACTGGAAGTGGTCCACTTTAAAGCGTTAGCAGGTCTGATTTCTGAAGGACAACAAGAAAAAGTCTTGAAATCAAAGTTTACATTGTACTGGTTCAAAAAAGGAAAATTGGAAAAGGAGAGAAGTTTTAACATTCAGCTTAGCAAACTAAAGATTTTTGAAGAGTAGAGTATGATGGTGATTATGGCATTAATTCCATAATGATGTACAACATGCAGGGTGTTATAAATTGTTGTTATTTGTAAAAAATCAACGAGGCAAATGTATAGCTCTTAATTACAAAAATAGTTGAAACATTTTAATTAGGTACTCAAGATAAAATACCTGATTATGTATAGTTTAATTAGGTATTGAAACAAACTCAATTGTACATAATGCAACTACCTATTGAGGTAGACCATTTTTACTTTAGTTTTACACTAAAAATTAAGATAAAACCAATTAAAGGAAAGTATACCATGACATGTTTAATGTTATTTCCACACAGTTGTTAAATTGTGCATCAAACATCAATGCAGTGACGAAAGTTTCTTTAGGATCCTTCACCATTATAAGTGTAATGCTCCTTCTATTTTTCCTTCATTACTATCGAGGTTACTAGGGACTACACCGGATTGGTTATTTGATTTAGTTTGACTTACTTGACTTAATCTCTTTGACTTTTCCTGGAGCATATATACTCCACTGTTCCTCTCTACTTGACCCCAACAGGTTGCTTCTCTCTTGATCCCTTCCCAGTTTTTCCCTTTCTCGTTCAGCTTCAACCAATGTCCTTTTCCACAGGTTTCTAGGTCTACCCACTCTCCTGCTTCCAGCTGGGTTCTGACGCCTCCTTTGCCACATATCCAATATCCATTTCTCTGTGTGCCTTGTGCTCTACCCATCTCCATTTCCTTTTTTTTCTGAACTTGAATTTGTGACAGATGTTTCAAATTCTCCATTGACAGTAGTTTACTTAAACAATTAACTAAACTTCTTTTGGGGGGGGGGAAATTCTACCCCTAGCTACTTCGGCCTTTTGACCTATTGTATCAACCCCTCAACTCAGTCTGACAGTTCTCAATGCTCAATTTCTTCATCTGCTCAGGTCCCAGTTAAGGCCTGGCCCAGAGATTTCAACCTTTTTTGGGTCAAAGCCCGACAGTCCAGCCATAAGTGTTCAGAGGTTTCCACCTTATTTTCGCAGAACCTGCATTGGTCTTGTGACCTCCCTATGGTTCTAAGGTGTTTCCTAATAGGTCAGTGCCCAGTTAGCATCCCTACGAGTAATCTGATGTCCCCCTTTTTTAGGCTCAGTGAACTTTTCCAGTCTTTCATTGAGGAGTCTATATGTGTTTTTCAAGTCCTTAGTCCTGGGTTGATCCTCCAAGCCTCTGTCTTCCCATTTATATAGTCTCAGACTTTTGCTACTCCAGCACTAATCGGGGTACCACAGTAGAGCTCTGGCCCTGTAGCTGTTCTTCTGCACCCCTCTTGGCCAGTGCATCAGCTTTCTCATTATTCTCATGCCCCAAGCAATTCTAACTTGGTTCTGCTTTGCTAGTGTTTTAAGGGTATTTTTTTTTTATATCCCTTTACTGTTTGTGACTCTGTCACACAAGACACCACCACCTTTACTGCAGCTTGACTGTCTGAGAGGATCAGTATTTATTTTCCTCTTTCTCAGGTTCTTGTCCAGGATAGTTTTCGCACAGCACTCAATCACCAGGACCTCCGGTTGAAAAACTGTCGCTGTGCTTCCCAGGGCTAGGAAGATATTGGTTTTGTTAGCATAAACCCTCAACCCCAAACTCTCATACTTCCATCTGTATAAAATACCAGACATGCCCTGCTTGTCTTAAGACCCCCCCCCCCCCCCCCCGCCCCCCCCCGTTGCCAGTCTTTCCTTTCTACTATGGCAACTTGGTAAGGAATCACAAAATCTTACTCCTTGGTCAAGAGGTGTGGCATTGTTAGTTCCATATCCATACTCGGGAAGTCCCTTAGTATGGACAGGTGTCCAGTCCCTCTCTGCAGCTTTAACTCGCCTCTGCTACCCATTTTGAGGGCAGCAGTGACTTTACGTTTCTTGCTTTCCTGCCCTAGTGGAAGCATGTCAAGTATTGCTTCAAGTGCAGCTGTCGAGCAGGATTTCATGGTCCCACAGATCCCCGTGCACGCTAGCCTTTGCAGCTTCCTGCCAGTCACTACCTGCTCTGCTTTTGGCCACCACACTAGGGTTGTGTATGTAACCATTGGCTTTACTGTGGTCTCATAGGTCTAATATATTTGATTGGGGCTGAGCCCCCATTTCTTACCAAATGTTCTTCTACAGTTACAGTATGTTTAAATATAAATCAATATGATTTACTTGTTCTCATAGTAAACCTTAACTAATTTACTTTGTGCAATCAATTTTACTTCTTTATTTTACTTATGAAGTTGTAATGTTAACATTTAAATTAAACCAATGAATTATGAACCTACCAATGAATTAAAAAGTGTGAACATTGGAAATATCTTAGTTTTTCCTTCAAAAATAAGCTTTTGACTGGTCTCATGGCTGTCAAATCAAGCAGATAAAAAACTAAACGCACCAATGTTGGCCAAGTTTCTAGAGACCAAAGTTTCTATGCAACTGGGACACATTTCAAATGACTGTGCTCGTAATACACACAATATTTTTCTTTTTATATTTAGGATAGGATGCAAAACTGTAACTTGGAGGATTCTTATTAAAAGTGTCTTAAACCTGGGGCTAGGAAGCTTTTTTGTGTCTTGCTTAGTCTGGCAAATTTTAAATATAATCAATCATGTACTTATATCTAGTGTTGTATGTTGTATGCACTCTGGGTCATTCCTGAGACTGAACTTTTGGAGATTTTGTTTAGTAAGAAATAATGAGTACAATGCACAAGCTAGGTAATGCCATTACATTAAGTCTAAGAAAGTGATGTTGGCAAGATTCAGTTTGCTTAAAGCTTCAATTTAATGGCCAATAAGTTTTGGCAGATAAATAGTTACCCCACAAAGTAGTCCCATACAATTGGTTTTAGACTCTTTTCCTCTCATTATTGGATTCGGATATACGCAAGAGATCGGGATACATATAGTTGCAAAACTGCTTAAGTCTTGGAAACAATGAACTTTATTCAGTAGTTTTTGGACTAAAAGTAGGTATTATTATCTACTGTTTTTTTTCTTTAGTAGCTGACCTTATCAACAAAGGATCAAACTGGATTAGCTGATGCCAAACCCCGTTGCAAGGCAAGAGCAAAGCAACTAATATAAAAATACAAAAGATTTAACTTAACTACAAATCAGGCAATAATTGACACATGTTAAATGGCAAATTAGGTTTATTTCAGAATAAAGGCACTTGTCAATTGTCTCTCAGATATAAACCATTTTAACTTAAATAAACATCCATACAGAAAATCAAGTTTACAAAACAAAAAATTACTTTCATTGTAGAGTATTCAACACTCAATACAAAATATGTCTTCAGTCTTCCATTATAAATCAACTGGATACAAAATACAGTAGTGTGAACTGAGTGTACCTTAGATAATCACAAACTCTGAAAATATCGAAAATAGGATAGTAAAATAATAATATGTAATAACAATAGTATAGTATAGTAATAAAAATAATAATACCCAGGTACCCACTGATGTAAAAAATGTATCTATTACATACTGTTAGTGCTACAATAGATTATTTTAAACTGGTTACAGTATCAAACTTTTTTTAAGTTCTTTGCTTACACATAGTTTGTAAATCTTATTTCACTTTCCAGTTTCAAATCTTTAATCTTTTCTTTGGGTGACATTTCAAATTTATAGCAAACTCCAGATTAGTATTGGTGATTAAAAACCAATGTGACTTTTGTTTGCTAAGCAAAATTAACCTTTTACTTTCTCCCCCTGTACATAGTATATGGAGAAAGTGTTTTTTCTGTCAACATTTTCAAGTTGGAGTTTTGGTAAGAAGTATATGTCCTCCTGAACACAAAAAAGTTGTTTTCAATGCTTGTGTGTGTAGATGAGTAGCTACAGACCACACCTGTGGTCGGATTTTGATGATGGTGATAATCGATGGTTTTCCAGGCATTATTCCATTTTTAAATTTTGATTTTTATTGGTGATTTTCCCATTAAACAACAGAAAATTCAGATTTTCTCTATAACGCCTCAAACAATTTTGATAAAAATTTCAGTTTGCAATGGCCACTAAAAACAGTGCAAACTCCATTACTGTAAAGATTAACAGTTAAAAATTTATTGTATATTTTATTTTTCCCATAAAATATCATAGTTACTTCCACCGCTTACCCGTTATAAGGGTTGTTGACAGGCTAAAAAAGGGGAGAAAGTATGTGTTGTAGGGATGGACTGGTCTCGAAAGTTCGGGAAATTTTAGAGAAATTTAAAATCTTGTTCTACGTGACGAGATTTGATTTTGACCAAAATTTGTTCAAGACGAGATTTCAAAAACAAAAAAAACACTGTTAAAAACGCCTGCAGAAATTCAATGCAATACCTGCAATACAGGAGCGTGTTGTTGTTGTGTTTCCTTTGCTTTGTATTATTATTATGTTCTTTTTGAACAACTGTCATTTTGAGCAGGATCAACCTTTTGAAGTGCGGTTTGCGGCATTGTATTCTACTAAAAAAGACCTTTTATTTGATGTGCATATTGACCTATGCTTCCATTTAAGATTTTCTTCCGACTCCTTGTGGGCCGTCCCCCTGAAGAGTTATTGGATCACTGAATACGTGTTAAAATAGAGTTTTATGCCCTGTAACTTTGTACCAAGTATTGTAGCTCAATCTGCATTATATTTTAAAAAATTAAGCCGTACCCAGACTTTTCAATCACCCTGTATATCCTAACTGATATCACCATGTTACCTATGCGTAATAGTTATTAGGTAGTCCTAAATAATATTTGTTTTATTATACTGATGTTTTTTATTGAAAGATTTCAAATATTCTTGCATATTACCGTAGACTCCCTCTTATCCGGACACCTTTAACCGGACATTGGTTTAACCGGACTACACTCGGGGTAAATGTCATCTCTTTAACCGGACAATTTTTATCAGCACATCAATTTAACCGGACTTGGTCAGCAGGTACTGAAACGACTGTTCTCGTGGGAAAGATTTGTTTATTACGTGTATAAACACAATGCTCTCCTAAATTTAAGTCAAATATTTGGGTTAAGCATGCATTAAATGGTCCGTTTTAATGAGTTTTTGGGGACATCCGTTTAACCGGAAAACCCATTATTGGACTGGCCTTGGTCCCGAGGAGTCTGGATAAGAGGGAGTCTACTGTATTATCATTTTGTATTTTACCAGTCATCTGTCATAAATCAGTAGATATTTAACAATGTTACAAAATCAGGTAAAAATGGCCAACGTGCATTTCCCGATATGTGTGAGAAGGAAAATCCGTCTCGATCTTGTCTTGAAATTTTATGAGAAATCAAATATCCCGTCTCGTCTCGAACTAAAAATCTATCTCCTCCATCCCTAACGTGTTGATACTGTGTACATGTGACAGTGGCTCAGTCAACCCAAACTTGGTTAGTCGGGGGCTCTAAACCGCATCTATACGGTTATAGGGCTGGGTAGCTGAGTGGTTATAGTGCTTGTGTTACAATCAAAAGGTTACTGGATCGATCCTGAGAAAAGCCAACTATTATATTTATATTTCCAAGTGAAACTGTTACAAGACTGTCACAATAGAAGACGGACATGTTTCCCTTGTTATATTTTTTTTTTTTCTATATTGTATGACTCCTGTAAACATTCTTTTTGCATGCTTAATGTTACAATGTAATTGGCATGTGCTGTTTTGTAGCATTGTCAAATAAAATAAAATAAAAGCCAGTGGCTTTATGATGGTTTGAAACAGGACCCAGCTGTCCCTGATCATTGGGCAAAAATAAGTGATCCTGGCTGATAAAACAGCTGATCTTAGTCAGTAACAAAGTTACACAGATCATCTTATTTTATTCTACACTCATCTTTTACTCATATTTGGGTTAAAATACACACCTAGGTGGCGTCCCCATCTCAATTGATAATGATAATAAATAAAGATAAAAATAATGTATATCAGTCTAGGTATACCATTAAGTATACCATTATGGTATATACCATAAGGTACTCAGTTTTTAAACCTTTTAAGGATGATGAGACAAATCTTTCAAGATGGTGGACAAGTCGGAGAAGTGTTGTTTCATCCAGAGGATGTTTAACTGAACTGTCTCTAACGCTTGTTCCACAGCGATGCTGGCTGGAGCCAACAATGTCTGGTTCTTCTCAGCAAACTCCTTGAGCTGAAAAACAGTGTTGTGATTATTTACTTTGAAATATCCATAAACAGACTTCATAGTTCAAAGTTGGCAGGAAAATTTACCAACTTTCGATTAATAAACAGAGTTGGATGTTAAATACAAGCCCTTAGGCTCACCTGAGGTGCGGACCCTGGAGTTGTGGTTTTAGGGGTATAGAATTAGAATACCCCTAAATGAAAATGGGGTCCAAGGGCCCTCCTCCAAGAATTTTTATAAATAGGCAAAATGAAGAATTTTAGGGGAATTAATGCAAAATATTCTGCGTTGCCTGGTCTCAAAGTATTGAATTCTTCGGTTATAACATAAAGTTTGTACTCAAAAGCACAAGAAAATTTAAGACATGTTTGACAACTTTAATATTGTTAAACTTATAGTCCTACTATAAAGAAACTGTAAAATAGAATTTAAATGTATTGGAAAATTAGATAGATAACAGGAATTACTAGTATGCCATGGGTAAAGGAGAAAAACTCAGATTTAATGCCATAATAAAGATGAGCTGTAGCAATTGTCGATTATTTTAAGTGATAGATTTTGTGTATACAATTAATAGGACAGAAATATAAAAAATAAAACGTATAAAAGTAAAAAACTAATGTTGTTTAGTGGATCTCATTTAAATTCCAACAATTGATTACAGTAACTGAATAATAGGTTATCCAAAATAGCCTTCCCCCTCATTTTTGGTTCGTTAGGGTTATATTTTGTTCAATGATACAGTATGGTCATTGAAATATTAGTCAAGCTTTTCTGTTTAACCAATAAATTACAGGGAGAGTGACTAGTGCTTTGTAACATCTAGAATTTGCAAAAAAGTGAAGGGTCTCTATTTCTAAGCAATTCATATTTTAAATAAATACAAATATTGGTTTCCTAGTATCACTTTATTGCGGACAATTCTGATAGTTAAACTTCAATTGCAGAGTTCTGAATCAAACTCCGCACTGCTAAGTTTAAGGGATAGTGTAAATAAATTAATTCATTATCAACTTTAAACCCGGTATCTTTTTTGATCGAGTTTACTTTAAAGGTTTAAAGTAGGGATGGGCCGATTCCGATTCTCGATACCTCGATACCTTCGATACCAGTGGTATCGAAGAATCGCCGATACTCGATACTTTGCTTCATTGTACTCGATACAGATTCTGAAAAGTGAGGTTAATTAATAATGCTAAACTCAACTGACATTGAAGGTTGTAAAGAGTGGCACATCATAGTTTATTTGAAATACTCTGAAGTCAGCTAATATAAATAATTCCAAGTTCATTATCTCACATTCGTAATAGTTTTATAATCCAAAATAGATTGCCATTGCATAGCTGTGTTCAGTTCATTTGACAACAGTGACAAGACAAGACAACTAGGCCTATCAGAACTCTAGTTGCCGCCATGTTGTCAGATCAAAGGCAATGTTGCCAGATGGTACAAGCATTTAATATATACATATAATACACATAAGGTGTATATAGTCAATGGTTTAACTCGCATTTTCTAACTTCAAATTGTGGCATAGCTTATAATTTTTTGTGAAAGTGTGGCATAGCTTATAACTGATTATAAGCTATGGAACAAATTCACGATTATAAGCTATGACATTATAAGATATGAGACCCCACGAACTGTTCAGCTAATTCAGGGCTTCATGGTGACTATTGTAGAAAGCCATTTAGCGATGTATTTTTATCGGTTTTTTTATGTTGTTTCTCTATGACTGAACTGAAACAGCTGTCACGAGTTTGCAAATGGCAAATTAATTGTTTAACCTATGTTTTGGTTTTTTGTTGTTTGTTTTGTTTTCTGTGCGTGCATAGTGAGTTTGAGTTGTTCAAAATGGATATGATCTCCGACTCCGTTCTAGTGATGTGACAAACTCCATGACTTTTTTATATGATTCTTTAAGTAATTTAAGTGATATTGATTATGACAATATTGAAGATGACTTTGAGTTTATAACTCAAGCAATATGGAACATTCATTGTAGGCCTAGGCCTAGATGTACGAATTATGAATTCTTATGAAAAAAAAACTCTGTGAACATTTTAGGCCTACCGGTACCTAAATTGGTGATTGTGCTCAATTAATTATTATTATCAATTAATTATTAATTAGTAAAATATGTAAAAATTCATGTCTTCTTGAAATAGCCCTATCTTATTTTTCCTTTTTGGCTAACCTAATCTATGTAACCTTAATAAATTCAATGCCGTTATCTTATTGTATTTAAAGATTAAATAAAGTTAGGCTTTATCATAAGTTCATAAGTTATATGTGTTATTAAATGAATTTTTAACAGGTATCGGTATCGAGTGCGGAATCGAGAATCGAAACCAAAGTTGTAGAATCGGAATCGGTATCGGAATCGACCAATTCAGGAATCGGCCCATCTCTAGTTTAAAGTTTTTTTTTCATCAACGCCAGTGGCATTTCACGAGAGAGTCACGAGAGAAACGTTTAGTGGATGTGCCGGGGCTTGAACCCGTCCCTCCCGCACCGAACGCTAACCACTAGGCTAGCAACACAACCAATGAAGTATTGAAGTATGAAGTATGAAGTATTGAAAGTTTTGAATTATAAGAGTATAAAATTAATTAGAGTAGACTGAACTGTATTAAAAAAAAGATGCGGTTGATTATTAAACAGATGTCCAAAGGAGATTAAGACATTATCCTCTGGGTGGTAAAAGTAGAACAGAAGAAGAGTTAACAAGTCTCACTGAACATATTTTACAAAAAGTTAAGGGTGAATTTAAAAGATAATTTTGGTCTAGCATTAACTTTTAATTTTTGTATGTAACATTTACTCCAAAAACACATCAGTGTTACAGTTTTATCATTTATCATTCACACTATACGAGATGGTGTTTTTCAAACTATCTTGAAAAATCGTCTTAGTGATCAAACTAGTTACAATAATTTTCAGTAGTTTAAGGTGTGTTTATATTCTTTTTTTTATACACATAATGCTGGTTTAAACTCTTTAAGGTAAATGAATAAGCCTTTTTGTAACATGGAAGTGGGCCTAAAGAGAATAAGAACACAATCCCGAACCTTACCTCTGTGTATCCTTCTGGGTCTGTTATTTGATCAGCAACAGCTGTGAAATAATGCTTAATGAGTTCTGATGTGGCTCCAAAACTGAAAAAATAAAATCGTTAAGTTTTAGTTGAAATTTTAAATGTTTTTGCTTCATTAGTTTTCAGTAAGTTATTTTCGGTTTAAAACACATAAAATCTACCACTGAAGTTCTTTTAACAAAAGCATCGCTATTGGTAATTTTCTTTTTATAATGTTTTTTTGTAGGTGAATTTAGGTGTATTTTGTTGCAGGTAAAACTTGAGTTTCACTAATAATTTATAATTTATGCATGAATTTTAGTTACAAACAACAATAATTTGATATTTACTCTTATATTATTTTAATGTTGTATTGTTAAGCATGTCTTGTACGTTTTCCAATAGAAAAACAGTATTCACTTGGTAATCATGAATTGTTCAAGTGTGAATTTATCATGATGTCTCACAACCATGATTTACTATCACTATTGTAATAATTATCTCCAGCCTTTAGATAAATTATGGAAAGACATCATCACCGTATTACATGATCACTTTCATGAATAATTTTGAACATCGAACACATTGCATAGCAATAGCAACTCATAAACTGAACCCAATATTTTCCCACAATTCTTGATTTCGGGTTTTGTGCTAGAAACCAATAAAACTGACAACTGACTCGTCCCTAAAGACCCTAAATGAAAATATTATTATTAATGAGATGAAAACAATTAATAGATTTACACTGATATACAATCATCACATATGTATATCATAGCTTGTCTGAGATAAGTTGAGGAGAGCTACCTCATTGAACAGGACAACGGCTGGGTCGACCCTGTGAGTTAATCCCTTGCCTCATTAAATGAAACGCTAAAACGTGGTAAAGTAATGAATTATTTAAACATGGAATTAAGAATGTAACTTAGAGCACAAGGGCCAATTATGAGTTTTGAGAGGATAGCAGGCTTACCTGAATGGGAAAGAGTCCAAACAGGCACACAAAACAGACAACTTTTCACCAACAAAACATTAGAATATTTTACTGTTACCGACAGAATTTTTCATAAAGGAATGCTTGAGTTTAAGAGAGTTTTCTTCAGGCCTAATGGTCAGGACCTGAGTGCCAGTTTAAACTTTTTTTCATTCAGGTAAGCCTAATATCCTCACAATAATTCTGAAAAATTGAATTTTTTTTCTGAAAATAATTTATTCTAAGTTATTACAATACAAAAAATTTTGCATCTGACTGACGTGATTGATTGATTAATTATCTTGTGAAAACTCAGAATAAAGTGTTCTGAGATAGCAAATTAATTACATTTTAAAATTATTCATTATATTTCCACTTTTAGTAGGTTTATTTGTTGAAAAGTGTCGTAACTACTTTACTTACAGAGTAGATCCAGCCATCGTACTCTTCTACCCCTAAGTTAGCCTGTCTCAAGATAATTTGAGACATAGAGAACCTCACATAGTTAAAGTTAAACACGTATTTCTATAACTTACTACTGTGACACTCGCTCGATGTTCCTAAAGAAGAACTTTTGGGCAACGTAGAATCCCACATCTTTGGCAGCGATTAACCTGAAGATTATAAAAGCATCTTGTTTTCTGACCCCCGATTCGCCATCCAAGGTCCACTCCAAAAACCTAAAAATTAAAAACATATAAATATGGGACTAAAAGAAACAAAAATTAAATTAAACTATATGGATTTTTTAATGCTATTGGTAAAAATAGACGTATATTTTTTGTTTTTACACCAAAACCTTACCATAAACTGTTTTTATTCTGACAAATTTTCCCGATAAGCAATCTGGAAACTGTAAAACAAATCTGTTTTGTTTTAATATATTTACACACATCGATTTTGAAATAAGCTTATGTGGAAAATTTTTTAAAATTACATACTTACATAAAGTAAGCAGAATAATGTTGAAGAAGAGGAGGAAAAAGTCAAGATGGAATTATTTTGCTGGGTTTGATAAATTGGCAATCTGGAATTCAGACAAATTCAAGCCAGACCTGGTTAGTCTCATCGTGTTTGAATCAAAGAGCTACTTGATCTGGTATTCTTTTTTTGTATATTCTGTCCTTAACATCGGTTTGCACCCTTGAATTTTAAAATATTTAAGACATTATTTTAACTTTACCTCTCAAGCAGCCATACTTCCTTGGTGTTGGTAAGAGCTTTCAATATATTATTCTTCTCAGCAACGACATTCGCATTCTTGTATTTCTCCCACAAGAAGTTCCAAACTTCCTCGCCTCCTGACTGAACTGCGTGACTGTACACAACTTGTCTGATGTCCTTAGGAATCCTAATAAGTTACAAACACTAAATTAGGAATTATATGAATCAGAAAGTTACTAGATCTGGAACATACAGGATGACCCAACTTCAGTTACTTACAGTAGAACCTTGGGCGGATCAACCATGGTCAATGGATGCCTCTAAAATTATGATGGACATAACCTCACTATCTCAGAAAAATTCAAAGAAATTTGTATAAATTGTATTGAAATTCATGGTATATTCAACTATTTCTGCTCATTATTTATATGCAATAGGCTCTCGCATTGCTTATTTTTTTAAGATCACAGTTCATTTGACAAAAATAAAATGGAAGCACAACAAAGAAATATCGATAGCTTCATGCTCAAGCTATCCGCTAGCACTGACAATCGTCTGTTCCTTACACATTCAACACCTTACATGATTTAGCAAACAAAATAAATTTCGTGACCCATTATTGTTGCGTTTAGCTAGCTGTGCCTTGCTATGTCACAAACCGTACGTGATTGGGTAATTGGTAACCATGACAACTTTAGTAGCCTGTGGATGATTAGTAACCATGGCAACATTTTAAGTGTGTGGATGAAGAGAATTCCAAGAAATAATAGAAGAACAAAGAGCCCTACTAATTGTATTTTGAAAATGCAAATAGTTGCAATTGTAATCAACTGGGCGGTTTTTGTTTTACCGATTGTATTGGTGTGTTACTCTTTCAAAAATGTCATTCGTGTTGGAATATGTAAATATAGTCATGGTTTGAATGAACAATTGCCTGATGCAGGGTGTCCACACAAAATTTTTCATTAATTTCCATGACTTTCCATGACTATCCATGACCATTTACCATTGATTTCCATGACTCACGAACTTTACACGCAAATTATTATATAACATACACACACAAATATAACTGACTGGACATGTTATTTTGCAGAAAATACTGAAATATGTAATAACAGATAACAATGGAGTACAATAGGTACAACAATGAACTAATACAAACCGAAAACTCATAAAATAATACAACTGTAATAAATTGAATTGTCGAACATTTGTGAAAAATCCTGAAAAATGCTACAACAGTCCGGGTTACAGCTGACTAGAGCATTGAATGGTCCCCTCAAATCCATCCATAATTGGAAATTTCCATGACTTTCCATGACTTCTTGCCTATTTCCCTGACTTTCAATGACCCAAATTTTTTTCCCTGACTTTCCAGAATGTGGACACCCTGTGATGTTAAGAAAGTTCATTTCGTTGAAGAGAGCATCCGAAGGGTAGCGCCGACAACTGCCTAAGGCTGCATTTACTATAACCTTTTGGGTGATTGATTATTAAGGTGTTAAAATATAACTATTTGCAGATCTCCAGGCTAAATTTTTTCATCAAGTAGATGAGTATAACAATTCCTGGTTAGAGCGTAGTGCCTAGAATTTAAACGTGGGACGTGAAAAATAGTAAAAATGAACAACTCGAGTCCTGAAACATGTACAACTTACGGGTTATGATCTGAGTCTTGTCCCTTGAACCAGCTGTTGAAGAGTTCCATAGCCAGATCACCACATTTGCCGACATTGAGAGGACACGCCCATCCAGTAATAAGGCTTATTAAACGACCTTTCTCAAAGTCAGTTGTTTCTTCCATCGGGTTTAGATTTGATACCACTGACTTCAAAAGACGCCGCATGAAGTTCTAACAAACACATCATACTTCATGAGCTAAAAGAATTGGTTTAAACAATTCTATGTATAACATAAAGATTTAAAAATTTACCTGCTCAAGAGTAAAGTATTTAGTTTTTCGGTAACTTACATGCAATAATACATTGGATTAGAACAGATGTTTCATCATGGTTTTTGAGATGTGTTCTCAACTTATTGGTCCTTGAAATTTACAAGTTTGATTTTTACTTCCCGTCTCCCAAATAGTGTGTCCATTAATCAATAACAAGCAGTCAATCATTAATCAAGACATTGCAAGGGAGAATTAAACTTTATTTTTTATTATTCGCATACAATACAGATGTTTCATAAAAAAAGTTGGTGGCCTCTTTTAGTCTTGAGCTTGCCTACCTTTATGAGCATCAGATCTGCACATGATATATTGCAAAGAAAGTGGTTCTCGTTCTTCATGATGTTCCAATCTAGAGAGCTGAAACCCTACTGGACTGAGGCTGTTTTAGGACTTAGTCCTCTTCAGCCTTAAGGAAGTGGTGATTAAGTACAGTACAAGAAGGAAATGAGGATAAACTTAAAGTGGCGACAACAGGACACAAACTCATAACACCGCTGTATTGGTTCCACGGTTAGTCACACTTCCAACTGAACCACCCATTTACCAGATAAACTGTCATACCCATTATCATATTCTAAACTAAACATTTTGTTTAAACTATGTGAGATTACCCATAAACCAAAAACGAATAAATCCTTGAAGTAATATTGTAACAACACACTACGTAATCATTCATAACCGAGAGAAGTACACAGGGTTTCAAGATTTGAAATTTACGTTTCAAGATTCAAAATTTAAATGTTGATTAAAGTTACTAGATTTAACTAAGCTTTGAATTAAACTGTTTAATAACAAAGAGGATAGCAGCTAACTTACCTTGAAGAAGCACAGGGTAGGCTATAGAACAGAAGACACACAGAAAGCACAATATTTCGTCCCTTGGGGTACTTTTTCAAGTGTAATAGAGAAAGAGGGTTTACAAAATGGTAAAAGAGTAAGAGTAAGAGATAAACGAGTTTACAATTTTTCTCTTTCACTTTCTCTACATTTGAAAAAGTCTCACAGGGGATGAAATATTGTGCTTTCTGTGAGTCTTCTGAATGTTCTATGACCTACCAGTACTTCTTCAAGGTAAGTTAGCTGCTATGTATCCTCTTTATTCTACAGTTCAAAATCCTGACCTGGTTTTGTTTCCTTAAACAAAACTGTGTACTAAGAAAATCATTTATTAAGATTGGTGGATTGATATTTTAATCAAAGAAGACCTCTGTTGAAAGGTACTTACCTTGAAATCACCATAAATGGGTGTGCGAATTAGTTTTGATTTGATTAGCTCCAGTTTCGTCAAAGCTGCGTTCCAAGGGATGAAAGCCGTTTCTCTCTCGGTGTAGGTGATGAGTGAGAAAGCGATCTTAAAGTCGAGAATCCCACAATTGGCAAAGTCCATGACATCAATGATCAGTAAGGCTCGGTTCATCACATCGATATCGTCGAACTTGGGTGAGTTAAGAGCAGCAATGAGGAGGTCCCAGTTGTGTTGGTCGTAATTTGTTTTATACAGTCCTGAAATAGTGATACTGATATTATAACTGCACATAGATCCTGTAATAATAATTAAACATAACATAGTATAATATTACACATTACGTAAATATTGATGGTTTAAGGTTTAGTTTCTAAATGAAAGTTTGATTTAATGGAATGTTTTAGGCTTTCCACCCTAATGCCTGCAACGCCTCAAACATCGGACTAGACACTGATACATACAGAGCAAAGTATTCAAACATACAACCAATAGCAAAGTGACATTCCCAACTTTATTTAACAATGAGTTTATTCCAACACCTTGCATTGTGCTGATGTTGTTTAACCACTTTGACAGAACATATAACAAAACAAAAATGTTTAACAATCCAAAATCATAACTCTAACGACAACGACAAATATAATTATTTTTATGTCAATATCATAGAGAAATTTGTTCTAACAATCTTTGTAGCATTATAAATCTTTTAGATATTTACTTAAAATATATTACCTGCTGCTCTGTTGTTGAAGATGACCCATTCATTTTTTTCAGCTTTTAAGTGAAATGAAAATTGCTTGTGACCTCTGGGAAACCATTCTGCTGGTCGATTGTCCTTGAAATTGTGCTCCTAGTACAACAAATGATCAGTTATTGGCTATATCAAAATAAAGTATGTTTATATGTAGTGAGTGTCCCATGGAAAAGACACTATTTTAATATACAAGATGCATGAAACACGTTACAAACTTGACAGGCACTAAACACATATGTAAATACAACCTGGATTCCCTTTTGGTTCCAAAGAATCAGAATAGAATGGAATACTACCAAAATAGCACATTTTTGTTAAATTTGTCTTATTTTCAAAACTATATCAAATTAATCCTTCATTTTTTTCTTTTTTTCATTAACTGTTCCTTTAGTATATCAAATTAAAGAAATTAGAAAGTAGTTAACTACTAATTAAATCAATTTTATTTTTAACCCTTCATTTAAACTGATGTCGACCAATCACTATACAGTCAAATACACATGTATTTATTATGACTGTAGAGTTTCCAGTTTGCAGCCTGTTCAATACATTTAGTATATTAATTTGAAAATAGCAACTTCTTCAAAGAAAACCCTACATATACATCATGTATATGTAGAACTTCAATAGCAAGACCCTTAATAGCAAGTCATCCTTGATAACAAGTGTCATTCTCAAATACTCTTTATGATGTTTGTGGATTAAACTCTTATTTAAATTAGACAACCAGATTTTTACGGTACAATATACAAATCTTAGATTTGTCTAGGCACTTTCTGCACTTGAATTGTTGATTTGACACTTTACTAAAAGTCAGAAAAAAATCTAGCAAAAATCAAACCCAACATATGGTTTAGACATAGCAGCTTCAATAAATATGTATAAGTTGGCATGAATCAAATTAATTTAAAAACTATATTACTATTACTTAATATACTGAAACAAGTACCTTTTCTGTGGAGAAACTCAAAGGAACCCACCACTTTGCCTTTTGGTCGAAGTCGATATCAGACTTGTTTGCGTAGTATTGAGTCTGCAAAAATAAATATAAAGGTTTATACACTAAAGTTGATTACTATAATATTTACTTAACACAATCAGTCATAGACTAATGTTCTATATTAAATTTATTATGATCATTTAAAAAGTGAACAATTTATCATTTGGTGTTCTCATTCAATTATTGTCAATATTCTCAACAAAATTATTAATTAAGTCATATGAATAATAAGGAAGACTTACCAATTGGCTAGTAAGTATTTTTTTGTTAAGAAATTTTATAGTAAAAGAACACAGAGAACATAAGTCTGATGTTTCGTCCTGATGTACTCTCTGTATTATTCTATTGCTTTTAGCCATAGAATGGCAGTGTTTCATATTATGATTATTCAACATTGGTTATACTATTTTAAGTTCATACCTACCCATCCAGTGTTTAAATTGTCAACAGTTAACATACAAAATAGTTTATACTACAGTTGAACGAGTCCCTAAATTTCGGAAAAAAGTATATTTCTAAACTTCAGTTGGGATTACATTTAATTTGGAATTTTCTCAGGAACTTTTTCAACTGTCAGCAATTTTGACATTATCAGGAGTGATCATGTCTTTAGGATCGTGGGAAAAGTCAAAGATTTTGTCATAGCTGATGTTGTCTCCACGATCGCGGGCAATAATAACGATGGCGCCACAATGATGGATTACAGTCATGATGACATATAAGTGTGCAGTAAAGACTGAACTTTGATTTTAACTTAAGATTGAACTGGGTAGCACTGTAAACTCTAATTGTGTCATTATGGCCGTTTGCAAGAATTGGTACTCACGATTTTTTTAAAGCAATCAAGTTTCCTTTGCTACACAGAAAGAAAAATCCCATCCCATGACAAATCGGAAAGGATACAAAAATCGTATTCTTACATGTCCTGAACTAAAGTAGCCTTACAATCGTTGACTTTTCTTTTGGAAACTGAAGTAGACATCCCATCTCCATGGACCAGCTGTTGCATAATCTTTATTGAAAAATAACATGGTCCTGTGAGCCAGTCATAGGTTGTGCTAGTGTCCAAAATTCTATTTTCTACCTTATATTTTGTTACTGAGATAGTTCACGTGACATAAAAGTAGCTTACAATAAATCCTACTATCAGTTTAACTTTGTTAACACGTTCGCTGCGGTCGTGCAATGGCCAGCCATGGCAGGTGGCAGGAGCAGCCAATGCGCTGTGTAGATGTGTGTGCAAAAATGTTTAAATTTAGTTTCATCCATTGGGTGAGGCATATTATAACATGTACTGTGTTTTACTCGTTGTAGACGTAATTTTACAAGAACCCAACCAATAGCAGCACTAAAAAGCAGTCTTATGATTGCCAAATGGAGAGGAAAAGTAGGGACAAAAACCCAGATACACCATAAAAAAATATTGCAAAAAGGCGTCAAGCACAATTATGAGGTTTGGTTCCTTTCACAATGCTTTTTACTGCAGTAATTATTATCATTATTCCATACATTTCACTAAATTTAAGCCCCACACTACACTGAATTTGGAACCCCCCCTCCATCAATAAAATAGTTGTATCTTAAAACAAACTATACTGGATTGAAGTATAAAACTGGAGCAATAAGCGCCAATCAGAAACAATGTTCAGCGTGCGAGACAAAGCTCACATTGAAGTAAGATTGTTGTTATGCAAGGAGGACAACATTTCCTGCCCCGCACCAGTGGTGCCGGTATGGCAGGACGAGAATTCCTGCCCCTCGCACTCAACGTGTTAAAAAGTCTACATACTCAACGGTAATTTACATCAGCGCAATCTGTTGGCAGCTTACTTCAATTACGTCCGTTTTGACTAAACAAGCGACAACTTTAACATGGGGATGAAATGTCTAGTTGTATCAATGGTCAAATAATAATCTCGTTTAACCCTAAACCATACTTTTCCAGATTATAAATATTCAACAGTAAACAACAAATTATAAGGTGACCCCCATACCTGAGTGATGGTGACGTTCTGTTGTTCATACTGTCGTTGTACAGTTATGACAGGATAGCCAGTTTGTAATGTCCACGTATCCATGATTTTCTTCACTGTCAGGTCTTTGGGCAAAACTGAGAATCTAAATAAAAACAAATATCAGTCTAATACCAAGAATGCGTTGAACAAAGTAAAAGAATTTTGAATCTGAGCGTCCAAACAATTTAAGTCTAAGTTCTATGCAAAGTTCAAGCCTCAGGAATTAAATTTTGTGACAAATGTATAAACCTCACTCCTCGTAACAGATTTACAGTGTTTACAGGACAATAGCATATTCGGAAGTCTCTCAAGTTTTTGGTTAAGAAAATTTTTTTTAACTGGGAGCTAAGAAAAGAGGATTAGCACAAAAGTTCCCTTTTGTTAGTCTTATGGCAAGATTTACATGGATGTCAATCCATTTATTTCATCCAACAAGTTTTTGGTGGACAGAAATGCATTCAATAAGGATCATACCTGCAATTCACAAAGATCCCACATTCCATTTATCTTATAAAATCTCACTTGACCTGCACTGTTTGTTTGTTTAAGGTGAGCCTCTTAAGGTGCCTGAGCTCTGTGACAGACAGGCAAACTAAAGAATTAAACACCAGATTGGATTTGAACCTTCTTTGGTGTTGTTTCCAGGACACAACAGCTGCTTGGCCATCGATTAGACCAAACAACCAGTAAACCCAACAATCTATCGTAGTAGTTCGAAGCTTGCCACCCAGAATGCAGCAAATTTTGGGTTAGGCTTTCAGCCCAGACTGTTTAAGGGTGCGCTCTACCTCAGCTCGGAAATCTCAGCTCGGGCTTCAGTAGCTATGTTGCACCATTGGACAGCGCCGCGAGAAGCGCTTGCAGTGGTTTCCAAGATTCGTGTTTTCGAATTAACCTATAATGATAGCTACGGCTTATAGTAGTGCAAAGACCAATTTATAGTTCTGCGTTTTTTCGAATGTTCAAATATTGTTTTTTTAATAAGTTAGGGCTAGTTGAAAAGACCTTTTTCCTTGGCCTGCAACTCAAGTTTATAAGGCGTGTATTAAAAATAATTGAAATATAGAAACATCTATAGAAATTTTCATCCTCTTTAATATGAGACCCTAACTTTGATTCTACCTTCAATGTAGCAGGTGAAAACAGATATCTTGCAAACCCTTGCATTCGGTGGCGCGACAGGGGTAAAGCGCGCCCTTAACACCTTAATTCAGACTACATATGCAGGGTCACGGCATCGGTAATTGGTGAGATTCGAAGCCAAGACCCCAAGGACATTCATTCCTCAAAAGATTTGTTATGTTACTTTTGACATCTCATACTGTCTTTGAGCTTCCTTTTTTAGCCTTTGAGGCTTAAAAGGTTCAACAGTTATTTAATTTGATTACAAAATTTTATAAATAAATAGTTTAGTTGCACCACGAGTATAGCTAATTTTCTAAGAGACTGTAAATCTATCTAAAAAGGGGGGAGAGGAAAGCACAAGGGGGAGAAGCGGGGACTTATGGGAAAATACACCTCTTAACATGGTCTAACAGCATACAAAATTCCAGCTTTCCCAGAATTACTTCCAACATCTGCCTTATTTATATCTTCATTGACTGGGCTAGATGTAAAATAATACCAACCTGTGAGCTTGTTCTGTTAGTGACTCCCACAAATCATCTTTTTCGGCATTTGAAAACTGATATTTCAGCAGATATGCGCTTATTCCAGCCCGGAAAACTTCCTCTCCTAAGAAGAGACTTATCATGCGCAGAAGAAATGATCCTAGAAGAAACAAATGAGCTGTTACAAAGGAAACCTATTAAGAATTGTATACCTAAATAGAAGAAAAGAAACATAATAAGATTGATAAATGCAATTTATTTTAGGTAATATTTGTTTTAACTAAGACTGAGCATTTTACATCTCTATTTGAACTTTTGAAAATCCTACATTCCAGTATTTCGGTGTGAAAAATATATTTTAACCACATTATAATATTGCCTAAGTTAAAGAGCACTAATTTACACTGCCATACATTTTTATGATACCATTCTGAAATTTGGCATTTTTTAAACTATGAATATACTTGTAAATAAAAAACAAGCAATCTAAAGCTATTTATTTTCCCTCTATAGGTATAACTTGGGTGACAATGCACTGTATTTAGCCAAATTTGTACATATAGGCCTATATATGTGACAGTTAGAATAAATTGTGTTTTTTTTCTTTCTTCTTCTTGTAGGCCTACCCCAAAAAGCAGTTTTAGAACACTAGCCATCCTAAAAACATACTCACAAAAAAATCCTTAACTATTTACTTTTTTCACCTGCGTTTTTACTATCACACTTATTATACTACTATACTGACTATATACCAAAGTCAAAATCCAATTAATGAATTTAAAATACCAATTTAAAAAGCTTAAAGTTAATAAATAAGTCAAATAAACTTGAGCACCTTGATAAAGTCAAAACGACAGTTAGCTCCATAAAAATAAACATGATGTTTCCAGTAATGTTATTATGAATATCATGAATATCATTCACAAGACCTGTACAGCACAGTGAACTGGAATTTAGTAAAGCCAGGAGGAATTGGTTTAGAAACATAAATTAGGCCCTAATAGCTTACATGTTAAGGAAACTTACCTTTGTCATATGATATTGCGTCAAAAATATTACTGATTTCTTTCGGATGATTTATCACTACCGACACTGGATGAGAAGTTTTCAAAGAGTCTAGGTGAAAGACTCTGAGCAAATCTGAAAGCGCCTCGGCGTCCAATGAATTCCACTCAGGGAATATCTGGAAGATAGTTTTATCATAGAATGTAGAATGAATTATAATTACCTATCTTTAAGAAAAACACAATGCTACATATTTGAACCTGAATACAAGTGAAGTAGGACCTATGACTGTTAAATGGAGATGAGATGGAAAGTGACGAAGACCAGCTGTTTCTTTAGTCGCGACTATTTATTAAAAAGTCCAATGATCATGACTGGTGGTTCCAGTCTCAAACCACCCAAAAGCTACTGACTTTTCTCATGATCGAACTTGTGTATTAAAAACATTGTCTTTTCTTGGATTTTTTAGACAGATTTAGAGAATAACTGGGTGGTAAATGCCGCTTATGAATAAAAAGGCTTTTGGCTATTTTTTTAAAATTACAATAACTTAGGTTTAAGACCATAAGAGCTTCAGGCTTTCAAAAAATTCAAAACTGGAACCAGCTGTCCTTTATCATTGGCATGTTGTTAAATGGACCTAACTAAAATTTTGCTGGTCATTAAATTACCGGTAATATAGTTATAAGAAATCTATGTGTCAACATACAAAGCATACACTGAGACATTGTCTTGCCATATAAATTGTTTGAATCAAGATATAAGGTATACTCTTTACCAGTTTGAGTAAACTGTGGAAAACTTCAGTTTTTATAACTGAACCAAGATTTATGACTACCAGCACAACTGTGCATTATTCATATTGTAGTTTTTGTAGATAAAAATTTAAATTATATTTTCTCAACCTCAATATTTATTTTTTAAGTACTTGAACGTCAAGCTATCCAAATCCGAAACTTTGCCTTTAATTATCCAAATCCGATCTGAACTGAAGTTTCACTATCCACACACCTCTAGTGTCAACATTTTTCTCTTGGTTAATAAAGTGTTGATTTGCTCACTTGTTGTATAACTAACTATTTTTAAACTCTAAAGACAGCTTTGTACACTTACATAGTCAACGGCCAACCCTGCCATGTAGGTGGCGAACCCTTCCTTGAGCCAGAGGTCCGTCCACCATCGCATTGTCACCAGATTGCCGAACCACATGTGGGCTATCTCATGGGCAATGATCGAGGCTATGTACAGCCTCATAATACTTGATGCAGTCTTTTCATCCAGCAATAGGGAAGACTCCCTACAATAAAATCACATAGTGCAATAATTATTTTCAAAAGAGTTTTGTTGCCTCCGGTTAACTGTTTAATTCTTTTAAATGGATTAAATACCTGCATAAAGTAATCCTCGGTTGCTGTAGTGGCAACTAGTTAAGGAAATTTTGCAATTCCTTTCCAAACTATTTTGTACAACTTAAAAATATTATTATAATAAAGCGTTGTTGTACGCCCAATTTTTATTAAGAAAATTCTGACAAAATGTAAATTTAAATGTTTAGGTTATTCTTATGGAGAGAAAATAGAATGTGCTTTACTTGTTTAGGGATATATTTTTTATCCCACTTTATTACCTTCCCTGTAGCAACACACCTAAGTACTCATTGACATTTTTTTAAAATTCAAATCAAGAATAAATCTGAAAGTTTAAAGGGAAAATTTGAGTGAAAATCCAACCAGGTATTTTATAGTTGATTCAAAACCGCCAAAATCAAACCAAAAGTTTTTAAAGGATGCATTTGCTTCCAGACATAAAGTAATGATATTTATATCTTTACCAGTAATCTGTCCCTATCACAATAAACCCAAAGTATTAATTAGTTAATCACGGCTTGAATCCGAGTAAATTACAAACCTGAAGGTTATCATTCCCCAGTTCTCCATTGCTCCTATCTTGAAGTCTGGTATTGCCAAAAGATCTTGCTTTGGAAGAGAATACTCCTTCCCAAAAAATATTTCATAAAACTTAAGAAATTTTGGACCGACCAAAGCTGGAAAAGCACTTTGATCAATCGCATCTTTCCGGGCCCAGACTCTGAACGTGGTGTCCTTTGGATTTTGAACAACTTCGTTTACTTCAAATTCACTGTAAAAAAAAACACTCTTATTCTTAATGCTCATATGATAAAAAATAACACAAAACTTAGAAGTTTTATGTAATAATTTTTTTTTTTACTTTGTGGTTGCTATTAACGGGAAATTTAGAAACCAAATGCATTAAAAAGGGTAGCAATCGGACTATAAACAAAAGATCTTACATTGTGAATTGATTGTGTAAAATCTAAATCCAAAACTTTTCAGAAATTATTTTCTAATTTTAATTTGTTATAGAAAAGATTGGAAAGAATGCCTAATCCAAAATGTCACCTCGTTTTTTTTTTTTTTTTTCATAATACAATATTTCTACAGTTTATTTATGTCACAACTACAAAGTAATGCTTATGAAAAAACAGACGGGTTTTTGTGAGAAACTATCAAGGAAAGTACTTACCTAACCATGAATGCAACGAGGTAAGTGGACATGAGTGGAGTAGTCTCAAACTCGCTCCAAACAAAATTTGTGATTTTTTCATCTCTGAAGTTTTCTCTGTGGACAAGTTGTTTTATTTATTAGTTTAATCAGTTTTAGAAGGATGTGTTGGTTTGCTATTCTATTTGTTAGTATATTTGACATTGGTGAGAGAGAATCTCGATGAATTTTCAAGTATATCCACAAAGATTTGAGCTGCCCTTTGGACAGCTTTCCCTCAAAAACGTTAGTGTTCTGTTTTACAAAATGTCATTGGAGTAAAAAATGCTATTCGAAGTATGTGACTAGTTAATATTAATTTTATTAATAATACCCTGTTTATGTGTTCATTAAGGTTTCCACTTTCCAGTACAGGATGGTAACTTTATAAGCCAAGACACTGATCAAAATAATTTTATTTTATTTTTAACGGCAACATGTATAAGTACGAAATATTTCAGCCTGAGGTTACCAAATTTTACTAAACTACAGAGTAAAAAACTGAACAAAAAGTTAGAATCGCCAGTTAATGCTGCTAACTGAAAATTAGCATATCAATGAAACGTACTAGGGATAAATGTAATGAAATGAAATGTACTAAAATTTGTGATTTTTCCAATGCTATTTTACACACAATTTGTTTTTCGGTTTTCATGTTTATTTAGAAGAGTTAATTTTGTTTTTTATTCTTTAAAATATGCTGAAATTTCAGAATCAACTTTAAAATATGTTTTTCGTTGATTTTATTGAAATGCATGAAACTTCTTTGTACCAGTAGCTAGAGGAGAGGCGTGGAAAAAGGCTATGTGAAACGGTAAACCAACTTCAGGGCCTATGCAGTGTATAGGTATTGCCAGTCTATGTTACTCGTTGATTGCTGGTGCGCACACTCACTTACCAAAAGTGGATCATCATGTAAACACGGTTGTGAGCAAGACTTTGTGTGTGAGGGTTAAACAACCCTTCACCTAAACACTTATCACTAAAATATAAATAATTAAGAAAATACACATTTACTTACAAAGGATTTGTTGATTTCAGCGGCATGTTACTAAGTGCCTTGAGGTCCTGATGATGCCCCAATCTAATGTGGAAGGTTGCTTTCAGTAAAGGTTCGTCAAAACAAGGAAATGCTCTCCTGGCATCACTGGGCTCAAAATGGGTGACCGCAAGATACCTACAACATTGAATTATTAACAGAAACGATAAAAAGAAGCCCTTTTAATGCCATCATTACAGCAGTAGCCAGTTTTTATTTATTTGAGCGGTAATGTCATACTTGCACTCTTAATACACAAATAGCTATTCTATATTAGAGAGCAACACAAGTTGGTGTTACTGGATTTCAAACATTGTGAACTGATACTATAAACAGCACACAGCAACAATAACAATGCTAATGGCGGCGCTTGAAGAGCAAGGCATGCCGGGAGTCGGCACGCATGCGTGTTTTGTCTTTGGCACTCACTTCAAATAGATTCAGCAAATCGGACCTTACTTTTGGAATAACTCTCGTATATAAAATGTAATCTAGGTTATGTTTACTTTTTAAGGCTATGTTATTTGCTCACTGCATGCTAGTGTTTATATCGACACCAAGGCTTTGGCCACACGGGCGTTTTTTCACGCGGTAAAATGTAGCTTATTTTCACGCTGCTTGAATTCCCGCTGTTGTATGCCACACGTGCGTTTTTATCACGCGAAAAAATTTAGCTTATTTTCACGCAGGTTGCGGCAGGAGCGGTAAAAAGCCGTGGGAACCCGCAGTTGATTGACTAATTCACAAAGTTATGTTGTAAATCTTCCTCATGGCCGGAATAGTAACCTTGTTTCTGACTAGTGAACAAGAAATATGAATGGTATATTGATTTCGGTACGAAAACAATACTAAAATTATTTTATTTTGTTAACCTTTCATTTAATTATTTACATTTAGTATAAAAAATAAATTATATATCTTATATTATATATTATCTTATTTTCACGCAGGTTGCGGCAGGAGCGGTAAAAAGCCGTGAACAAGAAATATGAATGGTATATTAATTTCGATACGAAAACAACACAAAAATTATTTTATTTTGACATTTAGTATAAAAAATAAAATATATAATATAAATATTTTTATGACAAGATTTTCATTAGATCTTTGAATATTCTACTACATAAATGCCTCTTTACATTTTTAGTACAACTAAATGCCTTTCCTTTTAGTAACAAATTATTAAGTGGCTCAGTAAGGTCGACCTATGTTTAAGATCCTAATGTATAATTGGCTAGACCCAAAAATATTTTACGATATCCTGGAAAAAATTTTATACATTTAACTTTATTTTAACTTGCTAGAACGACTTGATCAAAGCTGCGTGTTGCTCCCGCCCGTGTGGCCAGGGACAGAGCGTGAAAACAAGCTTCAAAAATGCACCCCAGTCCATTCTTCTGCGGGCCCGCGGCGGGTGATTTTGCAGACGCGCCTTATCTGCGAGAAAACAGACTCCGTGTGGCATACCTCATTACATTTAATGCTGCCCATATTTCTCGCGTTTTTTCACGCTGCGTTCTTGCGTGAAAAAACACCCGTGTGGCCGTAGCCCAACTGTGAAATCAGCTGATTTAGCGAGTGAGAATGAATAAACCAGAAATAAGATATTTTGTGTACTATTTACAGGTGTGGCAATGTGATAATTTCCACAGTTGTGGGAGAATTAATTTTACATTTAGTTATGAACAGAATGAAATAGGCTTAGATAGTTCAGCACATCCCGGTATCAAACCAGGCAGAACTTACATCATAAGGATGTTAAATCTAGGGAGAATTTAATCAATCAAACAATTTAATTAGCTGTCCCAAACCTGTGGTTAATCTAATTAGATAAACCAATCAATTAATAGTCAATGTTTTATTTTAAATAATCATAGGAGCTCGTGACATCTAAGCTGGCACTTGGCCTAGGGCGGGCAGTGTAGACGGGAGGAGGGTGGAGGTAGGGGAAAGACCGGACTGCAAACATTTCCGCTGCCTCACGGGGTTGACTCCCCTTGTATTATGTACTTGAGCGCCTTCATATGGGTCGCGAGGAGAGTTGATGCAAGCCTCATGATGGGACATAATGTTTTTGAAATAGGTACTAGTAGCGATCGACCAAGTGCCAGCTTAGATGTCACGAGCTGTACATCAATCCAACATAGTTGGATAAACGGGTGAAAATTGTCATGGTTTGTTTACAAAGAATTTAAAAACTGATACAGTAGTACATAACATACAAAACACAAGTCAACACATGATTACAAAATTATCTTTGTTCCTACTTCAAAAATTGTTAAATATTTAGGAAAAAACCTATGGTTTTTATGGTTTTTCAATTTATTTTTTTTTTTTTTTTTATGTTGTGCTATGTTTTTGTGTTGTAAATTGACAGTTTACGCTATTTAACATTTAGAGAATGTACAGATAGAGAACTTACTTCACCGAGCCAGAAGATCTGTCGACATAGCTTGAACGGTAATAACCTACAAGATCGTCTTTCAATGTAGCCTCAAAACTAAGGTCAATATAGTACTCCTTTTCCACTTCCAAGGGGCTTTCAGTTGTGATAATATAAAAGTCATTCACCGTGTCCAAGGTTGAGCTAGTTACAACCACTTGCGTTGAATCGACTCTTGACTCTGTTCTGATAGATGTTTTGCCGTTGTCTATTTCAAGATCTTGAGCGTGGATTTTGATGGTATTTTTTGGTTTAAGGCACTTTATCTGAAAGAACAAGCACAAATGAAAATATTTCTCTGATAGGATACAATTATTTTAACTAAATTTACAATTTAAACTAAAAGTTGTTAAAATATATCAACCAATTTATTTGCTTTAGGAATAAAATTGTAAACAGGAAATGATGAAATGGCAACAGGCTTTGTACTTTCGGGCATAAGCCTGATATTTATATAGGCTAAAACAAAATATGTTTTCTTTGACAGATAAAAACATGTTAATTTTGAACAGCTGAAAACTAGTGATGTGTCGGTACCTGATGGCAAATCTCTGTACCACTGGTTCTAAGGTGATATTCCGGTAATCATTTCCAAGAACCGATGTTAAAATATCGGTACGGTATTGATACTTTGGTACAAGCAGGGCACGGGCCAACTAGCTGCACGGTCTGACGATGACATGGGACAAATTGCTAGTGCAACAATTGTAGACCCTCTCTGGTGAAAAGTTACTTTTACCGCCAAAACATTGGAATAGTTATTTGTGTAACTAGTGGTGAAAGTGGCACTTTGCTGCACATGAGAGCAATGTTTACGCACGAGCCGCAGGCGAGTGTGGAATGATCTCGAGTGCAGCAAAGGCCTTTTTCACTCGTGTTACACATTATATTTTTCCTACAGTCACTATAAGGCATATAAATAATTAGTCTTTCAAACACTATGGTGCCCTAGAGAAAGTAGTACCTGCGGTCCATATCACTCCGCTATTTTTCCTCGGCAAAATGTGCTCCGCGTTTTGAGAATATAGTTCCGTATGTTTTTGTAATTTGAAGTGGTTTCCGCGCCTAAAAAAAATGCTTAAAAGGTATTTTCTTGTTTATTAAGATCGTAGGAAGGTTTTAAGATGTAACGAGTTATTTTCCCTAGGGGGGTATATTTTTGCTATTTGGCCGCGCACCGATTGTTGAGGTGAGCAAGCGGCGGCGGCGAAGCTAGCGAGCGCCCTTTGACCCGGCTTATCAGTGCCGATAAGCCTGGGATATCCTAGATCTTCAGGACAGTATAGAAAAGACATTCAAGTCGTCGATCCCGGGCAGTGAAGAGCGAGCGTTTGTCGAGTGAGACGTGGAGTGTTTTGGTGACATCGGTGTCGTGTGAGATTGGTGCTCAAGGAGTGAGTGTCGGCATTCAAGTTGGGTAGTGAGACAGTGACCCACTTGTGGTGAGTGGACGACGTTTTATTATATTTTGGTTTAAGAGAGTTAGAGTTGTAACCGTGCTGGTCAAAGCCTGACGGTAGTTAGGATTTATTTACAGGTGTCAGGAATAAAAAGTATATTCCTGACGGTTCTGGGCAGGTGCTAGAGCGCAAATAATATAATTTATTGACTGTAGTAGTTATTATTTTGCGTTGTACCAGGAGTTAGTTATATTGCTAATAACTCTGAGGCCCGACAAACCTAGGCTGCACGATTTAGCGTGCGTAGTTGGAAGCACGTGGCCAGTAGGCTAGTAGCTAATATTATTAGCCGATTAACAGAAGCCCAGCTAAGTAACATAAAGTTGGTAGTAGCAGTAGCAGTAGTAGGGTTGTTATTGTTTATTCATTTGATTATTTTGATTTAACCTGAACAGCTTGTTTGGTAGTCCAACACGTTATCTTGGTAGCTTGGATAGCGGAGTACCGGCTATCAGATAATATATTTATCTAGTGTTTGGAACGTATTTAATATTTATTTATCTGCTACTAAGTAGCTCAATATTTTAATAGTGCAATTGCCATTTAATTTTGCTTGTTTGGCTTGGTATTTATTGAGACCAGCTACTAGTGGTGTAGTCACTCTACAGTGTACTTGTATATTATTATGTGGTACGATTATTGAGTGAACTGTTTGATTCTTAGCTTGGGCATTAGAGTTGTGTTTTGGATTATAGTGGCCTAGTAGACCCCGCCTGGTGATAACACGCGTTGTGGTTTTTATTGGCAAGTCGTCGTGTAACTCACCGTGTTTTAGGCACTCTGGGCTTAACTATTGGATAGTTAGGACGAAGCCCGAGTTGCGTAGTCAGCAACGACCCCCTAGGAGTGTGGAGAATCGGCGTAGGCCTGGTAGTGATTATTGCACGTTTGTTTTGGTGACTTGTTTTTGACTTGTTCACAGTGCCCGTGTATGAGCCAGTCCTATACCGGTTCGACCCGGCTTTTGGCCTAGTGGTTTCCCTGACCTTATCGCAGACCCTGGAACTTTACCCAGCCATTGTAGGCTGAGCTATCCCCGGCAAACGGTTGCAACTGCGACTGCACTTTTAATTTTTTTTTTCCAGTGCAGAAAATTTTGTCGCAAAAAACGTTTAAAAGAAAAGTCCAGAAAGTTCAGAAATACCGAAACTATAAACACGAAATGACAGGTTAAATCGTAGTTATAATAGTCAATCAGCTGCTCATAGTATAATTATCTTTAAGTGTTGCCAACCTATTTCCAAGCGTACACAAATTACGTGCATAATGGAACCACGCTGTTTTGTGTTGTTTCGTTGGAATCCTGATGTGCGGCAAAGTATAAACCGTACGGCAAAGTATAAATATGCAGCAATTAGCAGCTTTCTGTACTATAAACAGTACAAGGAAGCCAACTTTGTCGGGTGACTGTAGGAAAAAGTAATTGCAGTAGGCTACACCAAGGAAACTGTTGCAATGACCCACATGTAAATGTTGCACAGTGACATGAAAAATACTCTGTAACCACGACAACACTGTCTTCATTCATCACAGTTGTTTCTCTAACTTGTGAAAGCGTGACAACAGAACTGATGGAATGTTTGGTAATGAATAAACACTCATCCGTAGGCTACTAGCGGTTCTTTATTAATTCGCATGGTTTTATCCAGTGGTAAAAATTCACATACAGTTACCGCCATTTTTTTTATCTACCGTGTGTATAAACATTTTATTCTTCATTCTGCACGCACTTGTTACAAATCCGTGCATGCAGACGGAATAATCGAGTGTGAATATACGCGATTCATTCAGCGCCGCACAGAGTTCACAGAGTATTGATTTTAATCATAAACAGTAGGCCTACTGGCTTTGAAAATGGGATAGGCTACCCGCACAAAAATACATACATGGTTCAGGGGCATAAAATATGAAGTCTGGCTTCATCCAATTTATGATCTAAGTATGTTACGCTAGTTAATTGCTTAGATGGACCCAATCTATTTTTTCATCTTTACATTAATGTATTGGATCAGTAATAACGTTTAATGTGTCATCCACTGGACTGGACCACATTAAAAAAATTAGTTCAGTTAGTATCCAGTAACAGGTACTGTATCAATAAAATAGGTGGCTAAGTCAGTATTACCTTAATCACAGCATTTCCCTTGAAAAGGAAGAGTGAATCAGTAGGGTGTCCTAGGAAGGTTACTATATCCAAATCGTAGTGAAGTGGAATTATGTCTTCGGGCAACCTAAACTCTGGGATAGGCTGACCTTCAGAAGTTTGTGCTAGCATAAATTCATCTTCAGGCTCTACTTCGAGGGAACTACTCATATTGAATCCAGTATAACACGAGCACCTGAAAATGTTCAAATGAATAGCAACAAGGAGTGTAGCAAGAGTACATTAAATTATATCTAGTAGTTTTTATTCACTATATTCAACAGTTATGTACTATAAGCTTAAACGATGGATGTTAATAGGCCCAGGATCCCAAATATTTAGGAAAGGGTTAGGCCTATTGCTGATTTTTCCAGGTGGAATTTTAATAATTATAGGATAGGCCTATTTTACAGATGGGAAACCGCCCAAATTTTGCATTTAGGCCTACTGAAAACTGTTAGGCAACCTCTAAAGTTTTTGCTTTCAAAACTTCGCAATGTCTCCAAAATCAACATTGGGCCAACCTGGCCTTTTGTTTTTGGATGGATTGAAATGTTCGGGAACCTCATTACCTTCCCTTTACATTAAACCTTCTTCATCTTTTACCACAAATTAGGGATTTTGTTGTCCTAGGACGCTAGGCACGAGCCTGCAATTGTTTTCTACATTGCTTCAGGATAGACTTCTAGGGGTTCACTTAGACAAAATCCATTGGTGACTTGGCGGGATTTGAACCTGGAACCTCAGGGACTTAAGTCCAGCACTCTAACCACTACACCAGGTCACTCCCCACAAATTAGGGTTATTACTGGGTATTATTACCAATCGTGTACGATTTTCACCCGCATAGCGACCGCAGGTGAACACGTATGGTATACGACTCCAGTACGAGTAATAATCGTGTCTTCTGCTGTTGGACCATGTGACCATATGGCCCTTTTCACACTACACGATTGTTTAGTCGGACACGATTGTTTAGTCTGACGGGAGCCCTCCCCGAGTTACTTATAGTCTCGAGATATATTGTTTTTACAATTAAAACTGTTTAGTTATTAAGTTGAATTAACGCTGCATACTGTATTTAATTTTGGTTATTAATTGCAGTTTTGTTTAGGCTATATAGTTCAAATTAAGGATGTTATTGACCCTGAAGTTTGAAACCATTTTCTCTTGGCATCGTTGAGTTTGGACATAGGCCTAGTTGAAAAACTTCCCTTCGTCATTTCTCAGGTAGGTATTAAATTTGTTGGATCAAATTTGTTGGATCCACCCGGTTGAGACGGTCGCATTTCTTTCTTTTTCTCCGCCGGTAAATTATCAAAGCAGCAATAATTTACTCACGATCCATATTACTTAACACTTTCCACTGAAGTGTCAATGAACGAGCTGTTCTGGTAGAGGGGGGTTACGATTTTTTAATCGCACGATTACAAATCGTATAGTGTGAAAGCAACAGACCCAAGATAATCTGCCCATACGATTAACACTCGTACGAGCGAAATTGTTAAGTGTGATAGGAGCGTTAGGTTATAATATTTATTGTTTTACTTTGTTTCAGTTCTCTTAGGTAACGTTTTAAGACCTAATTAGAACATTGATTGAAGAATAGGCCTAGCTTGTCCAGCAATTTAAGTCTTAGGCTGGTTCAGATTGTAATGTTTTTAATGATAAAACCCATTTTTTTATATCACCTTGTTTGGCTCTCAGGCAGCTAACTTATTCCATAGGGCGGGTTGAAGAAAAAAAAGGGAGTGACAGGCTACGTTACAGCCTAATTGGAGTTTGTTTGTCGGTTATTATTGTTGTGATTCCAGGCCCTAGGCATAGGAAAACGAAGTAAAAATTCACCGGCCCAACGTCACACAAATCATGATTCTTATGAAATTGTGTACAAAGTGTTTTACATATTTTTTCTCAAAAGTATAGATTATAACGAATTAATTTACTTACCAATTTAAACAATATATTCAAGATATAATTTGTTTGGTTATGCTACAGCTACACGTAAACGTAATATTATATTATGTTATTTTGTTTTTGTTACAAACAAAACAAACAACAAACACAGTGAAACAGTAAACAAAAACAAACTAAACATCAACCTAAAAAAAACTAGTCCGAGTAGTAGCACAGACTCGGTGGTAGTAGTAACCTACCTAGACTATTTGAGTATATGAAGCCATTGATTATACTGTACATACATATCAATGCTGAAACTGACTAGTTTGTATCAATGGATTCGATACCGGGCATACAATACCACGCTTCAAATAGTTTTTAGATTAATACTATTAAACTTTTTCGTGTTTGTTCCACCCAGGGTGTCTATAAACATGGGTTTAATGGGCTGTATTCGATGAGGCTACAAACCTAGCCATTAACCATTAGGAGTAAGGTAAATCACCATGAAGACATGGGGGTAATGTTATGAACAGACATTTATTTATTTATAATAGAGTTTCGGGGGACCGATCTTTGCTTGTTGGTGTATAATTTGTTTGGAGAATTTGAAATATCCAGTAATAATTAACCATTTCCAATAAAACCATTGATAACCATCCAAAATAAGAATACTAAACAAATTTAACACAATACAATACAAATCTGAACCAACACACGGAAATATAATAGAAAGCTTATTAATTAAAAATAAATATTGGGTACAGGGGATGTTTTTTCTTTCTAGGGAGAGGATGGAAAATAGTTCTACGCACAAGGTGGTAGGTGTGCATGCATCAAGGTCTTCTTGGCACGGAGAATACCCTGGACGAAATGTGACAAACAGATCAAATTGTCATCATCGAGATCACCGCGTGTCCACTGACAATGGTCCTACATTGGATTGAGCCTTCAGGCAGAGCCATTGCCAACGCGGGCAGCGAAAAATAGTGTGTTCCGCGTCGTTGAAAGTGCCCTGGCAGTACATACAATCGGGTGACACAGCTTTGTCCATCTTGAACAGGTACGACCGGAAAGATCTGATGCCTTTCAGAAATTTGGTGAGAGTAATACAACTCTCCATACCACCAATTAACCCAAGGCTCGACTTGGTGAATCCAGTCGCCTGGTACCCGTGTATTCGTGTATCTCCATGTCTCCTGTTCCCAGCACTCCTGCCAGAGCCTGGTCTTCTCCTAGCCGCTGATAAATTATTGCCTTCCTCCCTGTCGCCAAAGTTTTGCCGGGAATTTCTCCAGCAACCACCAGGATGGCAGGTTCGAACACTGTTAGGTAGGTGGATGCTACCCTGAGTGGTGCCTGACGCTGCACTCGGGTGAACCACATCCTGTATACTTACTTATTGAGTGTGTCTGTCCACACTTCCACACAATATAGGAGTGTTGACTGGGCCTCAGACATTGGCCTTTAACCGGCCAAGAGAAGAAACCCCCTTTAGCGGCCTTGTCCACCGTATGGAAGATCTGGTCCCGCCAGCTTGCTGACCACTATAACCTCAAGGCACTTGGCGGCACGAGCGGTTCGGACTTCAACGTTCCCCACCCTCAATGGCACAATATGTTTGGTCAATTCTCTCTTTGGCAGAATCACAATCTCCAGGTTTGCTGTGGACGTGTCTGCCCTCAATGCGTTAACGGTACGCATTTCTTGATTCCGTTTCAGATGGGCAAGCTCAACGCTATTAAAGCCGCAACGTCATGTTTGCTCGACCAATCAGAACTAGCCAGGTCGGGTCTAGTGGGACCTGCGACACACCATATGGAGTACACACACACATGACCTAACCCCAAAGATTCTGGTTGACCGACCATTGGGTCCTATTTTGCATTGTGTGCACTGTATTGTGCACACTTATTGTAAAACTGACCATATGCGACTGGTCGAGGTCTTGATCGGGATATACCATGTACAGCAGGGTAGGTTTCCGTGCGTAATACCGGCAATGTTGCGTACCCGTGAGAACTATCCAACTAAATGTATTTTCCGTGTGTTACATGTGCCGTGTACGATGTGTCCATTTAAATCATCGACGAAGCAATTCATTTGTGTGTTTAATTTATTTCCTGGACTGAAGTGTTTGAAAATGGCAGCCCGCCAAAAAGTAGCTCTTGAATGTTAAAATTTGGAACCTCGATGACAGTTAATAAACCAAATAAATAAATCAATACATTGCATTAAATTGCTGCAATGCACTTTAATATAATATAATGTTAACAGTCTATTGTAAGCTTGTACACACATATTTAGCATGAAACCACAGGGAAAGAATTGTCATGAGATATTATAGTTGGTTTTACATGTAAATAAAAAAAAATATAAGTAAAACTTATCTTTCTTTATTCAAAGTGATGCATAAGAATCACCTTATTTGTTTCTTAACTTAATGAAAATTCAACTATCTTCCTACCTATATAGGTATATAGCTTTATTGTTTGTAGGTTCCAAATCCCGAAATATTGTGACTATTTTGTCTTTTACTAGTCATACTATTGTCTTAAATAACAAATCTCACCATTACCATAAATGGACTTCGAACAGAGTATGTTGTTTGGTAATCTACCAACTATTATGCCAATGTCACCGAACTGTGTAAAGTTTCATAAAAAAATCTAGAATGAAACTGTAATTTTATTTTATAAACCCTAAATAGTGCAAACGAGAAGACCGATGCTTATTTCCAGAATAATCAAAGGAAGGTAGAAATAAACCAATCTTTTGTTTTATATGAGACTTTATTATTGCTCCTTCTTAGAGAAGTATGTTTTTCTGTAGAAATCAATAAATAAGACGGACATGAAGATCACTTGGGGGATGGCTACGATCAGCCAGAATTTGGGAATAGGACAGCTTGGTTGTACTAGAGCCGCCAGACAATGTAATGTTGTGATTACAAATTGTACCTGCAACAAAGACAATATGTTACAAAAATTGATGTCAATCGGCTGAAATCCTATACTAATAACATTAACATATAGGCCTATGTATTGATTGGACTTTTTTTTAAGTTCCGTTTAAATAATGGAGCTAATACTGTAAACCTGTACTTTCAGTCCAGTGACGTAATTTTGTATGTGTATGTTAAATTCTGCTTCTTAATTTAATAATTTTCGTGCTGTTAATCATATGGTAATGTAATATTTTAGTGCATTATTGATTATTTATTGGTTTCAGTTTTAACATGGTTAATAATTATTGGAAGTAAGGCTTCCACGGTCACAATCACTAACACTAAGTCCTTGGTCTTCTGGGAACGACCGCGTCAGAAAACTAAGAGAAACAATATTAATATAGACATCCCAGAAACAAAATAACCCTGGGCCATTTCGAGCCGCGCAGGTTTGAAGGGTACGCCACACCTACTGGCGCGAACCACGTGATCTTTTCGTTTCTGCGCAGAATGTTTTGTTCTTGGGATGTCTAGTTGCTGACGTTTTGGCTTAGTTGCAGATGGCTATCTGCAACGAAGCCGAAACGTCAGCAACTAGTGTTTCTCCTAGTTTTCCGACGTGGTCGTTCCCAGAAGACCAAGGACAAATTACCTACAAAACAAGTTAATTCTTACGTAGTAAATTATATACCACCCCAGTTTTTAATTTTTAAATATAATGCAGGTCTCTGAAAATACGTATAATGACAGCATCGTGTTTTTTACTTCCCTTCAGTGTAAACAATATTTAACCACTTTATTCATTCCAATAATAACTATCTGCGTACAAAAATATTATCTCCATTTAAACCTGTAGGCAATTTTATGGACCTCTCTGCAAACGCCACCTTAGTACTGATGTAACAACTATCACACAGTAACAAAAACTAACATAGAATTTTAGACTGCAACTGTAGTGCTTTCTGCGAGTGGCTCATTCAGCTACCTTCTTTTTGAGTAAGAAATAGGTTCCAGCTGATCCATAAATATGGGATAGTTATCCAGACAATAATAACACTGGGTAGAGTCACAGACAATAGACCATAAATTGGTTCTATCGTCTGTACTAGGGCGGGCATTAATTGTGCCAACTGACCTGGGTCAGGTTGTCGGGTATTCCTGAATTGCGCCAACTAATCCAGGGAGCCAACCGATACATTCCTTTTTAAGCCAAGTGGCGGCCCTTTTTGACTGTATAATTGATTAGGTTAAGTTATGTTAGGATAGGATAGGATAGGTTAGGATGACACGTAAACAAGGACATTCCTTCTGCCGGTAACTCACCCCTACCTGGCTTGGGCTTGGCGCAACTAAGGAACTTTTTGGGGCCATTTGATGGCTTGGCGCAATTAAGGAACTCTTTGGCACAATTAATGCACGACCTACTACTCTGTGTATTCCCTTACTTTGCCTGTGGTCTAGTAAAGCATTGGCTGATAAACAATATCTAGTTAATGTAACAGTCTCTACAAAATATTTTTGGAAATACTCAATTAACCTACCAATTGCAGCTGAGTTATATATTTCTTCCACCAAACATTTTTCTTGTTCCTTGGCCTAATTAGCATCAGTTGGTAGTAGCTGAACATGACCAAGTGTACGAAGCTGTTCACAGTGCCAAACAGTATGACATGTCCACCTGAAATTATTAGCTGTTAGATCTAGCTTGAATCAACTTACAAAATCAGGTTTTCCAAGCATAATCCTCCCATACTACGCTAAGCTCCGAACACAGGGGAGGTTAGAAGGTTGCTTTGATGAGTGCAGGATCCCTGGTTTTTCTGCCCCACCCCCACCATCACATCCTAGGCACTATATTAGCCCGGAGCCGCTTTTACACACTACTCAAGGCTAGACTTGGATGGTCACGTCATTTCCACATACATAAAATCCATTGGCTATTTGTAGGGCTTGAACCTCGGGGACTGAAGTTCTACATTCTTCCACTACACCAGCTTGCTCCTAGCTTTCATAGCTCAAAACTAATTGAAACTGATTTAACTAATTGAAAACTAATTGAAGTTACTGGAAAAGAATTGCTCATATTCAGTCTTCAGCCGTGTTGGCTAAATTTTGTCTACCACTGAACAGTTGATGCCAAAATAGTATATTTGATTACTAGGGCCGAAAGTGGCATTTTACGTTAAGCGCTCAAGTTTCATCGGCTTTGCCTCACACAGCAAAACCAAATTTCACGTGCAAGGCCAAGCCGATTGACACGAACAATCCAGTTTTTTTCCTGGTAAAAGTTCACGAGAGAAGGTAAAAGAGGTAAGAGCATGTGAAAGTTATTTTCCTGTAGAGTCTACGAGGCGAAGCCGAGGAAAATATCCATAATATATTTTAAAATGTAGAGACACTGTACCAGCAAAATATTTATTCGTCCCCCATGATCCGCAGACCATAATTATGTGGTGGTAGCGGTGAAGATACGTGACCTGACGATCATTCTTACGTAGTACCATGAACACCTGTCAACAACAACAACAAACCAATCATAAGTGTATGGACATTGTTTCTACTATTGTTGGGCTTCGAGATTTATTAAAAAATCCATTGTCTATATCAGCTGCCAATGCATAACAGGCTTTGTTCAATAAACAGCTGATGTAGCCTGTAAAATATTCCTTTACTACTATAAACAAAAGTGTGCTTAATTAATACTGTACAAGTGTAATATATTTTGTAAACTCTACCAGGGGTATGTTTCATAATAAACTACAAACTAATATAATTAGTAAATCAGCTGATTGCCCAATCAGGATAAAGGTTGAATATAGTTTTATAATGTCAAGAAACTATTCGTTAAGAAGAGGTGACATTGTTTGGATCAAAAGATTTTTTGAGTGGTTGTTGACTTACTGTATCCAGAAGATCGACGCATTTGAGGATGAAGTAGACCCATACGTACCTGACGGTCTGGAAAGTTCAACAATCTGTTAGTGTGGATTTTGTCTATGTTATCAAACAGCCAAGCATAGACAACAATAGCTTACACCATATAGACAAAAAAAATTAAATATATAGGCCTACTGTCAGCCGTGCTCCAGAACCTATGGTAATGCAGCCGGCTGCATACGGTCTATATTAACACTCAACTAGAAATCCGCTTGTTTACAAAAATATAATAGTAACATTTAAAAGTATAAATAAGTCTAACATTGTATCTTAAACTTTTACTAGGAAATTATGTTTGCGTTTACCAGGTTGGCTGTTGGTGAATCAGACGTGTCCACTGGCATACACAGCAAATTGTACTCTCCGGGAAGCCAAATATGTTTAAAGCACTAGAACAAATTGTTAATCCTTGTATTGAATAGGAGAAATATTGCAAAGGTCCTTTTTTCTAGACAATTTACCTGAAGTTTTACAAAGCTTTCATTACATACGGTGAGCAACATAGTTTGGTTTATTTGTATATGCACATTCTCACTAACGCATTTTATATTGGTATGTATATTTGAACGGACACACACAAACCTACACAAAACATATACACAATCACAAACACATAATATTATACATATTATATGAATTTCAACGGAAGGTGTTTTAGCCTCTGGGGACGTCAAAACGAGGACCAGGTCTTACTACGAGACCTAGATAAGATTTTTCTTCACTCCGTAACGAAAGTAAAAATTTTCGATAACATCTGATATCAATGAAAGTAGTCGTTTCCCAAGCTCTAATTTAGGACGAGGGAAAATTAATCAGCTGATTTTCCCTCACTCTAAATTTACTTTCTCTCGCTCTCGATTAGTTCTCTCGCTCTACATGTACTCACTCACAGCCACCGTATTAGAGGTGGCTGTGACTCACTACGTGCTAGTATTTTTTTACGATTTATTTTAATGATTTAAATCAGCTGTATGTATTGTTAAAAGTTGTTTTATTCTTTTATTTTGATGTTTAAAAAACAATATTGAGTAATATACGTAGGTTTCCTTTAAACTATTTTCTTTAATTTTTATATTTTAAAAATTAATCGAAAATATGACTAGGTTTCCTTTTAGAAGATTTTATTTTATTTTGATGTTAAAAAAAAATTATAAATAAAATAGCAGTAATATGACTGAGGTATTTTATTACCTCATAGGTTTTTGTGTATTTTTGCGTCGTGATGAAAAGTATCGTTCATAACTCGTACCGAAAGTGTTTTCCGGCACTTGCTCCTTTATTCCCATCCTCGGCTTCGCCTCGTGCGTGAAATTGGGGTTTCCTGAAAAAACTTCAGCGCGCGCCGGAAAATGCCACTTTCGGTCCTACAGTAGTAAGAAAATGAATAGTAATCCCATATGTAGTAATGAAATATACTATTCCGTGTATGAGATACGTAATCACTAAAACTAACGAAAAAGAAAATATTTTGTGATGGTATACCAATCAACAAAATAAAAACAGCAGGGCTCATATTTCCTTCATATTTTCATAATTATGGTATAATTTTAAATCCATTTATACCTATTGTCACAGAAAACATACTACTATGTAGTGTGTGCTATTGTTTATGAAAATGTAACGTTTAGTATATTGCTAGACTCACTTTAAACAAAAACCAGCCATTAACCGCAATCTGAACCCAGTTGTATATCATCATTGGGTAGTAGATATTCATCGGGGCTCTGTTTTTCATCAACTTTGGACCCCAGTCTGTCACAAAGTAGTGATAAATCACGACCAGTAGTAAAACTGGAAGTGGAGACTTGACCATTGGGAATTCCCTTGTTCTCGGGTCTGCAATTGAAATAAACATACAGCCAACGAGACGAAACTAAAATAACTACCTGACTAGCATATACAAATATCTTAAAGTATAATTTACCTGCGTAGCAGAGAAGATGAATTTGTTGTACGGTATACAAATTGTTGTTCTGTTATTTTTGCATTTAGTAGGCCTACCTACGGGAATAGTTTCATTCCCGAAAAAGGAAAAAGGAAGTTCATTTTCCACATATTCACATACATACGCATGTATGTATGTTTATACATTTTTATAAAAAATACGACTGTATTTAAAGTAGTCGTTTGATTTCAGTTCTTAGAATTGAAAATTTTCCCATAACAGCATTGTTTACTTTCATAAGAGCATATTTACTCATAACAACACAGGTAACTGACCAATGAGGTTCAAGGATCGAGAGAGTAAAATTGTCATGATTCGAACTTCAACTAATCAGCTGTTCAGGCCAATTTAATTGTTGAGTGGTGCAATTAATGCACCACCAGCAGTGTTTTTTAATGGTTGGTACAATGTTACGTTGTATCACTGTCAATGGCAATGAGATGTTATAAACGAAAACATAACCTATCTTAGAAGTTATAAGTAGTGATTTTTAGTAATAAAAACACTGTCATAGGTAAAGTAGTGTGCGCAACTAGTGTAAATAGTATTAACGACACGAGCCGTAAGTTGCGTAAACTTACTATTTGGCCCCTTGGGACATCAAAAAGTAAACGATTCCTGGGTTTTTCCGTGCCGCCTTAAGTAAATAGCTCCTTCCTTACAGCGAAATTTGCCAACAGAATTCACAATGAATGTATCGAGGAGTGCGTATCATTATCAAATATCCATCTCCATATACTATCAGATTAATTTTGGAAATATTTTCATACAAACCCCTAGAGCTATGATTCAGTGACCACCTATTCAAACGATTAAATCATTTTTGCTAAAAAAACTAAACTATTTATTTTCTAGATTGAACATAATTGGTTTACCTGATAAGTCCACCATTAAAAGTTCATAGCCAGCCTGTATGTTTCTGAAGATATCAGCCATTTTCTAGCAAAAACACCATTATTTGAGTTAATTTGAAAATACAAGTATTATACTGCACTAAATTGTCTATCCTATATTTCATTTATAAGTTGTCCATTCAATGGAATACTGGATCTTCATCATTGGAAAATCATTAAATTCTTTACCATTGATAAATTTAATGTAGGCTTACATTTGTTTAAATTCGTAATATACATTTTTTGTACACACACAACCATGTTTTTGTCATGGCATAGGCCTATCAACTAACATTATTACAATTCATAATAAAACAATAAGTGCATATCAGCTGATTTGCAATGAAGTAAATAAAACAAGGATACCAGATACCATCATGTTATCTTGTATTGTCGTTAAAAAGTGTCTTACGGTACTTGTAATTTAGGTTGCGTAAAGAAACACCTATATAGATTATTTTGTCAAAAATATTTACACAGTACGTACCTAATCAGATGTTTAAACAGCTTAACTATTTGGAATCCTGTACGCCGGTACCTATAAATCTTTATTTGACAACACACAAAACAAAGTAGAGATCTGAACTGCATAAAAACAATCGACCTAGGTCAAGTAAATTTCAATGTCAAATGCACTCATCTCAATTGAATGGAAGCTCCAATTAACACGTGTTTCGAACAACAAGAAAGAAAACTTACACTTCCGCATAAATTTGCAGATTTGATGCTATGACTGTACACTAATTAGTGACATAAACAGTAATACACAAACCTGCAGACAAAACGAATTACAATTTGTCTGATTGGATTTTTACTAAAATATTCCTATGAACAAGTCATATTTTTCTTTCTAATTATTTAACCATACCAGGGGACCAAGCATTGCTTTAGGTGTTGAATTTTTTTTGATAGGGTTGTAAAATAAAACATAGATTCGTAAGATTTTCATAATATTACAAATTACAGTCAAAAATATTTAATAAAACGAATAATAATAATACAGTATTTTATGACGCTCCAAGTATTGGTGCTGCTTATAGAACATTTTATAGTCAATGATTTTAGTAAAGATCTTGTTTCTCACGTCATTAAATCGCATTGTAAACAAAAATCGCAATACTGACACAGCTAAGAAAAATAAAATAATAAAATATCTTCATTTGGAACCAGCACACCAATAGAATCATTTGTAACGCTGGGCAATTATACAAGGCTACACACATATCAAGTGTATTGTAATATACATATACAGTACCTAAGGATCGTCAGTATACTTTGAGAGCAGTCTTTGGTCAATGTAATTTATCCTAATCTTCATTTGCAGTCTACAGTATTTCTAATAGTTGAAATAGTAGGTTTAATATCGTAGTTGACTTTGTATTTGTAAGCATAACCTATGATTCTTATGTAAAGCACAATTTTTTTTATATATTTATAACCAAACTACGGTACCCGTTATCTAGGCTTTTTTAAACGTTTAATAATATACTATAGTTCAATGAAAATTGTATTAATTACCACAAATAACCAATTTATAAAATTAAATATGTATAGGCCAATATTTTCATGAGAAGTTTAAAGTTACAAATATATTGACCACTTAAAGTGTTCTCTTTGGTCTGAACAACGTGAATACTGCTCACTCAAAGTAAGAAGTGAAACATGAAGAAATATCGTATAACTTTTACATACCAAATTAAGAATTTTAATAAGTTTAATCAGACAACATTATTTTCACTTAATTGTCAAATATTTTTTCAACTAAGTAACCTTTATATTAGCACTAACCAGATTATAAGCGGGGTCGGATTCGCAATGTTGTAAAACTGCCTCGAGGGGTCTGACGGTATACTGTACCATCAGCCACTGAGTAAATAACAGAACTATTTTTATTGTTTATCGGAATTGTTTAATCTTTTATAATATAATATTTACAAAGGGTCATTTCGGCAAGGGTCATAAATACTGTGACATAATACATTTCCATCTAAATTGTTTACGTTGATTACTTAAAAAAAGTGTATCGTATCACTTGAGAAAACCGCATGTTTTGATTTTCGAGGGTCCAAAACAGATATTTTTAACAAAATTCAAACAAGTTTTTAACGAAAAAGATCTACACGTTCTTTCCTGAGGGAGAAAAATAAAAAGAATAATATAACCTACTATGGGTTATATTCAATACGGATTGGATCATTCCTTTCACTTCAATTGGTACCATTTTTTTTTTAAATTAGTAAACTGTATCACAACTTTCCGTTTAACGTGTGATAGAAAACAAAACTTTTGAAGAAGCTGTGAATCTTTAACTGCATGCATAATCACTACATTGGTATCTATGAGAACATTACACAAATATTTATATTTATTGATCCTTCATCTTAAAAGAATCTTTGTTTTTAAAAGTAAACAACAATAAACCAAACGCACAATTCGTATAAGACACTTTATATAACGTGGACTTTTATTTCACTCTGTATAGTAATAACCAAGAATTGTACTAAGTAAAAATATGCATGAGTAATGAGAAATAAATAATACAAAGAGATAATTGAATAAATAATACATTAAAGTTTAAGTAACCTAGAAAATAACGGAGATGCATAATTCCGATTTCATTTACATGAGACCAAGTAAATTAAAATATTGCAATTTATAGCTTCAAGTGTAAAGATTTCCGAGTAAACTATAAATACAGTTACAAATATTTGAGGACCCTGCAAAACTCTTTTTTTTTACAAGGAAACCCGAAGAGGTCGGCAACATTGGCTTGGTAAGAAAAAGAGTCAGTTCAGCGGTTGATTATTGTTTCTCATGTCCTCATTCTGTGGTTGCTGTGCTCTAATGCAGCTGCACTCTATTAGCAATTCTGCAAACTATTCGTGATACACTAGGCAGTTCTCAAAATCGCCGCTCGGAGCAGCACATGTCTCGCTCGGATGTGATGTGCTGCAATCGCTAAGCAAACTATTTGCTAAAATAATAAAATATTCATCGGGAGGCCCTGCCACCAGTTTTTGTTCTTTTCTTTTTACTGATTTTCAGTTAAGAATTAAACCCAATTGATTTATTTATTCCACTACAGTATCATAGGAAGATTAAAAGAGCTATTTAAATATTATCATTGACTATATATACCTATATAGTCAATGATATTATACATAAGTATTTGAGCCGGATTTCTCGACCCGTTTAGCGGGATTTTCGTTTTGGTCGTGTGGGTGTGGACACACTGAGTGACAGACGGAGAAGACAGTGACAGTTAGTGAAAACTTACTATCGATAGTCACACCATCGATAGTTTTCGATAGTTTTTTAAAAACTATCGATACTATCGATAGTACTATCGATAGTCACTCAAATGGAATTTTAATGCATATAATATTGTATATATCCTGCCTGCATGAGTTTAAACAATGGTTTCTACCTAGTCGAAGATAAAGCTGTATCAGATTATTAATTTTAACAATTTATGAGTGATGCCCTGGAGCCCCCTTTATGTTTTTTTTCCAAAATATTACAACATTTGTATAAAATAACAATAAGTTTTTTTAAGGGTTACAACAATAAAAAAAGAAAAATTCTCTTATTATTTTCTTTTTATTATTCACTACAAAAATATTTTTTTACTCACATAGCATAAATAATATATATATATATATTTTATGACAATCTAAAACCATAGATCAAAGGAAAATACCGTATACCGGTGTCTACTATGTATGCTAAAACCCACGAGGCAAATGTACCCATAAGTCCGGTAGTGAATTAGCAAATGTTTGAGTAGGTAGCCTACTTGTCTACCAAGCTTTTCTACAATGAATAAAAAAAAAAATAGTCTATAATATTAACTATAGGTATGCATTAACAGACAAACAATGATATGTAAGAGTACCAGATAATGATTTCTTTACTTAATTTAACGTAAAAAAAACTATCGATAGTCTCATCGATAGTGTAATACTATCGACCCACTATCGATATTTTCAAACTATCGATACTATCGATAGTACTATCGATAGTAAGTTTTCACTAGTGACAGTGACACTAGTGACAGTGACAGTACTGACAGTACTCTCTCAATGACAGTTGACGTTGACAGTTCATTTCGATTTCATAGTGTTCAAAATTTGACTAGCCTGCCCTAGCCTTACTTCTTAAATTTAAATAAAACTTAAAACCTTTCAATTTGGACTTGGCCGAATAAATGCGCTATTAGGCATCTTGTCGGTGTGATTGTGTGTTACAGAGGTATTTGATTTTCAAACAGTCAATTCTTAACCTTACAAATTAGCTACAAGTTTAGCCTAGGCCTAGTTCAATTTGGGTAAGTACTTAGGTACGGTACAAGTGTTATCACTATATATATATATTTTTTTTTTTAATCATTGTGATTTTGTTGATTTACCTAACCAAACTTGCTGTACAAAACATCACATGGCACAGCCACAATGAGTTTGTTAACTGGGCTACCCTACTTAATATCGATATAAAATACCTTATGGATTAATAATCGATACTTTTAACACTTAGTCAATGGGTACCTATATCATTATAAATTAAACTGTTCTAATCCAACCTAACCAAACCAAACTTGCTGGTTATGAAAAATTGGATGAAGGTTTAGTAGGCCCTAACCCAATCGATATTAGGGCAGCCCTAGCCCAGTTAAGAAACTTTACAGCTCGTGACACTTAAGATGGCACTTGACCAATCGCTACTAGAGAGAGAGAGAGATCTTTATTTACAAATCGTTAAGATTGAAAATTGCGTCAAATATATTACAGAAACTTCTTTCGAGAGTGTCTTTTAGAATAATTGATCTACAGAGCTTGCCAGTCCAAGAACTCTCCAACGCCGTAGAAAGGATTGTGGTGCAGCCAATCCCGGAGTACAGTCTTCAGCTTCTCAGGACTGGAACTCTTGATTTCAGCTGGCAGATGGTTGGAAAATTTGGCTCCGATGTAAGAAGGCTTACCCTCATATCTTCTACTGTGGTGTGTAGGCAGATTAAAATTACAGGCATGCCGGGTAAAGTGCTGGTGGACATTCTCATTCCGTGGTAATCTTGATTTGCAGGCCATGGTGACAACTTCAAGTATGTAAGTATTTATTAGTGTTAATATCTTAAGGTCTACAAAAGCTTGTCTGCAACTCGCCCTCCATTCTAAGTCCGCCATAACACAAACAGCCTCTTTCTGCAGAACTAACACACGTTGCAGGTTTTTCCCGGCAGTGGCGCCCCAAAGAGCTATTCCATATTTAATGTGGCTGTCCAGTAAAGCAAAATAGGCGGTTTTTACTGCATCATATGTGCTAATGGCTTTAACGCGTCTTAAAGCATATATACTGCTGCTTAATTTCTGGCAGAGGCTGTCGATGTGCTCGTCCCATCTGAGATTGGAGTCTAATATTATTCCTAGCATTATATATTATTCCTAGCATTAATATTGAACTAGCATTTTGTTCAAAAACATCATCATGCGGGTTGTGTCAACTGTCCTCATGACCCTCCTGAAGGCACTAAGTTGTGTGAAACATGAGGAGTCAAACCTGTAAGTCAGCAGAAATGTTTTTAGTCCGGTCTTTTCCTTAATTCCACCCCCCCCCCCCCCCCCGACTACACTGCCAACACTAGGCACATTGCCTGCTAATTTGTCTTTTCTCATTACATTCCCTTTCAAACAATAGGCCTAACACTAACGATGATAAATAATAGGCTAACAATACGTTCTATATTTCCCTTCACCAGCATCCAGCATCATAGTAGCCTATAACATCTGAGATCTGAGTAGAACTACAAGCCATTTAAAAGACGTCCATTAAAATGTCCCGGGTTGTTATTACTAGCCTACCGGTACCTTCATCACTAGGCCTACCAGAACCATCAGAAATATGAGAATGAGAGAATGAGAATGAGAATTTATTTGGTCTTTTAAACATGCAGTTACATGCAATCAGACAAGTCATATAATAATCATCTGGCAACAATCAGTTAGGCTAACAGTCCCAGTTAGTAAATTGGGTTGACTTAGCTTAAATCACACCATGCACAAAAACAGGCAAATATAATAAATAAATAAATAGTTAAATATAATTATTAGGAAACTTATAGAGTATCTTAGGCCTATAGCAAACTCTTATCATTCTATATAATTTTAGCTTTGTTTAGACCTAACTTTTCTGTCTCTTTTTTGTTCAACATTTTCATTTTTTGTTTGATTTCAGGCAGAACATTGATTCTTGGAAAATCTGGGTCTAGTCTATAGGCCCTAAAAGGTCCTGAAAATCACAAAATATAAATCACACTCTATCACCACCAGTGCCATAAAGATTGATTTAGAAATACGTTTTGGGTTCATACAAGGAACTTAATATCTCAACTTAGGTTAGTAATAAAATAAGATAAAATCAACTGACTCAGTACGACCTCAATATCTCAAATCTGAAGGGAGTAAGGATAAAAAATCAAGTTTTCATGTTAAGCAAGGTTTCAATTAGAAAATTGGAGGTGTTGAATTCTGACAATAATGTTACATCACGACCTTTATAACTTGACTTTTATGCTCAAAACCTTGATAAATCTAGCTCAAACTGTTTATAGTTACTGAAGAATGACTGTGGAAGCAAAATAACACAATTTGAATTTTTCATGCATAGGCCTATAAATAGCATAAACTGAATGTTCTTCCTTGCAAAATCGGTTCTGATGTAGGAATGTTAAATATATCCAACACTGTTTTAACCACGTTTAAATTCACAGCGCTTACATCTTTTCTAATTCATTATTCAACCTTCAGCCTCATACTTCACCCGTTTTCTAAAATCGTCAATTCAAAATTCCTGGCGGTTTGACTTTTTTTTCTTTAAACTATCATCAACTGCCTTAAATCACTCTCCTTTCCGTTGTGTGTTAACGTTTCGAAACACTTACACTTAACTGAAAACATCACGTCTGACAAGTACAAAATAATCTCAATATTCCCAATAACTGGCAGCCTAACAGAATTGGCCAATGCCAGACAAACAAAAGTTGTACCTATTTTCATTTCTCGATAGGAATCAAACACAGCTTACTTGCACTGTAAGACAAAACTTCCGAGTATTTGAGGCACATGGTGCAAACTTCGACTTGTTAAGATAAACTTCAAGTCATTGAGGCTTGATATCTCGAAAATTTGAGTTCTAGAGGTGGAGTATTACTGATATAACCACTTAAAATTCAATACTGCATTGAGATTAAATATTTAAAACCTTAGACTTAGAGGTACTTTTAATATTAAGAATATTAAGATGCATGGGGAATTTGAGGGGATTTTAGGGGATTATAACAAAAGTGTGACATCATAAGGTTTGAGAAATTGAGGTCCTACTGTACAACTGAAAATGGTGAAGTAGGTTAACTTAAAAGCAATGGTTTCCAGTTTCCCAATGTATTAAAGTACTGTACTGTTGCTAACTTAAATACATTGTTTAGCTCCTGTTCTGTCTGGTTCCTGTAATAATTTTTTTGAGATTTTAAATACTTGAGGTCTTTCTTGGTGGAAGTAAGAAAATTGAAACTAACTTTTAATTACTTCCGTGTCCCTCACTGTGGATATTGAACTTTGGGAAAAGAGTTGTAATTTACAAATTTGTCTGTAAACTTAGGACTGTCGTATTTTTACAAAACAGAGGTTCCTAAATTATGGGTTCTGTGGAGAACTGGAACGTTGTAGTGAACACCAGAATACTGAAGTACCAAGCAGGTAGCAAGGGGCATGGCTGTATATTATAATATTCACTGTTTAACGTGATTGATGTATCTTTAAGCCCAAAACTAGGAATTTTGAACACTAATTGTTTGGAAAATTTTTTTCCCCAATTTTTATGTGTGGATTTCAATACCCAGTACCTTATCAGGACTTTTTAGGTGTGAATAATGCTCTAATATTGGGATGAAGGAAAATGTCTTCAATGTTTTTGTGACCTATAATTTACAATATTGCTTCAACAGGCAAAGTGCAAACCAAATCCATTTGTTTTCGACCAATCTAAATGACTTGGAGATGATAATGATGCTACTTCGAACGAGGGAGATGATTAAGGAGTAACCATCATCGTTGGAGATGAACAGGTTAGTACTGCAATTACAGAATATAGGTAGTTAGGATGGGGACTGTGACCTGTAACATCTATTTCGTCACCCAAACTAGTCTCCAGTCTTTGCCTAAAGAACCCCCTTCAGTTCTAACTCCTTAATGAAGTTAAGCAACAGGTGGGGTTCTAACTGCGGAAAATCTCCAACTGCTACCTGGTGCATATCCAAGCTCTTGGTTCTATTTTGCCCAACTGCATCACATTCAGCCAATAGATGTCTGGGTGTTTCTTCCCCTGATTGGCAGAATCAGCAGTCACTTACCTGAACGATGTTCATTTTTCTCTGATGTCCTTTAAGCCTACAATGTACAGTTAGAAAACCTGTTAACATTCTAAAACAGTTCTAATTCAGCTTTATCATAGTCTCAGACCTTCTTGCGTCGTATCCTCCAAGCAATTCCTTAGCTTGCCGACATCCTGGATGAGCAGTTCAGCCTTAAGCTCTAGTTACATTTTCTTCTTCCTTGAGCTTCTTTTTGAAGAACGAGTCTTCGAGTGCACATCCTGGTTCTGAACCTATGAGGGAGTTAGTTGCCTCTGCCCTCGCGAGCTTATATGCTTCCTCATTTCCCTGAACACCCTGATATTCAGGTACCCAAAAGAGTGATAACTTGTTTGTTCTTTCCCAACAGGTTCAGACTCTAATTCCATACCATCTTAGAGCTGATAACTGATGAGCTCAGTGCTACAATGGCAGCCTGGATATCTGACAGGATAACAATTTCCCTTTTCTTGTATCATCTACTTAGGTTGAATTGGGCACACCTTTCATCAGCCTTAACCTCAGCCTGAAAAATGCTGGGCCAAAAACTTGGTTCTTGGCCCAAATACCCCTACTTTGGTCCCCTCAATCGTCTTTGAGCCATCAGTATACCACCTGATGACATAATTCCCAAATGATTTTAGGAGTTTTCCATCCCAGCCAAGTTTATTCCCTAGCTCAACAACAAAGTTCTTTTCGAAGTTGAACTTCCTTATCATAGAATCCAGATTCAAAATCACTTCTATGGCCGCAGTTGGATAGGATCTCATAGCTCTTGTGATGATAATGCAGGCCAGCCACTGTAATCTCTCCAGGGCTTTCCTTGTTTTCACCCTGTTCCTGCCAGCCAAAGCGACACACCTATATGTGATGATTGGTCTCACCAAAAGAGTATAGGCTACATGTTTTTTAGTATGTATGGGTTATAACCCCACATATTCCCAGCATACCTTCTGCATATCATCAAGGCATTAGTGGCTTTTTTCGTCACCTTTTCTATGTGCCTGTTTCACAGTAATTTCTTGTCCAGGACTAGCCCCAGAAACTTCACTTCTGATTTCCACTCAAGTTCCTCCCCTCAAGCTTTGATGGTTCTCAGGTGGGCAAGATTTCTCTTGGGTGAATGGCACAAGTAAGATTTTGTTCGGATTAACAGACCGTAGCGGACTTGCACCATATCTTTGTGCAATTTGGCCCTCCTTGGATCAAGTCACAGAGGGTATTATCTTATCTTATCTAACAGGGGCAGGTCGAGACCTTAAAGCACTTCATCCGAAATCGAATTATTGCGCACCCCAGACGATTGCTTTCTTGTTGACCTACAAGTTAAGGCGCCCAATGAATGCCTGTAGCTTCCCAATTAGTTCATCCTCAGGAAGGTACCTCTAGCCATATTTCCAAGAGTTATCAATCTAGCGTCAGAGAGCTCGTTACAATCAAAGAGTAAGTGATCAGCTGTCTCTTCTGACCTATCACAGTACCTACAGATCGGTTCACCATCATATAAGCCCATCTGTTGTAAATGTTTCCTGAATTTCATTTTTATGGTATAGCCTCTGGATCACTGATTTTTACAATAAAAGGTTTAAATTACCTGTATCCGTCAAGTGATCCTGGTTTGTAGTTAATTGACTACAGCCGTCTCATGTTGTAAAAACACATCTTCAGGTCAAACGTATATACATTGATTTAATCCATGGAATGGTGGTCAAGGTTTAAAGTTCACATACACGTACACGAAAATATAAAAACATAAATTGGCCAACACAAAAATATGAAAAACGCGTGATAGGCATCGGACACGTACGGCGCCGCTAGAAGGTAGGTCATGACTGTCGTGTGCCGGAAGTGATAGCCCCCCACTATCAGCTGTTATCTATTGTGGTCTAAGATGCGTATGGCGGCATTGTAAACAATGTTCGACTCGAATGAGAGTTTTTCATTTAAGATGTTATCAGGCTGTTTTTTTGAAGCACGATATATTTCAAATTCTTCTAATGTGTCCATGTATTTTCCTTTGTTACATAAATGGAGAACGTTGATATTATTGTTTATATCTGTATAGTTGTGGTTGGAGTTAATCAAATGGTTGGAAAATGCCGACTTAGAGGAAATTTTATGTAGGTATTCTTTGATTTGGGTGGTAAATGATCGTGACGTCTGGCCTATGTAGAAGCTTGGGCAGTCGTTGCAAGACAATTTATAGACTCCGGTTTTATTGAACTTGTTGTCTACCCCTTCTCGTTGGTATCTTGATTTTAGCATCGAGTCAAGTCTATTTGACGTCTTGAATGCTACAACGATGTTACTTTTTGTCATCTCGCTTCTTAAGGTGTTATTAAGAACAACGCCATACTCAGCACTGACGTATTTTTTATTATTCTTAGTGCTGAGTATGGCGTTGTTCTTAATAACACCTTAAGAAGCGAGATGACAAAAAGTAACATCGTTGTAGCATTCAAGACGTTAAATAGACTTGACTCGATGCTAAAATCAAGATACCAACGAGAAGGGGTAGACAACAAGTTCAATAAAACCGGAGTCTATAAATTGTCTTGCAACGACTGCCCAAGCTTCTACATAGGCCAGACGTCACGATCATTTACCACCCAATTCAAAGAACACCTGCCTAAAATTTCCTCTTAAGTCGGCATTTTCCAACCATTTGATTAACTCCAACCACAACTATACAGATATAAACAATAATATCAACGTTCTCCATTTATGTAACAAAGGAAAATACATGGACACATTAGAAGAATTTGAAATATATCGTGCTTCAAAAAAACAGCCTGATAACATCTTAAATGAAAAACTCTCATTCGAGTCGAACGTTTTTTACAATGCCGCCATACGCATCTTAGACCACAATAGATAACAGCTGATAGTGGGGGGCTATCACTTCCGGCACACGACAGTCATGACCTACCTTCTAGCGGCGCCGTACGTGTCCGATGCCTATCACGCGTTTTTCATATTTTTGTATTGGCCAATTTATGTTTTAATGTTTTCGTGTACGTGTATGTGTCATTTTTGTGAACTTTAAACCTTGACGACCATTCCATGGATTAAATCAATGTAATATACGTTTGACCTGAAGATGTGTTTTTACAACATGAAACGGCTGTAGTCAATTAACTACAAACCAGGATCACTTGACGGATACAGGTAATTTAAACCTTTTATTGTTTCCTGAATCTTCCATGACCAGTTATCAGTTCAACAGTTAATTTAATTCTTCGTCTGTCTAGTCTCAAGAGGTCAGAGGCGACCTTTTTAGAAGGCCTAAAAAGAGTAAGCTTGCTGACCCTATGAAGGGGAACATCGACCCAGCGTTTTCGATGCTTTTCCTTGGCCCATGACGCAATCGCAGAACATGCACTGTTTCGTGAGATGCCACAGAAGGGTTGTGGGCCTATCATTGTTGTCGCAGAGGCAGTATTTGCCAATCTGTCTGCAGCTTCATTACCTTTAATGCCTGAGTGTCCTGGCACCCAGCAAAGCGTAAGGTCATTTCTCCTACCCAACTCAGACACTGAAGCAAGACAGTTCCACACGAGCCTGGAGTTGAATTCGTAAGAGTTTAATGCTTTTAAGGTCGCTTGACTATCAGTATAGATATTGATTATTTTGTCTCTGATATCTTTGTTAAGATGTTCTCAAGCACAAACCAGGATGGCAGTGACCTCCGCTTGAAAAACAGTTGGGTACACCCCCATTGGAAGACAAATACCAGTGCCTCCATTTGTCCAATGCGCACCTGCTCTAGTGCCCCCATTTTTGATCTTAGAACCATCAGTATAGCATTCTAAATCACCTGTGGGTATGGGTCCTTTTCCGCCAGACCAATCCTTCCTATCTGGTATTAGTACTTTGAAAGGCTTTCCAAAGGAGTATTTTTTGGACATGTGATCTGAAGGCAAGTCCAATTCATCATTATGTACCACCTGAACAATTTTGGAGTGCCCTTTATTGTTTCCTGAGGTTATCCATAAGTTTTTGCATCTAAGGCGTTGGGCTGTTTTACTTGCTACCACCTTGATGTAAATGTCGATAGGTAGCATATCAAGCAGACAGTCTAGAGCCGCTCCAGGACAGCTGCTTACTGCCCCAGTTATCATTATAAGAGCAAGCCTCTGAACTCCTGCTAAAGCTTTGACAGCTATAGTAGATTCCATTTTTGGCCACCACACAAGCGAACCATATGTAAGGGCGGGTCGAACAACAGATACATACAGCCAGTGCAAAAGTTTAGGCTTTAACAGAGGGTATTTTAAAATTTCCCTCTTGCAATGATGACTATATCATCTGCATGTCTGATACATCGCAAACCCTTCCTGGTTAACTTCCCAAGAAGTTAATCGACCACCAGACTCCAGAGAAGGGGGGATAATATCCCAACCTTGAGGACAATCCTTTCCAGTACTCAACTAGATAATTCTCTCTTTGATGTGTGTTTCCAGTGTTCATCTGGTCTGGACTAATCCATCTGTTTGTGGTTCCATCGACCCCTCTTTTTTTTCAGCACCTTCCTTATTGCCAAATGAGAGGTATTGTCAAATGCTCCTGCTATGTTCAAAAAGGCACCTATGGGCAAAATAAAATGATCTAAAACTCAACTAGGTGAAGTAAGGGCAAAGTCATGATGGAATTGCCTCTGGATCGTCTGAAATATGAAGTAGGCCCCTAACTAATAGAGATTCAAATTACATGGTTACTGTCAAAACGATCCAGAATGAAAAACATCTGAAAAACATGGATAACTGAGGAGCTAAAAGAGGAAAAAAACAATATTGTAGAACTTAGCCAACAGGCAAGAAGAACAAAGTCTACTGAACTTCATAAATAAGTAAAAACTAGAAACAGGCAGTTCAAAATAAATTCAGTTAACGCAAAGAAACAATTTTACCATAATAAAATTGCAAACTCCAACAACATCTCCAAAACAACTTGGGAAATCATTAACTCAGAAGTAGCAAATAAAAAAATCAAATCTGGTGAAAATATTGTAATAGAATCTGATGGTAGACTGGTCTCCAATCCAACTCATGTTGGTAACATTTTTAATGACTATTATGTAAATGTAATTGAAAATTTACTTAAGGATTTGCCTCCAGCACAGCCCGTGACTTTGACAAATAACTTGTTAAATCCACAAAAAGTGTTCCGATGCAATCCACTTAATGAGGACGAATTGGCTAAAGTAATTGATTCTTTGAAAAATAAAAACTCTTACGGATATGATGAAATACCAATAACAGTTATAAAATTTTCAAAAATCGCATTGATAAAGCCTTTATTACACCTGATAAATTCATCATTCATTTCTGGCATCTTCCCGGACAAATTGAAGATTTCTAAAACCATACCAATCTACAAAAAAGGGGATGAACTTAATATAGAAAATTATCGTCCAGTTTCTATTCTCCCTTCAATCTCAAAAGTTTTTGAAAAAGCCATGCATGGAAGACTCATGCTATTTTTAGAACAAAATAGTCTTTTAGATGACGAACAACATGGTTTTTGCAAAGATAAATCTGTCACCACAGCTCTGATCAATTTTACTGAATCAATTATAGAATCAATAGACAAAAAAGAAAGTGTTGCTGGTATTTTCATGGACCTTTCCAAAGCATTTGATAGTATATCACATGAAAGGCTGTTACAAAAATAACATTATCTTGGGATTCAAAAAAACTCCTTTGCAGTGGTTCAGGTCATATCTCACCAACAGGCAGCAATTTACAGAAATCAGTCATATAAACAACGCTATAATTTCAAAAATTCCCTCCGCAACACAAAGTATAAAGCATGGCGTCCCGCAAGGGTCTATTCTTGGACCCTTGCTTCTCATTTGTTATGTTAAGAATATGCCAAACTGTCTATGTAACAATGTAATATATAATTCTAAACTCGTACAGTATGCTGACGATTCTAATCTTATTGTATCTGCTAAATGTCAGATTGATTTGGAAGTAGCAGCTCATATAGAATTATCACAAATCCAAGAATTTTTTGTAAACAATCAATTAATGCTAAATTCACAAAAAACTAATTTTATTTCTTTCAGCACTAAGCAGAACAAAAATAAGTGTAGCCCTCATATTTTTATTGACAAAAACACAATAAATCAAATTGATTGTACAAAATTTTTAGGTATCCATATTGATGAATGTCTTAGGTGGGATCATCATGTAGGAAGCATTGTGCGTAAGGTAAATTCTGGAATCTATGCCTTGAAAAGAATGTTTTATTTAAGTGACCTAGCAACATTAAAAATAGTTGTTCATGCCCATATCCAATCACATATATCTTATGCAATAGTAGTGTATGGAGGCACTTCCCAGAAAAATTTAGATAAGATACTTGTTTTACAGAAAAAGGCAATAAGAATAATGTTAAATCTAGATTATAACGAGTCTGTAAAGCAACATTTTGTCAATTTGAAACTATTAACTGTGTTTAGTTTGTACGTACTGGAATGTATCGTACATGTAAAAAATAACCAGGAAAAATTTAAAACGCATTGTGAAACCCATCAATACAACACTAGAAACAAAAATAATATAGTTCTACCGAAACCCAACTTAGAAATGTATAAAAATAAGCCCTCATATGCCGGTGTACAGTTTTTAAAGTTAATACCAAATGAAATAAAAGATATTAAGGATAAAAAAAATTTTAGACAAAAACTTAAAGAATTTTTGATAGAAAAACCCATCTACTCAATAGATGAACTTTTTATGAATGTATACAGCTATAGATAGTTTTATTTTCTGTATTTTTTGTTTAGGTTAAGTATTTGTACATAGTAATTATAAGCTTGACACTATTTATTGTACATTTTGTACATAATATAAATAAAGATAATTTGAATTTGAATTTGAATCCTTGGTATTTTACTGCTGTTTCGTACTGCAGATAGAGCACATCATCAGGTTAGAACGTCAGCACGTGTGTAAACATTTCTCATAGTGTAATTTGTCAGAATCGTTGTACTAAACAAATAACACAGAGCATAACCAAAAAAAATAAAAATAAAATAAAATAAAATAAAAAAAACTACACAGTAAAGACTCATCCTTCGCCAGCGCTGTACCATATGTATAGTTACTCTCTGGTCAATCAGTTTTAAATGTTTGTTTCATTTGTTTTTCTGTTTACTGTACGGATCCCAACAAATCTGTCCACAGAAAATCAGTGGAAGTGCTGTATCTGTTTTTCGTGCTTAACACCTAGAAACATTATTTGAACAGCTGTAAAATATCAAGGATCGTTTTGACAGTAACCATGTAATTTGAATCTCTATTAGTTACTTTTTTACAGATTTCAGACGATCCATCACCATCCAACCACACCAGCAAATTAAGTGAATTTATCTGTCCGGGAAAGGTTACATTTTTTCTCTTGGCTTATGGTATTGATGTCTTTTTGTTTTGTTTTTTATCAAATTGCTTCTATAATATCTCATTTTCAGGCGCAAGCAGTGATGGAGGATTTACCAGCGGAGTTGATAGAAGAAATTGCGAAGTATTTATCATATGAAGATGTTTTAAACTGTTCTCATGTCAGTACCATTTGGGAAAACACTTTTAATTTGGACCGAGTGTGGAGAAGATTTTGCACCCTTAATCCTAACTATTTTCTGAAAAAAATAAGTAAGTTATCATATCCTTTGAATAATAACACCTCAATTTCAGCAGAACCTTGCCAGTTCAAAGAGTTATTTCTCAAAGAGCAGTTTGTTAAAGAAAACTTGTTTACTGAAAAATATCATGTTGAAGAAATTGATCTTTATAAACAGTACGTCGATTGTGTTAGGGAATCAGTGGATGACAGAGGTAACCATTGGTTGTTCCTTTCACTTATGGATGGAAGAATCTCCAGAAATGAACACAAAATCAAAGTCTATAAAATAAACGATAATGCAGTCTTACAATCCATATCCATTACACCTCAGGGGAAAACTACCAGAAACCTCAACACGGAACTGGAACATCACAATGAAAAACTGTTTTATATCGTCGATCATGTTGTTTTAATTCACAACTTTGCTAACCCTGAATATGAACTTAAGTACACTTCATACGTAGAGTTCTCAAAACCACCTAACTCATTTTATTCACTTAAAATGCTTTGTCCCAAGAGTCTCATTGCTGGGTTTTTATACACAAACCACCATGTCCTGCAGGAGTTAAGTCCGTCGTACAGGGTTTGGAATGAGGACGGAATTCCTATATGTGATAATTTGGAAAGTTTTCATCCTTTGAATGAAATCACAAGCACTAGTTTCCCTCTGTTGACCGCCAAACATAACAATACCAACACCATAGTGATTTATTATCAATACACAATAAATACAAAAGAATTCTTCACCTTAAAATTATTTGATAACAAAGTTCTTGAATACAGAGATTTTTCAATTAAAAGAAGGGGATTTATATACGAGTTAAGAGTCTTGAGAAATTTCATAATTGTGTTGTTTGGGGTCAAAGACCCGCATCATATATACCACAAAGGTTGCATCATTACCATAGACATGAAAAGTGGGAAGGAGATATACTCGTGTGCTTTAACCAACATGAAGATAGATATTAGAAAAATTAAAATAACACCAAGTGGCAAGTTTTTTACAGTCAATAAAAAGACACTCACAGTTTACGAGGTCACCGACTTCTGTCTGAATCTAGTTTTTACTGTAGATTTTAAAAGAGACGACGTTACGGTCAGTGCTTTAGGATGTGACTACATAGTTGTTCCGTCTGGCAATGAAGATAATGAATTTATTTTGTACCACTTGGAGACTGGTAACAGCAGCAAAATCAGGCTTCCTCTAAGACAGAATATGCCAGGGGCTCTGATTCCTGGTAAAATGTTGAATTTTTACTGTGAAGAAGGAAACCAGGTCGCTTTAAATTTTGTTGCCCACACAGATCCATCCTTCATGTATCCTCGTAGTTTGTCAAGAGAAACCAGAAACTACGTTTATATTATAAGTTTTTGGTAGTTTATGATTCAAGATTGAGTCAATCAATATCAATGTTTGTTAATAACATTGCTCTTACCTGAACAAATTCTCTTTCCTACTAAGAAAAACGTAAAATATTTTTCAAGTAAACCTGACTATAACAAAGAGATTTTGTGAATTTCTAGTTTTTATCGTTAGAAAGGATTTATAACCTTGTGCGAACTCTTAGATTTATAACAAAACTTCCAGTTTTATCTATGTATTTTATTTAAGCTATATTTGTCTAACGTGTTTAGTATGTTAGCTTGAAGATTTTATGGGAATTGACTTCAGAATAATCACCTTTTTCTTTTAAAACCGTTGAAAGGTTAAAATGCCTGGTACTGCCTTGTTTTTATTTATTTTTTAAGAGGTAGGTGGCCTCTCACCCCTTGCATTTGTCCGTCCACATATGCTATGGACCTGTGGGTGAAATGAAAGCATAGGGTGAGCTGATACAGTACAAGGGTGATAAAAAGTAGTGGCAGTGATCGAACCCGTACAATTATTTGTTGTCTGTGACAACCATGAGTCACCTACTAACCTATTATGATTCCTCCTTGAACAGACTAAGCGTTTCGATGCTGTAGATATGCCATCGTCAGGCTGCACAAAACTTTAAAATTCAAATCATTTTTGAGATGTCTGTCAAAATTTTTGGAAAACACAAAACCTTAAGAAGGGAAGAAAATCTGTAGGCCTACATCAACTTTTGTGCACTTGACAATTTCCGAGTCTCAGTGGTGTAGTCGTAAATCTTCCTCTACAAGAACACTAACCATCTTTTGGGGAAAAACATGGGTTGCCAATTAATATTGGAGTTTTGGAAAAATCTAAGTGGTAACACTGTTCAGATTTTGTACCCGCTCCACTACATCACTGCCAAGTCTCGACTTAACCGTCATGTGCACACTATGTTATGTACTTTTAGTTTTTCGTTCTCTTCTTAATGTTTTGTTTGCTTCTTGCAAACTTAGATGTGACAATCTCAACAATGGTATAATCTTTTCAAGTTTTTTTCGACCTGATGATGATGTTTCATCAACATTGAAATACGTAGTCCGTTCAAGGTGCATAGGAATCACAAGGTAGTACCAGGTATTTTAACCTTTTTACAGTTTTGTCTACGTGATTCTGGATAAAAACACAGTAAGAAGTTATCTGTTTAGCTTGTTTGTGTTAGAAAAACGTAATAATGTGATATGTATTTTTTGTCTATCTGTTTAAAATGAATGTGCCCCTATGTGAAAAAGATATTGCATTATTAGTGTTGATTTAATTTTAATATAATGGAGTTATCTATCTTTACCGACAAATAGTATTTTTATGTGACTGATTAACTAAAAGTCTGCTTATAAACTTAACATGTAAAATTACTAGATTACTTTTGGAAATTCATTAATACTGTTCTCTAGAAAACAAATATCCAACTCTTTTATAATGTTCCTAATCAAATACTCTGGATCTAACTTAGCATGTGCAAGACTAAGAGTTTTTTTTTACAGCTCTTAGGGTAAAAACACAGTGGAGCAGGGCAGGTAGCTGGTAGCCTGGCTTGTCGCTTACTCGCTTAACTGCTGGTTACCTGGAGGGTAGCTGGGACATACACACAGTGGCGCTCAGTACAGTCGCTTGTCAGCCGCCGATACTAATATTATCACTTATAATATTAGTGGTATAGGATAAACTTTTGTTTGAATCCTAGTTCATTCGCTATTTCATTCTACAGATCGTTGAGTACGTGACGTTTGTGGTGGTCCGGATGGGCTTGGTTCCATAAAGGCACACGGATAACCTCTGATATTAATTTGTCTACGTCCATTATTTTATTTAATGTAAACAAAACAACATCCAAATAAATCAACTAAACAAACTACAAACAACACTCCGTATACAAAAAATGCGCAGTGAAAGATCCTGCGTGGAACTTGCGAACTCGAGAACACGTGGCTGTCAAGTTCTGCTATTTGCGCATGCCCCAGTCGAGCCTTCCCCGCTTGAAGCTCCCAAACAATCGACTTGGCAATTCTTCTAGCTTGCCGCCTAGCTTACTGCTACCATGTCAGCTACCTGCTAGGCGCGACTGTGTGCGTACCCATAACAACACGTGCTTTAATTCTACATCGCAGTAAGCGAGTAAGCGACCAGCCAGGCTACCGGCTACCTGCCCTGCTCCACTGTGTTTTTACCCTTAGACAGTTACAACATATTCTTATAGGCATTTATGGGAATGTATTGGTGTTTTGGACACACATTCACTGTTTAAACACTCTAAATTCTATAAAAAATTACAACTGCCTTTGATTTACTTTATTCATATTCAAATAAAAAAGTAAAGTATTGGTATACTTTTAAGATTATAATACATGATACCGTTGGATATTTGTTAGTACTCGGTAGGCTAATAAATTGAGTTTCAAATTGGAACCCTAAATGTACGTATATTATGTAAAAAATGGGCCAATTGTGTGTAAACCTTTGGATAATTTAGTTCCTATTTGTACATCAATAAGAAAATTTTTTTCTGCCAAATTCTCTATCTTAAATGAGTGCAGGCCACAAACTTAATAAATATATACTTAATAAATGTATACCAAAACTCGCCGAAATGTTTTCCAAACTTTTGAGATAGCGGTGTTTTTTATATCTTGTAAATGCCATGTACGAGGCATGTTTTTTAAGTAAGTACCGGTTTTAAACTTCTCCGTTCCAGCGCTGCGAATGACATTTTGGACATTTGCGCTGTATATGTGCATCTATTGGAAATCCCTAGCCGGAAATTCGACAACAATCGGCCGTGTTTACATCCGGTATCGAGCATTCAAATGGTGCCGCCAATTGAGACTGCCGCCGACTGTGAAGTGCGCGTTGTAATTAGATTTTTATGTTCTAAAGGTGTGAAAGCCATTGAAATTTGTCAACAGCTTAGTGAGGTGTAGGGCGAGAACATTTATAAGTGACGGAATGGTACACAAGTGGGTAAAGGCATCTAAAGACGGCCCCACCAACGTTCATGATGAGCACTGGGTACTGGGGACAGTGACGCTGCCCAGTGCGTTGCTTATGATGGACGTTGGTGGGGCCGTCTTTAATGCCCTTCTGTGTTCGCTGGCCCTTACCCACTTGCGTACCATTCCGTCACTCATAAATGCTCTCGCCATACACCTCACTAATCTGTCGATAAATTTCAATGGTTTCACACCTTTAGCACTTAAAACTAATTACAGTTCGCACTTCACAGTCGGCGGCAGTCTCAATTGGCGGCACCATTTTGAATGCTCGATACCGGATGTAAACACGGCCGATTGTTGTCGAATTTCCGGCTAGGGCTTGCCAATAGATGCACATATACAGCAAAAGTGTCCAAAATGCCAATCGCAGCACTGCAACGGAGAAATTTAAAAACGGTACTTACTTAAAAAACATGCCTCGTAAATTTATATTTGTCCATCACAGTTGCAAGTAGTTAATACTTAACAAAAGAATATATAAAAACAAACTTATAAACATAAGTTACTCTTTATATTGTTGGCATCAACAGTTGTTTTAAGCAAGACAAACATAAAATATGTGCTTAGTTTTGCACCAATTATTTTGAAACACCCTGTATTTCAAGAATCTGCCAAGTGCGGAAAGAAATATTTTACTGAGTGGACAAAAAGAGGTCTAATGTAAGACTTATATAGATTTAGGCTATTTTTAGTGTTCATGTAATGTTTTATTGAAAGTCTGTTAGTTATTTTTTTTTTTATATTGTCTATTATATTGTGCACACATGTATATTAAGTTTACAACATGCTGATTAGAGTGATAAGATTTTATTGATTTAGAAATGCCTTTGTTTTGATTTAGCCTGTATGTATAGACGAAGGTAAAGAAACTAAAAAGTTTGCTATTTTTTTACATTTTATATGCTTCTAAATAGTAGGGATAGATAGTTGAATTCTTGGTTGAATGTCAACCGATATGCAAAGATGGGACTAATTAATCAAGAATACACATTATTTACTTTTTAAAAAGAAACAGCTGTATTTTTTTAAAATTTATATTATGACCTGTGTATAAAAAAATGTAGATTTATACAAAATTATAAGCACCTTCCTCATATGTAACTTTAACCTTCAATGCACTATTGTATTAAACTTTGAGAAATTAATTTTTTTCTTTACTTTCATCGTACACTCCGAAACAATATTTCAAACCTTGCCCTGATGGAAATTGCACCAAATCATCATAAGAGAGCATTTGCATCATTAATATACTAATATGATGTGGTACATGACAATATCCTGTTACATGTGTTAAATTTATAAAAACATAATTTTATGTTTTATTTAGTTTTTATATATTACAAAATTAAAAATCAAGTTTTCTGCTGAAATATTTTTTTTTTTATTTCTCATCCTAATACATAGTAAATGGAAAAGTATTTTTTTATCAAAATCTTTGGGATGAAAATATCCATGGACTCAAAAAGTGGTTTTAGAATTGATGTCCATTTGTGTGTCTATATATATGTTTGTATGTAAGTGTGTGTGTCTGTGTACAGAGATACAGACTAGCCTACACCTGTTGTACGATTTTGATGAAATTTGTTATGTTGGTACTAATCTATTGTATCTCCAAGAGTTTTTTTTTTCATTTTTTGAAATTATGATTTAAATGGTTATTTTCTCATCATTTTGCACCAAATCGGCAGGAAGAAGTGTTTATGTTATGGTCCTTTTAACTCCAAACAAAAATGGTACAACCTCCAATGCTGTAAAAGGTTCAAGATGTAGCCTATTGCGCTTGTTGTTATTTTACACATAAAACATCATAGTTACTCACACTGCTTACCCTAATAAGGGATGTTGACAAGCTAATGGGAGAAAGTTTTGTATGAATTATATATTATACTTCCTTAAATGAATTCAAAACACCCATATGTTATTCTTATGGAACATAAGTAACTGTTGTACTTTGCTATTTTATAGATGATAGTTTGATATAATTTGGCAAATTTCTTTATTTCATACTAAGCTATCATAATTTCACTTAAAACTCTTATAACCCTCCCAGTAGCAGCACACCTAAGTACCCATTAAGCCTTATGCTACCTGTATTTAATTAGGGAATAAATCTGACAACTTTAAGGGAATATTTTAGTGGAAATCCAATCAGGCAAATGGAAATTCCCTTAGTTTGCAGGTTTGCTGCAGTGATAGGGATTTTGTAGTATCGATATATAACTTCTGTTGGTTATATGTTCAACAAAGTTTATTTCATTACATAATTACATTACTATTGAATAATTCAAGTTTTTCACATAAAAATATTCCAAAATTGTGTTTGTATGTTATTTTATTATTATTTGGAGGTTATCACTTGCAGCTAGAAGTACTCTTTCTACTGTGAAGGATGCAGAATTGAATCGAGTTGATGCCTTGGTGGTTCAGGGTTAAGTCGTGGGTTGCTACTGGACTGGTTCACACCTCTAAAATTGATCAGTACTGTACAGACAAATCGCTTAGTATTAGTCAGGCCGTGTGGTTTCTTGATACCTTCCACACACACAGCCAAAACCCAAGAGGCACAGGCAGCCAAACCAATAGATATTGAACCCTAATTTTGAGGCAAAAGTTTATTCACTTTCTTGAACACTGGTATCACCTTTGAAATTTTTTTCTGAGTTTCTAAAAATTTAAAAGGTGATACCAGTGTTCAAGAAAGGGAATAAAGTTTGGCCTCAAAGTTATAGACCAATATCTATTGTCACAATCTTCTAAAAAATAATTGAATCGGTTGTTTATGAACAATTAAATGGGCACTTTGTAAACAATAATATATTGACAGATTCGCAATTTGGATTAGGGGAAGGAAAGTCAACTGCTTCTGCAGTTCTAAAAGTTATTAATAAAAATATTAATGCGTTTGAGGACAAATGAATTGTTTCTCTCACATTTTTTGACCTAACAAGCCTTTGGTTGAGTTCCTAATAACATTTTGGTTAGTAAACTCAAATTATATGGCATTAAGGATGCATAATTAGGTTTCGTTAATTCATACTTAAGTAATAGAAAGCAGTATGTTTCAGTTGGAGGGACACAATCTGGCTTAAGAGAGGTGGTCTCTGGTGTTCCACAGGGCTCGGTCCTTGGACCATTTCTATTTCTAATGTGTATTAATGATTTGCCTCGAAATGTTGGAATTGACTCTGTAATATATGAAGACGATACTAACCTAATCGCCACCCTTAAAGACATTCATCCTCTAAATACAATGACCAATGAAGCCATAAACATAGCTTCTGTTTGGTTTTCAGCGAATAAGCTTAAATGTAATCAAGATAAAACTCAAAATATTTTAATTGGCCTCTCCGATGGAATTGAAAAACATTCAGTCAAATTGCTAGGTTTTTGTATAGATTCTAAATTAAATTGGCAAGAACAAATAGAAAACATCTGTAAACAAATTTTCTCCGTCAATTTCCTAATCTGGAAACTCAAAGATTTTGTTACTTTTGATTATTTAAGAACGGCATAATTTGCTTTTTTCAGTCACATTTATCCTATGGACTAATGCTGTGGGGGCTTTCGGCTTAATCAGATGGAATTCTTATTTTACAGATATAAGTTATTCAGACCATTTGTGGAGTGGTCCTGTGGATCACTACAGACCTCTTTTCATCAGGCTTAGAATTATGACAATAATTAATTTACACATTTATCAAATTATGTAGTATACAAGAATAAACCTATATGAATTTAACATAAGACAAGATTTTCATTCTCATAATACAAGGAATAAACTACAGTTAGACATAACAGCTCATAGACTTAAAAAGAGTAGCAATAGTCATAAACTAAACTGCATAATTTTTTTAATAAATTGTCTGATTCAGCCAGAGCTGTATCCTTCAAGATATTCAAATCTAAATTATGTGAATGGTTGATAAGCAATCCTTTCTACGGCATCCATGAACTTCTTAAAACAAAAGTTGATACTGAATTTTGATGTGTATCTACATGATCCATATTCTCTAGACATGTCATATTTTAATTAACTAAGTATTTTGCAAACTTTGTACTTTATTAATTTTTTTTTAAATGATTTGTATGTGTTTTGGCTATGTCTATTCCTTAGTACAAAGAAAGGTCAATGGCAATAAAACTCTTGATTCTTGAAACTCTTTAAAAAAATGTGTAAATAATTATTTTCCATCGTATAAAGAAGGATTGAGCCAAGTGTTGGTAGGTCGTTGGTAGCCTCTAGGAAAATAAGGACAATCCATAGAGTCTTTCATCAAAATTCATGTTTCTGACCCCTGAAATATTTTGATGAAATAATAGGTTTTACATACCTTCACCAAATAGTCCAAAGATTTGTTCAGTATCTTGCACTTTTGGTCGCAAAGAAAACCTTTTCAAAGTTTACAACTCATCAAAAACACAATTTAAACATAGAGGAAAACATATAAACAGGTTATTTTGATTTTGCTATCGTTTGATAGGATATTTTAAATAACAAAAAAATGTTTTTCTTGACTTTTTTTATAAAATTACCCATTTTTCGTAATTTAAGTTATACAAATTGAAACGAATAATTTTTTTTATGATAATCTTTTTGAAAATGGCTTATAGTTGATTAAAATCAAATACAAAATGTCATAAAGATTTCTTTATTAGTTTTAGAGATAGACATTTCAAATACTAAAAGACAAAATAGTGTACATCTTTATAAAGAGGCATTTTTTAAATTGCATTGTGGATTTTCGTTATATTTTTACCCATAAAACGTTTCCCCGGAGTTTGGCTGATTACATACGGGACATCCTGTATACAATATTGTATTGCGTTGTGACTGTGTGCCAATGCCTCAACATGTTCTGGAGAGGGGGGAGGCAATGACTACCAGAGGAACCTGATGACCTGAAGCCGATCACAGTAACCGACGGAAAGCGGACCCTTCACCATGTAAGTGCAGGACTCTTGAAGTTTAGATAGTGCTTATCATTCCTGCTTGTAAAGTTTAAAGATTTTTTCACAACTACAGTAACTTAATTACTTTATTTTGCAGCAATAAAGTGAATGACATTTTTTTCGATCCTGCACAAGCTAAATTTATTTGGCATTTTTGCAGCTACAATAAGTAGAGACTATAATTGATTCTGCACATAAGTAATATTTTTGTGAATTTTTGTAGCTACATAATTAAATTTTTTTCGATGTTGCAAATTCAACATGTATTTGGGAGTTTATAGCAACTACAATAATTGCTTGTCAAAATCTTTCTATCCAATCACGCACATGTATTAAAAAACATTTTAGATACACATGATGTATGAAAACCCATTTAATTAAACAGAAACTCATTCATAGTATAAAAAATAAACGTTTGTATTCCATCAATCCGAGAACACCGCGTTGGGTCTTATTTGCAATAAACTCCTAATAACAAACCTCATAGATAACTATGCAACACAACGTATCCCCTGATTGGAAATGAAGACACCATACACAATAAATGATAACACTAATGATAATATTAATGGCGATTTATTTATGATAATGATAATATTTTTTAATGATGAACACAGGGATACCAACATATAATAAGCCTGTTCTATCGTTAAAACTTGTCTCCCGGTTCTTTTAAATTGGGTTCCGTATAAAAAAACTGGAAATATAATACTCACAAACAAACAAGTATCTTCTTGCAGATCAATTATTTTTGGGGCAGCTGAGGTAATTTAGGGGTTGTTTATGTTTCATAACATCAAGAATGCTTATGGTAAAAATCTACAGGATGAACCTCGTATGGTGTCCACTTTTGATTTCAGACAAACCGTTGGTCCTACAGTAATGAAATAAACAATTTCCCCATCAAACGTACCCCAAAGAATAACGTAAAAATATTTTAAATGTTTTTTTAATACAGTATGTACCAAAACAAGAGGTTAACTATTTCAAATTCCACAATTTTAAATTATAAACATATTTCTTAACATTATTTTAATGCTCTTATTAGTACAAACATTTTGGTGAAATCAGAATTTGACCAATTATTTTATCGTTTATAAATGGCCGCTCTTTAAGTGAAACACTATTTTGAGTACCCTATATATTTTAATTGAAATTACAGATATCCCTACTCTTGGTTGAAATTTAAAATGTAAAAAATCTTTTTTTGAAAATAATTACATATCCAAACTGAAAAATCAAATAATATTATATATAAATTCCATATAATTGAACTCTATGATTCCAAGCATATTTCAAATTCAAATTTCCGCATCTCTTTTAGTTTTTGAGTTACTGTATCGAATAAAGCATGTTTTCCCCATATAACACTCATTTTGTGCAGTGCCGTTCTTGAAATATTGGGACAGAATATATTTAACACCCTGTATATAAAAAATACAATGATCTATTTCAACCTAATACTTGTTCTCTGGTATTATCACAAAAGAAACTTACATGGACAATTTTTAAGATACAAGAATTATCTGTCATTATGGACGAGGTTTCTGTATGTCTGTGTGTTTGGTGGTCGTGACTCCTGCTGTGTTCTTTGTATTGCGTAGCTTGAAAAAGACATAGGGCGTTCTAATTCAGAATATTATAGCCTTTTCTACTCTAACTTAATGGGATATGGCAGTGAAATTATGAAATTTGTTTCAAAAAAGTGATTTTTAAATTTGGCTATTATTTATTATTCATAACACTGAAAATGAGAAAAATTAGTCAAAAATAAAAAATAAAATGTTTTTGAGTGCTTAGGCCATATTTAGAAAAATACTGTAAATAGTTTTGAAAAATTCGGTCGTTGACTTATTCAATAATAATAAAATTATTATTAAGTAATAGTTACAAAATAATATAATAAATAATAATAAAATGCTTGCATGAACAAATAAATTGATCCATAACTCAATAATAGGTAAAACTACAAAGTGTAACTTTTAACGTGTGATTCCCGCAAATCAGATTTTTAAAACGTTTTACTACTAAATTTGATATATCTTCAAAACGGTTTATGCTACATGATTTTAATTTTTACAAAGTGTTTAAAATGCTATTATGTAAATAGTTAGGTAGAATTGTAAATGTATATATTCTAAAGTGAAAAAAGTTTCATAGAAAACCACTTTTTTTTTAAATTACAAAATGACCCAATGTAATAAATCAAGATACAGTTATAATTCTACCTAAATATTTAGAGGGCATTATTTCCTGCAAACTGATGGTTTAATAATTACAATCCAATAATTAGACCTGAAGTTATAGGCCTATCAAATTTAGTTAATTACCTAAAAAAATATATATATATTAAGGGTGTACTTAACCAATAAATTTACTTATAATAACGTTTATACATATTCTTAAGCCTATAAAACACATGGTATACGTTTGAAAGACCTGTGTGTCCCAAGAGTGAAAGACAATGTGTACTGTACCAATTTGGGATCATGAGAGTATAAACACATAATTTTTATTCAAACTCCAAAAAATTAGCAGTGCAAAGTATTTTTGATTGCCCAAGCTCCAATTTTGTAGGGATTACTTAATAACTTTGGCCTTTATAACTAACGTATTATTGATACTAATATTTATACTAAAAATTTCACAGTTGCATGGAGAATCTACGAATACAATGTGACCAAGTCCGTAGATATCCTTGCTAAGTTTTTAAATATTTTATCATTATTAAATTGATTATTAGTTATGTAACAACTTATTTTCTACATTGAACAAAACAAGTAAAAGCAACTAAACAGAATAGCTACCCCGTAAAGGTAAGTAACATTTCATTCCGTCATTCTAGAGCGGGAATGGTTATTTTCAAAACATGCTAAAGCGGTTCTTATTATCCCTATGGTGAAAAAGAATCAGATATAGTGAGGAAATTTTACGTAAATTTTCATTGTTAACTTCATCCGCAGAATTTGCTGAAGTACGCATTTCGGATTGATAATTTTATTATTGAACAGTTAATAAAACTTCTTCTTGTGAATATTGTGTTACATTATACATTTCACTGTATAAATATTAGGCCTCTTGAGAATTTAGCGGCTGAAAAAATAGGTAGGATTTTCAATTTCTGAAAACTTACTTTACGTGATTGTCTACAATAAAATAAGCTACTCTGAATGAAAATATAGGATTCTTTTTAACACAACCCAATTATTACAAGTGTGCATTGTTGCATAGTTATCTATGAGGTTTAGGTTTAGTGTTATTGGGAATTCATTGTAAATGAGATTTTACATTGTGTTTTAAGCTGAAATAGAGTATGTATTATAGGTCTACGTTTTTTCTTCTTTACTATGGATCCTATTTACAACAATTTGTACATGTTAATAATAATTGATTTAATACGTGCTGGAATCACACCTGAAAACTCAATTTCAATCCTTTTTTTTTTCGTAAAACCAATGATTTACTTTTAACGTATTCTTCTAACTCTTTAACCTTAGGAAGACACCATGTTGAGTCTTATTTACAATAAATTCCCAATTACACTTCTTCTGTACATCGTTGCACTACACTTCATAGGTAACTCTGCAACAATGCAAATCAGCTGATAAGCAATGAAGTAAAAAAAACAGAAACAGGGATGCCAACATATAAACTTGTTTTGTAATTTAAATGTGTCTCTCAGTAGGTATTTTTAGTTTGGATTGCGTTAAAAAATACCCTGTATACAGAGGAAATTTGAATTGCAAATTTATCATGGAAGTAAGATAATTGATATTTACAATAGTTTATGATTTTCAAGTAAGAAGATAGACCGGCCACAAAAGGCAAAGCGACTGGCCTTATATACCTCACCATTACCTCAGGCTTCCTTTTCCTTCAGCTGTTTCGCATAAACCCATAAGTGATAGTATTTTTCCAAATCGGCTTCCAAGGTCGCATCTGTGACCTCGGTCGTCAAGGCAACCAGATGCTAATGCAAGCAAATTTATTATTTCCGCGATTAATAGATTATGCTCAGAGATCGCTGTAGGGTTTGGCAAATATCCATGGCAATTAGAGGTCACATTCTCGTTAAAATTTATACTCTCGAACAGAAATCGATAAAATAGTCTGTATTGATATTGACATTTGATTATCAATACAATGTACTGAGTAAACTTCTCTGTTATTGATATCTATACGTACTCAATATAGGAGTTATGTTCTTGGTTCGTTGAACTGATGTTAACATCTCGAGAAGGCCCACTGTCCATCCAGTCTGTAAGAAGTAATATAATGTTTGTAGAAACATTATTTAACTTCGATCACAATCTTCGTCTATAATGTGAAATTCTAAGATACAAGTGTCGAAATAAAAATGTCAATGAAGATATAAATTCTTGAAGACAACAATGTATAAATAAGTTTAAATGCGCAATGAAATTAAATGTATTTTAATTTAAATTTAGATCATACATTTTGTATTCATAAAATCATTAATAAAACCGTCCGTTTGGTTGACCTTAGATCTGCTCGAATTTATGAAAGATTAAAATATTTTCAGCAATAAACAGATTAATTTATATTTGTGGAAAAACTATAATAAAAAGGTATTAAAAGATAAAAATAAAGAGGATACAAATAAAAACAAACTGCTCTTAAACTATAGATGAGTTTAACAAGCAGTGCAATGGATTTGAAAATTTATAAACAATATACGACTATATTCAAAAATTAAATTCTGTTGCCATCCTTCACTAATACTTCCAAGCACTTCCCAGATAACTAGCTAAAGCTTGCCAATTCCTCACATTTATAAATTAATGATATTTTATTTCATTTTAAAATTGTCTTCCTAGCCAGACATGTCTTATGTTTTTTTAATGTACAAATTGCAATAAAATTATGGACTTTGTAAATTCGGACTGGTAAGATCTAATCTTGCTCTACTGAGCAACACATAAGTAAATCCCTAACCATTCACCATTAACACGTTTACCCATTGTTGCCGACTAACATATCTTCAACCTACGTGAATAGCTTGAATAGAATAATAGCTCCATTCATTAAGATTTAATTTACTGAAATTTACATTTGAACCCAAGCATAGACTAGAGATAACCTATGTTTTCACCGAAGTAAGTATTTAAATGTCTTCAAAAGTTCAAAATGTCATTGCACCATTGCAGGTACGTGTAGTGTGTATAAGGAAATCTTACTTGTTTGACTTCTGACATTTTGTTAACCTACGACTACGCAATAGCTTTCTTCATTCATGTCACTAATTGATTTCGTTGTTCGTCGGATGATGAAACCGATGACAATAAATCATCATGTTACATAATACTATTGATATGCAAGAAAGTTACGGTGTCAAATGATGAACATGTTTACATACAATTGTTCGTGGTGTTACTAACATTGAGGTGCATCAGGGTTACAGTTTAGGACCTCTACTTTTTATAGTGTAAACCGATATCCTAGATAGTGTCAAATTGTTTTTAATGTGTGAATAACATGTTGGACAGCTAAGTGGCTACACTACTAGCTTGGCAATCTAAAGATAGCCGGTTCGGTCCTGAGAAAAGGCGGTAGTTTTTTGATGGATCGAAACTGGTCCTGACTGTCCTTAGATAATTAGTATTATATTAAATGAAACTGGGTGAGTGAAATTTGATCTTACTCAGAAACTAAGCTACATAGATCATCCATTCCATTCTAAACTCACTTTACATACGTCAGCTTAGAATATGTCCACAAAGTAGGCTACGTCATTGTGTTAATGAAGCAATTAACAGCTTTGTTAGGCAACGCAAAATAGATTATTTGAATATTTCATTTGGAACACTTGAACAGCGTTTACATTGCATAGACGGGTTTTTAAATGATCTATTATACAGCACTTGTAGCAGCAAAGCATTAGGTCTGTTGAAGTCACTAATAATGTTGGAACAATGTCAAAATTTGAGTTGTGTTGAAATAAAACAGTTCTTGATGAACTTATGGGGTTTTGAAATATTTCCAAAATCACGTACTTCTGGAATAAGATCGAAAGCTTGATTCGTAAAGTCCTACTAATTTTTAAAACACCTAGCCCTCACCGAAGCACTAAAAGTCACCCTAGTAAAAATGCAGGCTACACGTTTTTGAATTTCAATGACAATAAAATAATATTAACCATCAACAGTTAATAATGACCCTTGCTTCAATAAATAAATTCTTTCATTTGATCGTTTTGTTTGTTAAGTGTAAGCCAAGTCTTAGAGAAAGTATGAGTGTTTACTAATGCATGTCTGATGTTTCAGGAAGCTTTCTGGACTGTTTCTGTTGGTGTCTGTAGCAGGGGGCTTCGCCAACCCAGCGCTCAAGGAGGTGTTCCATTGGAAGCAGTTGGACTTCCACTACCCCGACGAAGCAGCTCGCAAACAGGCCGTAGCCTCTGGGGAGTTTGTCGTCGAGAATAACCTGCCTCTGGGTGTGGAAGTGTGGAAGAACAAACTGTTCGTGACAGTCCCCCGCTGGAAGTCTGGGATACCTGCTTCCCTCAATTACATCGACCTTAACGGTAAGATGACAACAGTTCGACAGCATGAATCCGTATCAATAGTAAATTAGTTTTTCATCATCGCAGAACTTGGAAAATATTTGCAATATTTTCATTGCAGGTCTGTAACTTTCTGATGGTTGAAAAACGAAACTCAGCGGTCCTTGATGTTTTAACAGATGGTTAAAGGAAACAGCTGATTTTTTCAGTTACGAAGCCACAAAGATTGGTGGGGCCACCGTTTACCGATATGTCACTTGCTCGACATGCCATTTGACCGATATGTTTATGGACCGTGGAAACAACCTTATCGACATGGAATTTGGTCGTCAGGCAAGTTGACTGGCATTGTGTGGATCATTACTCTACTCCAATTCAATCTTGTATCAGCTCTAAATACAAAACTAGATGACATTTCGGTCCAAAAATAATGGCTAAGAAATTATAATTATCATTTTTGGAGGAAGCTGATGGTGACACACTTTACAAGGTGTCTAGGGCCTGTGATCGTCATCCTGTTGGAATATTGTGCCGCTCAAAGTCTGATATTATCGGCTAAAAACTGAGCCTTTATGTTAAATCATTACAAATCAAGAAAATTAAAACCCAATGAGCCTGTTTCTTGTTCTATTGCCTCGCATTCTCTTATGAGATATGTATACTGTTAATCAAATGTTCACATACACGGCAGTTAGTTATGCGTCACCCAGTTTGAACTCTGCTTTCGGAAATAGATTTTCCCAGTTCCACAGCCTCTTTATTTCCTCTTCAGAGTGTCAGAGAGAGAATTAAATAAAGTTTGTCTAAGTACCATCTTTGAGATCAGCTGAATTATTTTGGTTTCTGTACCTACGTTTTTCTGACAAAAAATTGTAACATAGATATCAAAATAGAATTTTGATGGCCTGATGCTTCCAATTTGAGCACAGTCTAGTTGTGATTGTCAAATTAAGAATACAAATTGGGTAAAGATAACAGGACAGAAGAGTTGAGGAATTATACATTTTATGAAAACTAGATGGTTTAACCATTGTCTATACCTACGTTTAACTTTTTTCTTCTTTTAGGAACACTTCAGATTATTTAAATACTTATTGCTTTAAATTACTTCCTCGATTTTAGATGGGTGTTTTGAAATGTGCATAGCTGGTGATTAAAGTTGTGTTAAATCTATCGATCTACCACAATTTCTTGTGCGATTGGAATGTGTATATTCGAGTATTACTAATCACGCAATGAATTATGAAAATGTAAAGAGACACCGATTAGTTTTAAAACCATTTCCTTCTCGAAACATCTTACAGGTGCCTCAGAGGCTGCCGGGTGTGCCACCTTGGATACATCACAGCTGTCGAGCGCACGAGGTCGCTCAGTGAAAGTAACTTGACAAACGCCACTGGTTCGACTGGTTTAGAATAAATGAACTGTTGTTAGATTTTAATTAACTCAAATGTTTTGCATAACACTACTACCCTTGTCATCTTATAACCGGTCTTGTAGCCAACTTGCGTTTTCTCGATTACACCTGTCGATGATATATACGAATGTTTGCGAAACTCATGATTAGAATGCGTTTTGCGAAGTCTTGTAATGATTTGTAATAAGTTTTGTATTTTGTAGGTTAAAGTTTTCTAATAACATGTTATGTGTGGGACCTACTCAACTGATGACTTGCGTTGTCTCAATTGCATCGGTCTTTCATATTTACGAATCACGGACTCATAAGAACGCGTTTTCCACATTTTGATCAGTCTGGTAATGATTTACAATAAGTTTTTTGTATTTTGTAGGTTAAAGTTCTGCTAACAACATGTTATAATAGATCGATTTAGTTGACTAACTTGCGCTTTCTCGATCGCTCCGGTCTCTGAACTTACGATTCGTTGCAAAAGACTCATTAGAACGCGTTTTGCACATGTTTAGTCTGGTAATATTGTATTTGTGTTTTTTGTTGGTTGAAATTATATCAACATGTTATAGTTGATCCCAGTCACCTGTTTTGCTTTCGCTATCAATTTCTAAGTGGGACTGGACATCCACTTAATAAGTAAACCTCTGCTTAAATAACATAATAGCTTCGCTTGGTCCTAGAATAGATTATGTACAGTATACGTTTCACGTGTACAATAGAAACTAGTCACCTTTATTAAGACTCTAATCCAGAATGAATGTCATGGAAAAGCAAGAGAATCCGCAGGGTTCAGTATTTAGTCGAACGGCGGGCTATGCTTGTTTTACCGTCTTCAAATTCAAGTCAATGTTCTGCTATTTGAAATTCCCAATTGGGTAAGAGAATTTGGGTTTCTCTACTACTAATGAAACAAAATCTTTTGTACGAAATTCCTCAATATGATTTATCAGTACATTTGGATTAAAACCAATTAATTCCTAAGCTTCCTTCCCCAAAAAGTTATTTTAGAGGGATATGAAATAAAGATTAATGCTCCAAGATAATAGTTTCAATTAAGTAATTGTGTGATGGTAATTATTAATTACTATTAGTAAATACCTATGGTTTGTGCCACCATAGTGCATACGTGTCCATTATGTTACCTACCCTGTATTAGTAATATTTTCCAGGTTATTTTGTTCTTGTTTTGACTACTACCTCTTAATTCAGGCACCTTTTAACCGAAAACCGCTTTATCCGGATTCTATTAGGCAGAAGTGACATCTCTTTAACCGGACTGGATCACCAGGACGTAGTCGGTACTGAAACGACTTTTCTTGTGGGAAATATTTGAGACCAGTAATCACATGTATAAATGCAATGCTCTCCTAATTTAAGTAAAATATTTTGGTTGGTTTTCGACTTATTCCCAAGGTGCTAATTTAACGAGTTTTAGGGAACGTCGGTTTAACCGGATACCCCATTATCCAGACTGCCCTTGGTCCAGATGAGTCCGGATAAAAGAGGGTATAGTAATTACAGTTCTCGATGTTGTTTTTTAGATTTTCTATTGTTGGCTCGGTTTATGTACTAATATTATGTTTCAGGCACTTTCTCACATCAGACAGCACCATATTCCTGATCCTGAAAAGTGAAAACTTAATTTTTACCAATTGAAAATTATCCTCAATAATCTTTCAAATAGCAAGATGGTAATGATAAAATGAAAGGTTTTTCATCTCAACTTATCTTACAGATGAGGAAAAGACTCAATCCCCAGCTCTCAAGCCTTACCCGGACTGGGCTTCCCACAAGATCTACGAGAAGGACAACACCACCAAGATAGTGTCAACGTTCAGGATACGCGCGGACGAGTGCGACAGACTCTGGGTCCTAGACACCGGCTTGGCTGACATCCTTGGCAAAGCTGAGCAGATCACTCCGCCCAAGATACTCATCTACGACCTGAAAACTGACAAGGTAGTAAAATACCCCCACAGCAGCAAACCTGCAGACTAATCGAGTTTCCATATCCCTGATTGGATTTTCATTAAAATATTTCCTTAAAAATTCCAGATTTATTCCTTATTGAAATAATATTAAGTTTAATGAGTAGGTTTGCGGTAGGAAGTTAATAATATTTATTTATAATAAGTATGAAATAGATTAATTTGCGTGTAATACTGTGAGGTTCTTAGAAAAAGTAATAATCGAGCTATTTCATGCTTCTCCTATTTTGTAGTAGAGTATTTTTAAATAACATTAAATATATCTTAAAAAAAGATTTAATTTTTGATACAAAACTTTAAGTTTTTAACCATAGATAAACACATACTCTTTTAGCAGATTTCTCGTCCTATGGATCAGCTGAAGAAAATTTTATTTTTAGTTCCGTCTGGTGAATTCTAGAGGTCGTATTTATTACAACTTGTTTTTGTTATTTTAGTAATTTAAAACCTCGTTTAGCCAAATAAATGTAACCTTTAAATAATAGAAAAAAAATTCGTCGATAGTAGTGATCAGTGTCACCGGACATGAACTACACACTAAAAACAAGCTTCAAAATGTACAATGGGATGAGAAGTCTAATCTATGAGTTGATTTATCTATGGTTGAACTCACCGATTCCAACTACAGTACCAGCGTTGTATCCTGTAATCGTTTGAATTTAATTTTCAATCAAGGCTGATAAGAATAATGGTTCTTCACGGTCCACAAACAAAGTTATATCTAGGTTGCTTTCGTAAGGCAATGAACTAACGTTTTAGTTCAAAATTTTTGTAAATATTTAATTATTCCCTTAATCTTATACATTTTAAATTTATTCGACACGATCTTAAATTTTGAATGTTTGAAAAACTACTATGAGCTACTTCATTAATCAATTACCAACATTGAACTATTATAGTCTGTATGGTGGAACTTGTCCTGACACTTTGTCTATAAACCATTAGTCACTCCCCAAGTAGACGAAGGGTTAGGATCCAGGTTCCATTATATAGAGTATAGCTTGTTGAGCCCTTTTTGCATAGTCTGTATGATGGAAAATATCTTCCGACCCTTTATCTACCTGGGATTGACCCTGGGCTACTCTTTAGGTTGAAGTAGGGCCAGGAGACAGGTTCCATCACACAGACTATACAAACTTCCCACAACTTGATAACAATTTCCCTCTGTTCTCCAGCTTGTGCACCAGTATGTCTTCGACCCCTCCCACGTCAAAGACAACTCCTTCTTCGCCAACATCGTGGTTGACGTAGCTCCTGGTAAGTGTGAGCACACCCATGCCTACATCCCAGACCTGGGTAGTTACGCCATCATTGTCTACAACCTAGAGACCGACAAGAGCTACCGCATCAAACACCACTTCTTCTACATGGACCCTCTCTCTGGGAACTACAACGTCGGAGGAGTCAACTTCCAGTGGACCGACGGTATATTCAGTTTGGCGCTCGCCCCTCACGACAAGAATGACGGATACAGGTAAGTCTTTGGAAGTGCAATCCGTTATTGTTTTGTTTGGATAAATTTGAATTTGTAATCGTTTCTTCTTAAAAGATTATTACTGCTTTTACAACTGGGGAGTTTGCTGGTCTATAGTATGTATGGTGGAACCTGTCTCCTGACAGGTCTACCTGGAACTGGCCGGGGCCTAAAACAAGTGGACAGTCCTAACGTAGACGAAGGTTCAGGTGACAGATTTTATCATACATACTATAGTGGTAGAGCTCAAGATTTTGGTTCCTGAATGCCCGGGTTCAAAGAGATTTAATGTGAATGGTGATGCCACGACCCTCTAAAACCAGCCTGAAGAAATTTGTCGAACAATCCTAGGATTTGAAGATGAAACATAAAACATTCTTGTACCACTCGTTGTTGCAGAGTTCGTCTGAAACGTTTGGGTTTGCCCTTCAAACATAAGGGTGGTGAATTTGCAATAAAGGTTGTTGTGAGTTCTCTATAAACTAGCTATACAGTACGAGAGAATTTCCGAACATCAGACCATTTTCATAGTTGATTAAGGCATAACTAGATATATCACATACAAACGTGAAATCATCCAAATATTTAGTACAGGACTTTGTAACATAATTATTGGTTGAGTGATAAAAAACAAAATGTTAGGATTATAAATTTTTAAGATCCCACAGAAATAAGTGAAGACACTCATAGAATGTCCCATTATCATTTGATGGTGTGGCCATGAGACAAGTGTGTAGGCCTACCATGGCAACCATTAAGTTACTCTAAGACACTGTTAAGTTTATGTTGAAATGTTGTCGTTGAAGTTAATGGTTCGTACCATAACTACAATAAAAAATTGAATAAGTGACTCGGAAAGGTCACGATTTTTAGCTAAGGAAATAATTCATATTAATTTACCATTAAGATCACTCATACGAAAATCGGTTAACCTGCATTGAGCTTTGTGACATCAAAATTCACCTATATTTGTTAACACTAACAGGAAACTGGAGCAGGATACGTTTGTCAATTCACAAATGGAATGTGGTTTGAATGCCAGTAAATAGAATGATGGCCTCGTACAGAGTACATCCAACCAATTTGGGCATTGTTGAAGTACTAAGTACTCATCTAATCATGAAAAATGTCATCTTTCATAATCTATCAACTCTTTAAAATATCGTATATTTTATATAATAAGAAATGTCTAATGCAAACGTAAAAACAACCCCTTCTATAATTTACTAAATTACGTATCATCCCTCGGAGAGTTCTTAAAATGTTCCAAGGAAAATAGAGTTCACTGAAAAGAGGACAAACATAATTTATCTTCAAAATCTATATTCTATTTAAATTCAAATTCACGCATTGAGTTTTATACCATACTAACAAGAAAATATTACCTTGTATCTAGCAGAAAATATTTAGATTGTTAAACCTTTGTAATTTACTCATAACTGTCCATGACTTTCAAGGTAATCCTAGTTTAAAACGTATGCAACAGCTAGTTTAATCATAAACAAATCCAGAGACAATGCTGTATATAATCCTTTTTCTAGGACTATCTACTTCCATCCGTTATCAAGCACTATGGAGTTTACTGTTAACTCCAGGATTCTGCAGAATGAGACTGTAGCTAACGACGACTACTATGCCTACAAGGTAAGTAACAAAACACTATAGTCTGTATGGTGGAACCTGTCGTCTAAACCATTGGCCAGTCCCCGGGTAGACGAAGGGACAGTTGACAGGTTCCACCATACAGAGTATAATACCTACCAGCTGACCCATGGAAAGTAAAACATTAGGAAATTAAGCTACCTGATGCTGTTTTATTTAAATTCCTAACTTATCAAATATGAATAACGTAAATTTCATTCAATTAATATTCATAACAAAATTATAGCCTCAGTATTACTGATAAATAGTCAAACAACCTGCAAATTGCATTTAAGCAACTAGTTTCGAGGCTGAGTTGGTGCCTTCCTTAGGATCCACAATAATATTCGTCTATTTTATTAATATTTTTCTGAAGACTAAAATAAGAGGAAGAAGATAAAAAACAAAACGTAGGTATAATCAACACAACACGAAAACATTAGTAAATCAGCTGATTTTGTTGGAATTTCACCCCGCAGTAGTGTAGTCTGGAACAACTTCTTGAATCTTGATCAGCTTCGTACGTGTTAGTCAATTACCTGAAAGTAAAAAAATATGTCAAATAAGTCTAGTACTCTAATCCTCATCAGAACCAATAGGCGAATGGGTTGCCTATTGGGTCTGATGATGATTGGAGTGTCCAACCGAAATCGATCACCACTTACCACGATTATACAATACAATTTTAAGATAACCTTGCAGTACTACAGGTTTGAACTGCTAGTGTGTGCGGGGATCTAAAGACAGGGAAATGCCGTCAGCATGAGTCACATGACAGTGGTAAAGATAGTGCGTGTGGCCGGACATGCATCAGCAATGTGTGACTTATCAGTCCCAGTCCCAGACACTAATACTGAGCATAGGTACAAACCCACTGACAAAAAATCACACCTCAGATTTCGACTCTATTAACCATTCAATACTGTTAATGATAGATAGGAGTATTGATACAATAAAAATATAAAATTCAAGAGATGGTTTAATGAACGTGATTTTTAAAGAACTGGCACTTTTTTTAGTATTCAGAGAACTTCTAACAAATACACTGTGCTTTCAAGTTCACCTCCATACTGCACCTTTATGTTTTGAAAATGCAAACTTGCTAACAACAATGGAACAGCTGTTTACTGTTGAAGGGTACTAAAAAAACCTTAAAGACGCAATATTTAAAACTAGCCGTAGTTGACTTTTCAACGACCTTTGGTAACACGTATATTAAGCTGTAGATTTGATCCATTATTTTTGGGACACCCTGTACATTAATTTGTTTCTACCATAGGTGCTTGGATCTCGTGGTGCTCTCGGCCAAGCCACAGCCTCCTTCCTGGACCCTAAGACCGGTGTTCTGGTCTACACCCAGATCAACAAGAACGGCGTTGGATGCTGGAACTCCTTCACTCATCCTCAAGATTACTCTCCGGAGACCAATCACCTCATTGCCTCCGACAACGAGACCATGATCTTCCCTAACGACCTTAAGGTATGTAATGTACAATTTATGCCTGCCCTGTTGTTTTTTAAATTGATTGTCACTTTTGTTTTGTTTTTTTTTATTATGGTTTTGTCATTATCATTGTCCAATTCGTTGGAAATATATTTTATTATATACAAGTATATTAATTGTCTAGATTTACGGTCTTGTCCGTTAGTTTCATTGACTGGTACAGAACCTCCACTTGATAATCCACATTAATTCTAACACACTTAATGTGTTTAGTTCTAAGAAAACTTTTTAACAGTAATGCTTAGAATGGTTACTCTTAAGCCATTATAAACAATAAATCGACTTTATGTTCCTTGGCCAATTTCGTCCCCTTACATAAATAGTACAAACTTAAAATACAGCTGACTCTCGAAAATACGACATTTGCAGGTCCACTTGATGACACACAAGATCCAGAGAAAAGTTAAACGTTTATAGCTCGAAACTAAACACAGCTGACCTATAACATTGGGATTGAAAAACAGCTGATCCTCTCAAACAATTCTACACTCTCTCCCCATTTATATCCAGCTTAAAGTACGCGTCTGAGTTGTTGGATTGAAGATTTGATTGGTTGGACCAATTTACTATTGGATACTGAAGAAGACATCCCATCTATATGGACCAGCTGTCGCAAATCTTTTATTAAAGAATAACGTAGTTGTTTTAGACAGTCACAGAATGCACTTGCGTCTAAAATTCTATTTCCTACCTTATTTTCTGTTGCTTACCAAGTTTATGAGTCATAACAACTGCAATTCACAATAAGTTGTTCAATTAGTTTGATTTGGTAAAAAAGTTTTAGATCAACGCAATCTGTTGGTTGGTCACATCAACGACGACGATTTAATTTTAAACTTGTGACAACTTTAATGCGACGATGGAATGGCCAGTTATATCAATAGTCAAAGGTTGAACTTTGAGTATTCATAAATCTTCTAATTAATGTTAATCTGTAATCTTCTTTCAACAATATAACTCCAATCTGTTTATAGGTGGTGGACACAGTCAGCAATCTTTGGTTGTTAACAGATCATCTTCCAACACACATTTACAAGATTTCAACTTTGAGTATTCATAAATCTCCAAAGTACTCCAAATCTCATCTTCTCACAGCGACCTAACTCTAATCTGTTTTAGGTGGACACAGAAAGCAACCTTTGGTTGTTGACTGACCGTCTTCCAACACACATCTACAAGAAGTTGGACTTTGAAGAGGTCAACTATCGCATTTTCAAAGGCCACATCCCAGATTTGGTCAAGGGTACAGTCTGCGAGGTGAAGGACCCAGTCAAAGCCACTCCTGAACCCCTGAAGGAGGTTTCTACCCAGAAGTCTGTTAGTCTGTCTTCATCCTCGTCCCAGTAAAAGTTTCTGAGGGTGCGAAGCTATTAGGAGTAAGATTTTACCAATCAAAGGATGGCTGAAGATCACAGCCAAATAGTTAAGTGAAGTGTGTAAAAATTAAACGTTGTTTTCTTATAATGATGTTTTATGTGGTATGTTTGAAAGTATACGAAGATTATTTTGCCTAGTGGGTAACAGAAACATGTCATACATATTACAATAACAGTATGATGGCTATGAGAGTAGGTGATAAAATAATATTTGTTATTGTGATTAAAACATTTATTGTTTTATTTGGTTCCTCAATAGTTCCGTAGGCGAACAAATAAGGGTATTACCAAACTATTAGTTCATTTTAAGGGGTTATGCAATGAATATATAGTGTACTTATTGTACATTGTATAAGAACACACACACACAGACATTACTTCGAAAATAATTTTTTAGTTACAGGCCACCCAAAACTCAAACTTGACAATTTTTACGAAAAAACACTTTCTTCTATACTATGTATGGGGAGAGAAAGTATAAAGATACATTTAAAATCCCCATGTTATTCTATGGAGAAAAAGTACACTGTTTACTTGTTTATCGATGTATTTCGATCAAGTTTATCAAATTTATTTATTGTACAGTATCTTTACTATTAACATTAAAACACGTTTTCCTTCTCTACAGCAGCAAACCTAGATAATTTTTAACCTTTATTATTTAAATAGGTACTTAATCTGACATGTTTAAGGAAATAATATACTAAAATACAACCAGATAGAAGGAAATTCCCTGTGCAGGTTTGCTGCAGTGAGAGTTTTTATTACTACCATTCTTTTATTTTTACGCTTATTATCTATCGTAACATTTATAAGTGGTAAATGCAGTCAGGTGTTATAGTCATGGCAAGTAAATTGTTTGTTCAAAGATGTACCTTTAAACAGGTATTCTTAATTCTTTAGAGCGTTTATCCAGTAAAATAAATAAAAGTACAAATAGGATAGAGGATATTTGAAAATTGTGATGAAAACATAAGATTTATCAAGGAACCAAACATATGGTGACTATCGAAACACAGACAATAAAAAAGTAATGCTCAAAATGTTAATATTTTTAAAACTATGTATATATATTTTTTTTTAAAACGTGAACTCCTAACAGAATTAAAAGGTTTTAGTATGTCACATACTTTGCTTAAGAATCACCCTTGGCTTTTTTATTCGTTATTTACTGCTTTCCGTCATTATAAACTGTACAATTAGATCATTGATATAACTACAGAGAACCTCGATAACAAGACTCATATGGACTTGTTATAAGGGTTGACTTCTTATCGATGTTAAACATATGACTAGGGGTAAAATAAATTCAAAGTGATTTGACAATGACACTTGCTATCAAGGGTGACTTGTTATAGAGGGTTTTGTTATGGAGGTTCCAGCAAAGGTAGGTCCGGGAAACAAAGGTTTTGTACCTACTACCTAAAATTATGGGGTGCGAGCTGGTCTAGTGGTAGACTTTGAGGCTTTGGTGTTGAGGTCCCGGGTTCAAATCCCGCCACTGCCAATGGATTTTATCCATGTGATAATGCCGCAACCCAATAGGACTAGTGTAAAGTAATGTTAAAAACAGTTCAGTGTTAGAACTAGCGTCCTGGGCTGTGAAAGTGTGACATAAAAAACTACCTAAAAGGATTTGCGGTTTGTAAAATCGACGGATTCAAACCGTTCATGGAGTTGGTTTGATATTGTTATATCTTCATACGCATTAGAGTGGAAAATATGAACAGTAAAAACCCCATAACAATATTACAATACTTTAAATATTATCTAGCTATCGTTTCACACGGTTGACCACTCTCAAATCAAACAAAATCAATGCGAGATTCCAGATCACGAATACATCACAGAGGAGACAAGGGAGAAGAGGTGAAAGAAAGGTGGCAGTGAAAATCTTCTTCGACGATTCAAGAAAAGAAATCGGAGTATCATATTGTATTTGCAGATTGCTCCTTCGCGAAATTATTACGGAAACCGAGCTGGCGAGAAAAGAGGAGTCAACACGAGGCAGAGTACATCTGATATCGAAAACAAGATTCGCTTTGTCTGCCTGTTCAATAATGGAGATAGGGGCGCGGGGAAGGGACGAGAAGAAAATCAAATTCATGACCGCTTCGTTACACTCTCCTCCCTGTAACGTCCCCCCTCGCTCTGACGTGTTTTGTTCTCTATAGGGCCTCATTCGATTCAAAATGGCGCCTGGAGTTAACCGATTCCTCTAAAACGAACTAATCACTGTAGTTGAGGAAAAAGTTAAGGAGAACAGGGAGAGACGTGTGAGGTAACGACTATTCTCTCCCTCCCCCCCCCTCCCCCCGGGGGGTAAACACTGTTGTCGGAGGGGTGGACATTGTTGCGAAGCGATTTTGTATAATACTCAGATAATCGACTAAGTATTCACTGTACATCAAAATTAATCAGCAAATAGATATGGTTTGCAGAAAAATACAACTTAAGCCTATGTTCAGGAATGTTATGCCACGAAGGATACGGCCTTGCACAAAAATCACACATATTATCCATATATCCATCATGAAAAAATTACATTAAAATTTATTGTTCACAAAAATGTCCAATGTACAACATAAGTCTAATAGAGGAGGATAAAAGAAAATAACAAACATTGTCCCCTAATATACGCATTGTATCTTTTGTTGATCGCATTCCTATACAATTTTCGATAATGAATGTTCAGAAATATTCTTATCAGTACTTGAATTCTTTTTTCTGACAAGTTTGAAAACTCTGGACATTGGATCGAAATAACTTCTTGATCAGCATCGTACGTGTTATTAAATTACATTAAAGTACAAAAAATACGTCTAATAACAGTAGTAATAACATATTTACACTTATACTGTTTACTCACAAGACGGTTAATACATGTAAAAGATGGTAAGTGGTGATCGATTTCGATTGGACACTCCAATAGGCTCCCATTGGACCCAATAGGCTCAAACAGTATGAGTGTAAATATACTATTACTATTGTTATTTGACGTATTTTTTTACTTTAAGATTGTTACGAATGGATACGTTAACCAATGTTACACCCATATCTCTGAACCTAAACATAAACCCAGTATTAACCACCATATATTTCTCATTGGGTGTATTAAAAACATTTTAAATTTTATTCATGTACAAACAGGCAGTTTTAAAAAATATAAGAAATATTTCTACAAAAACAGGATTTTAAATCAATGAAAAAAATCTTAACTTTCGAATTGGTATGAAGTTTATTTTCATCCTTTAAACTCCCCCTGCAATATAAGCAATAAAAACAGCAATAATCTACACAAAAATATAAATAATACGTATTATTAATTTATTAATATAGATTATGGTATACTATGATACCACCCTTAGAAGCAACAGCTTAAAACCCCTTTAAACTAACGACATATGTTAAATTCAATCAAAATCTAATTTTAAAAGATGTTAATCCAATTTACCATTATTGATCATAAGAAAGCTGGAATTGCAGCAAAATTTACTAACCGATCTAAAAGAATATTCCAATAGGAATCAGGATTCGGTTGTGGTAAGGTAGCTGGTTTGATGGAACTGTCTTCAGTTACAAAACTCGAACGTGCTGCGAATGGTGATCGTGAAGACGAAATTCGAGATACGTTTAGCCTTCTTCTTCGGAAAATATTCATTTTTCATAGCAGTTAGTAGTTTTTTGTCTTTTCCAAAGAATTCATATTTTCGCACTAAATCTTAACCATGTAATAGATGAAAATAATTTAATTTAATCAATCTATTAAAAAAAAGAATAAATTATCGTTAAATTTCAATTCTTTAACAATAACAAAACGAGTATTCACGAAAGAACCTGTCAATATTATTCCGAGAGCCAAGAAGATGTAAAGTTAATTCTGAGCAACTTGGTGCCGGTCTTCTAATTGATCCTGCCTTCATGTACTGCTCAACGAAATGTTACTTGAAAATCAAGATAGTAGTAGAAAATTAAAATTTTGTTCAATAGTAGTAAATATTATATTCTGTAATGTGAATCATTGACTTTATTGTTGTGTTGTTGTGTCGCTTCGTACAGTGCTGCTATTGAGTGTTGCGGCCAATTACTGAACTAATACTGTATATACCTCGATAAGAAGACCCTCGATAACAAGTCACCCTTGATTACAAGTGTAATTTTCAAATCCCCTTGAATTTATTTGACCCTTTATCACATGTTATTGCCAACCTCAATAAGAAGGTAACCTTGATAACAAGTCTTATTTAATAATCCCCATGAGAGTCTTGTTATCGAGGTTCTACTGTAATACTAAACCTGTACAACTAACTAGGTATAAAGTAAACCTGAAAAGACCGTCATCTTCTTTGTGTAGTTTTTTATCGACATTTTTAAAAACATTTCTCTAAAGATATTTCCTAAAATAAACGGTATCAGTATTCTGACACATACTTTCTCCCATAAGCTTATAAACAATCTTATACAGTATATGGGTAAGCGGTGGTAGTAACTATGATACTCTATAGGGATAAGTCACAAAATATGCAGTAATTTTTAAACCGTAATTGTTACAGCAATGGGAGGTTGCACTATTTTAGTTTAGAATTATAAGGACCATGACACATTCATTTTAATCAAAACCATTTTTTTTATAAAATCCTATATATTGTCATTTGATGGGGTTTTTTATTGGAAATAACATAAGTCACAATAACTTGTGAACCGTACTTTTTATGAAAATGGGATCACTACCATTTTATTCTGAATTTAAGGACCATAATATACCAGTTTTAATCAAAACCAACCTTTTTTCTAAAATAAAATTTTTCGTTTTTACTAGGTTTTTATCGAAAAATAACATAAGTTACAATAACTTTAAAACCGCAATTTTTACAAAAATGGAATTCGTACCATTTTGTTAAGAATTTAAAGGACTATAACATACTAAGTTTTATCAAAATCGTTCAAGCTGTTTTCGAAAAAATCCAATTTTTCCGTTATTTTATGGGTTTTTATGGAGAAATCACCATTAAAATAGAAATTTGAAAAACTGAGAAAAAACGCCTTGAGATACAATGGATTAGTACCTACGTACCAAATTTCATCAAAATTGGACATGTGTTACATAGCTATGCACACATCCACATACAGACACACAGACACAGACATCACTTCGAAAACCACTTCTTTGGGTTCAGGGGGGCCCAAAACGGATATATCCAACTTCAATCTCAAACTCGAAAATTTTGA